CAGGGTTTTAATTCAAATTCGTTCTTATACTGGTTTATGGGACTAGGGATCTGAATTTGATAATTTTTGTTTTGGTAGGGGAAAGAAAATTTGGGAGTGTGATTCTACGAACTGATTGCAATGTTTTAGCATAGTTGACTTGAAGAAGACTGGTTTAGGAAATATATGTGGGATTTGAAAACTTCTAAATTGGAATTCTGTTTGTGCACATTAGTGATGACGAGAAAGAATTCAGAAGAGTTAAAATTCATAATTTTTTTGTTTATGGGTTTGATTTACCAAGCAGATTTTTGCTGATTTTTGCGTTGAATGGAGACTTATTCTAAACTAAAAAAGTTTGTATATCCTAATTTCAGAATGCGGAGTTTGGTTCTATTGTTTTTTTCCTTTTCTTGGGCTAATAATTTGGTCATGCTTCTACTCTTTGCAGCTGCTAGGGACTGGAATGGATACGCAGGATACATCTCCTTTAGTGTTGCTATTCTTTGACAAGCAAAGATTTATATTTAATGTTGAAGAGGTGCGAGAGAGAGAGAGAGTCCTCAGAGATCATAGTCGTCTTCTCTAATTCTCAGACATGGGTACTTTCAAGGTAAGCCTGCATAGCTTATTTTCAGATCTCACCCCCCGCGAATTCATCTCATCTCATCTGCTCTTCGCATCCTTTCTTGCGTTCTAATCTCATCCTTCTTGAAAATTGCAACTTCCCCTTCGACTCTCTTTGGTCTTCATCGTTTTCAAGGAAAAAAATTGTTGGTTTTAAGGTTCTTTTGGTTTTCTAGGTTGGTTTATTCATTCATCATGTTGAAAATTGAGAAGTAAATCAGAAATTGACTTTGGTTTGTTGTTACAGGGAGGAAGATTGAAAGAAAAAGAACTAGAGTAATTAATACAAGAATCTGATGTCAATGGTATGAATCTCTGTCTCATTTTGGTTTTGTTTTTGGTTCACCAAATGGTTTTTATCTGTTCTGATTTTTTTTATATGAGATGTACAGTTGTTGTGGCTCTTAATTCTTCAATTTTGTCCATCTTACTTGCTAAAGTCGAAAGTTCACATTAGTTTGGTTGTTTTTGGGTCTTCCTGCTAACTACTTAAACATGCATTTTAAGTTCAATTTTTGTTGGCCTGACATTTCCCTTTTTGGAGAATCTATTTCATTTGTTTTAACTTTTCCCTTTATCCATTTTTTTCCCCTAATAATTGAACATATTTTTCATCACTGGGTAGCATTCCTTTTTCTACTTTGTTGGTTAAGCCAACCCCAATGTAGTGAGTAGAAGGAAATTTACAGTTTCATAATTCAACAGTTTCATAAAGAAAGAATTTAGGTAACATATGGACTATTACCCCTATGTTGATTTCGTGATCTGTTGTTGTTTTGTGTTTAGCTAATTTCAGTAGTGGATTAGGGTTTCTAAATGCCAGTTAATCACTCTGAATCTCAATGTTGTTGTTACTTATTAGCTGTGATTTTTCCCAAAAATATGTAGCTTAAGGGTCGATGAAGTACTCATCAATATGCTTGCTCAATGTTGTTGTTCTTTGAATCTGTGTTTTGTTGTGATATTCGGATTTCTCATACATTAGACCATGCTTCCTCTTTTTGATTCAATGTTGAAAGCATTTAGGTTTGATATGTTTACCATCTCTAATTTTTGGATCCTAATGGAATTTCTTTGATTATATATGTTGTTTCTCCAGAGCACCAATGAAAAAAGCATTTAGATTTGATGGGTTTGATGTCAATGGTATGAATCTCTCTCTCTCTCTCATATTTTGGTTTTGTTTTTGGTTCACCAAATGGTTTTCGTCCATTTTGATTTTCTGCTTTTTTTAATTATTTTTCGGGGATTAATCTCTCTCTCTCTCTCTCTTCTAGATATTGTTAGCAAATTAAAACAAATTAACAAATTTCCTTTTCTCTCCATCTCTGGTTTCGCTTACCTAAATAGCGTTTGTTTTTTTGGCATCCTTATATGATTTCACTTTAATTTCTGGATATCTTAGGTAACACTCTGATTTTGTTCTAGAACGCCATTTTTACAGAAAATATTATTTCTCTCTCTTTGGGTGATTTTGTTATCCATTTCTTTTGCTTTTTCGTTCTGGCTAAGCTTTTACTACAAGCATTACCGAACCTCTCTTCAGATCCAAGTTTTTAGTCTATGTTTGTGGGGAGTCTTTCAGCTTCCAAATTTGCTTTAGTTTCCACACTGGCCACTGATTTGTGTTGGACTTTGTGTCTCTCTCATTCTCTGTCTTGCTGTCTTGCTCTGGGTATTTTTATTTTTGATTTATTTTTTACAAATTTCGCTTCATTTATTTTGTTAATTTGATTTCAGGTTCTTGGGTAATCCCTAATGCTATATAAAAGCTGAGGTATTTATACATCACGACATATTGGTAACCTTCAAATCAAGTTCAATTTTCTCTATTAATTTTAGTTCTTATTCTTTGAGTTTAGTATTGATTCTGTGTTTTTGGTGGTGTAGGGTTACGAGATAGAATTTTCAAATCTTTGATGACAACCACAATGCAGAGATAGTTGTTTTGGAATTTCGATTGTTTAGGGTGACTTTTGCATAGGTAACTTTTGATTGTTTAGGCCAGTAGCTTTTTGATCATATACTCTTTGTTTCAAATGCATCTAGAATCATTTAAACAGCCCTTTTCCTATGCCTTTACAATGTTTTTCTTTACCCAAAACACATTAATTTGGGTAGTCTTGAGTGGTTTCTTTCCTTACAGATTTTGGTCAAGCTAATTTTTTGGTTTAATGAAAAGATTGTGCATGCATGAAATACTCAAACTAATTTCTTCTCCGATTTTTCTGTTTTTTCTTCCTTTTTCTTCTTCTTTTTTTTAAAACCATGTTTTCTTTTGATATTTTGCAGGTGGTCTTTCGTTGCTTTGGATAGAGCGGTTTGGTTGGTGTTTTCAGTTCTGTTAAGTAAGGGGTGAGTTTCTAGGCTGAAATTTCAATTAATTGTTTTAAGTTTTATGAATAGAGCATAGGAATTAGCTAATGGCATCAATTGGCAATTGGTTGGTGTTAATTTGTTGTTGTAATGATAGGTTTAGATGATTACAATATTTGAACATGTTGGTAGACCCTGAGTATTTTGGCAACTGGGTAGTTGAGATGTTCCCGGCCTATTTTCATCGCTTAATACACATTTCACGCAATTTTAAAACCCGCAGCATCGCGCGGGCACCTTTGCTAGTAGTAACTATTATTTGACCAAAAGACGGAAAATAGAAGAAGATTCATACTAGTCAAAAACAAGGAAAGTCACGTGGCGAGTCCGTGTCTGGTTTCAAAGGCAAGCGCGCTCACCACATGAAGTCAAGCTATTAAAGGCCAGTCTAGCTTTTGCCCCATGAAAGGCTTCAAGCATTGTCGTCAAGTAATCTAACCGACTGGTGAAAGTGAGCTCTTGAGACGGACCATAAAAGTCTTGCAAAGCCAGCTCTCACTTAAACCTTTCAGAGACAGCTTTTTCAGTTGTCCTGTGCAGATCACCATTTCAATAAGGTTTTCGTGGAACAGCATCAGCCTGCATCGCCATGAATGTCACAACTTGGAGTCAAGTCAATCGTCTGCATGGATAATTCAAGGAGTAGGTTTTCTTTCATGTGTATCGCTCTGCGTTGTTCCAGTCAGACTCGTGCCATTGATCTAGCTAGCTAGCTTTGTCCCATTAAGCCTTTAAGTCTTGAACCAGATTACAAGCCATGGATCAACACTGTAAACATTATAGTCAAACAAAACCATTCAAAGTGGGGCACCGAAAACTTAATTTCGGTGCCCCAAAAAAAAAAAGATCATATGCTGAGAAATTATAATTATAATTCTAAAATCTGCATAAACTTTAAGTCATTCATAAATTTAGCAAAATTAGTTAAATTAATAGTGCACATAATTTTAATCGTACTTGTGCATGCATTAATTGCTGATATAATTCACACTTAAATTTTCTTTAAATTTGGTATCTGAGCTCATACCACTTGAGTATTTTTTTCAGAGGCCATCTATTAAACATCGTAAACTTCAATTTTTAATTTTATTTTCTTCTATGAAACTTGATAAACATAAAAGTAAACGACATTTACACGTTGCATTCATGTCTGCATATCGTTTATTCAAAGATGTGGATTCCCTTCCTTCCTTGGGAATTATGGCAGATACACCACTAGCTAACTCAGACTTTATGCAAAATCCAATCCCAGACAAAGACTTGGAAAACAAACAATGAAATTACAGGCTTACTGCCAGAGTTGACATATTAGGCTAACTGCTCTCTTAGCTGCAAGTGAACCACTGTGGAATCTATATGGTCCCGACTGTCATGTTGATGTCTTGATTATTAGATGTCATGTTGATGTCTTGATTATATTGTTGAAGTTTATCTAATGATTTATTGATAAATTAAAAAATAAGTTCGTCCTGCCTTATTCTCTATCTTAGATACTATTTCTGTTTATGTCTATAGAGCCATTTTCTACTAGTGCAATTAATTTTTTTTAAGTATAAGAGTAAATGAATAATGCCAAACAAATTACAGGCTTCAAAATCCTAAACATGAGATTATTTTTGTCGTCTATATATAACACATGACTCACATGACTTCTCCGAAGATATGGAAAACCCAATAATATAATGTTACGTTTGATTAAATTTCTCTGTATTTTTTTATTTTTATTTTTATTTTTATTTTTGCCAAAGTTAGGAATTGGCAGGGAAAAACTCACACACACGAGTACCATAGGAGTTTGAACTCAAGACCACTTGGGAGCACACCAAAAACTTGGGCTAATCCATCTGGCACCCGATTGTCACAGTAATTGTTTGATCCAAATACCAAACTGTTTCTTGATACATATTATGGGGTTGCTTGGACGGTAACTAATCAAAATGAATATTGTAGCAAACAGCTAGGAAAGAAGAAATTTGTAAATTCGTCTAGAAATACATTATAAAAAACAAATACAAGGCTCAAATACGTCCCCTCCTCCTGTTGATCCTCTTGGCTGCCTCCACAAACCATTCATGCTTCTTGTTTGTCCAAATGTCCCCAAAAATCACTCCAATTATTAAACCACTAATAATTCCCGGCAGAACAACGTACCAGTCTAGTTCAATTTGAAACCCAGAGTCTTCATCTTCTTCAAAGATTGATGGCGGTGGCGGTCTTGAGCTCTCACATTTTTTTGACAAAAGCTTTCCACACAAACCTGAGTTTCCAACATAGGAATCTTCTAGGAATGTACCAAATTGTTGACCGAGTGGTATAGGCCCCCAAAGATGGTTATGGGAGACATTGAAATATGCAAGGAAATTGAGTTGTGCCAAATTAGCGGGGATCCTTCCTGAGAGCTGATTCTGGGAGAGATCCAACGATTCAAGAGCAGTCAAGTTCCCTAAAGATGAGGGGATGTGACCAGTGAGAGCGTTGTTGGAAAGGCTAAGCATATGAACACCTCTTAGATTCCCAATGATACCTGCTGGAATCTCTCCTTCAAATCTATTACTTGAGAAATCTATCAACCTAAGCTGATAAGGGGTCGCATCATATTTCAACTCAACACCTTTTGCAAAAGTTGTGATCGAGTATGGAACAACATAAATGCCTGCATATTTATTTGAGCTATTTGACGTCGCGAAGAGACTTGAAAATAAATTTGGAGATTCTCATCGTCAACAAATTTCATGGAATTCCAGTTGTCTAAGTAGTTAGAGGGCAACTTACCTGAAAAACCATTGTTAGATAAATCAGTGATGCACAACTTTGGGAAACTCATGGGTTTGTTGCAGGCTTCCCAATCATGCCATGAAAACCGTTGGATCTCAAACTGAGATACTTTAGACCTGGAAGTGCCCCTAACCAAGATGGGAAGATGTCACTCAGCTGATTGTTTCCAAGGCTAAGAAACTCTAAATGAGTGCAATTGGCCATTGATCTTGGCACCTTCCCCTGTAACTGATTGTAACTTAAATCAACCATTTTCAAACTATTTTCGCCTGGACATATTTGAGGAATACTGCCGTGAAAAGAATTGTGGTGCAGGTCCAATATTTCCGGAGAGCTGGAGTTCCCCAAACACTTGGAAGCATGCCACTCAGGCTGTTGTTGGACAAGTCAAGAGCATGTAAATTATTCAAGTTGCAGAAGGAGAGCGAAATATCTCCACTATAATTATTGTCTTTGACAAAATAGTTTCTGATTGATTGCGGTGGAATTGGCAATGATCCGTGTAACATATTGGACTGGAGATCCAAAGAATCTAGATTCTGCCATGGGAGAATGATTGGATTTTGGTCAAACCCTGTTAAGAAGTTATGAGAGAGGAGGAGAGCGAACAATGTTTCTCTAGTTGCGTTCCACACCCATTTTGGTATTCGCCCATGGATGCTGTTGTTACGAAGGTCTAGGTGCGACAATTCGTATTGATTTTTTAAAATTTCTGGAAACTCTGTTAAGTTGCACGAAATCAACTCCAGAACTTGAAGCTGTGGAAAAGTAGCACCCAAATCGGGTTTGCTCTGCAGAGATAACTTGTTGTCTGATAATCGAAGGACCTTCAACTTTTTGAGCTTGGAAAACTGATCAAACTCAACAACCCCACTCAAATTACTAGAGGAAAGGTCAAGATATTCAAGATTTTTGAGCTGAAAGAGTGACCCAGGAATTTCTCCTTGGAAATTGTTACCCCCGAGGCTTAGAGTACTTAACCGGGTCAGGTTAGCGACAAAATATAGGAATTCTCCTTTTATGCAGGTATTCTCAAGGCTCAGAGTGTAGAGCTTGGTTAGCTTTCCAACCCATGACCAAGAATCAGTAACTTGGCATGTGGAAAAATTATTTGGAATGACATAAAATGAAGACATGTATAGGATTTTCGTCCCCCCAAAAAAAGAAGACATGTCTAGGTAACTGAGTTGGGTAAGGTTTCCCAGGGAAGATGGAACAAGGGGGGAAAATTGACAGTAGGCGATCTCCAACACACTCAAGGCATGAAGGTTTCCGAGGGAGCCAGGAAGTTGGCCAGAGAAATTCGTGTAGGCAACACCCAATTTCTCGAAGAAATTACTCCTGTTAAAGGTGGGGAAATAGCCTGTTAGCAATGGGTTCGAACTCACATGAAGAACCTCTAAGTTTGGTAGGTGGAAAATGCCTACTGGGAATTCCCCATTCAACCCACAATTGTCAAGTTGGAGAGATGTGAGAGAAGATGCATTGACCAAGATATCAGGCACAGTGGAGAAAATGTCTACCTCACTAAGATGAAGTTGTTTTATGTTGGTCAAGTTTCGAACCAGGCTTCTCATGTATCCCTTGGTCAGTTTCAAAGGGATAATGTCAGGATGAAGTTTCCCAGAATTGTAAGACAGATCAAGGGTAGACAGCTTCGATAGTATTGAAATTTCTGATGGAATTTGGCCATAAAACAAGGAATTTGAAAGGTTGAGATATGTTAGACTCAAAAGATCTTGACCGAACCTTGATGGTATTTCAGAGAAATTGAAGTGATTATCTGAGAGGTCAAGCCTCTGCAGATGAACAAGGCGAAAGAGACTGTTGCTGGAATTAAGAGAACCGTAAAGACAGCTGCTGCTAAGGTCAAGGCCAACAACATGGCCAGAGTCCTCATCACACTCTACACCATCCCATGAACAACAATTACTCCGATTCTGATCTCCTTCTAGCGTCCAAAATGCAACCTTCGGATAAGCAAGAGGATATGCAGAAACAGACTTGCGAATTGCAAAGCTTTCCTTGAACTGCAACAAGGCTGAGCACTCATCAACCTGGCCAAGTGCCTGAGTCTGTACAAGTAAAAAACAGTGAGTGGCATTGAGTAATAGCAAAATAAAACAGCGTACAGAAATAAACTTTGACGGCCATGATTCCATTCCCATATCACGGCTATGTTTTCGGATTATGGAAATGCTTATGGCTCTTAAGTAATTAAGGATCGAGAAATCCACCTCCTTTTATAGACAGTTCATGCAAAATAATCAAGGAAAATGGGGATGCTTGATGAGCGGTGATGAAGCCAAATCAATCACTCTAAGACTTGAAGTAAAGTCATCTGCAGGATTGATATTTATCTTGCTGGAAACAATGTTTCACAGTCAGAGCCTTTTGGACGTAACATCGATCTCTTTCTCCAGCTAATCATTACCACAAACACTGCTGTCAAACTATAATTATTAAAAGTAGTGACATAATCGAACATGATCGCTTTGAACATAATTTGTGAACCCAAATGTGTTGCCTACTGGGGAGGGCATTTCCCTCCTCCACTCTCTTTTATTTCCATTTTATTCTTTTAGGTTAGTGAAAAAATCTTGTGGTGACTTGGTCTGAGTCATGTCAGTTCGGCATCTTTGTTTGAAATATGTCCGGTGGTGGTTAATTACATCCCCTAACTAATGTAGCTTTTATATTTATTAATAAAATTTACTTGTGCAGTTGAGTTTAGTATGTAAGTTTTGTCTAATTATCTTTGAAATTATGAATCCACCACTAAATCTGCCTCATGTTCTACATTTTCTTCGAGGCTAAATGAGTGGTTTATTATTTGGGCATATCAATTGTTTTTGAAATTTAGTTCTTTTGGGTTTTGTGAGTTTGGCTTTGGATCATGTATTTTTAAGAATTTTTCATATTAAGAGGGGCGATAACATATTAAACTCACACACACTATACGGATGCTAGGACTCAAAACCAAAACCTTTCTTAGGGAGAGCATTTGCTCCGAACCACTTTAATAGCGGGTCCTTCACTCAATCATGCTTAATTTTAGTGATATAGTCTGTGCAACTTTTATTCCTTTTTAATAGTACAAGCTATAGTTTCTCACACACCCACAAATATGATGGCGTGGGAGTTCGAACCTGAGACCTTAGGTCTGCAAGTTAATACCCTTTTTCACTAAGCTAGACCCTGTTGACGACTTTATTCCTTTTATTTTTTGGTTTTGCTTGTTTTGTAGTCTTTTTTAGTTTAGTGTTTTTATTGTCTTGTAGGGTTTGGTGGCTTCTTTTGTCAGTTGTTTCTACTATTGAAATTTATCAAAATTTGTTATTTGACATAGTAGTTTTTAAAAAAATTAATAAATGGATGTAACCAAAAAAAGTTTAATAAATGGGGTGGAGCACAACTTTTCTGTTAAATCGTTAAATGGATCTTATTTTTGGTATTATGATGATAGAAAATAATAATTAAGGGAAAAAAGGACACTTCAGACCATATTAATTTACTTATCTATATATAAAACAAAAAGTAGAGAATGATAAAATATTCAAAAACCCAAAAAATATCCTTGATTAACCAAAGTGCTAAAAGACTACAAATTAATATAATATGGGTAAAATGTTAAAACACTAATTCTAAAAATAAAAGAAAAATAAAAAAGAAAACCAATTGGCACATGCATGAGCATGTGCCAAGAGGCTAGTATATATAAAGTAAAAGAAGAGAATGGTAAAACATTCAAAATATCAGAAAATGCCCTTGATTAATGCAAGCATTAAGAATTGAAATTATTAATTAAATGAGGATAATATGGTAAATTCACACTTTTTCATATAAAAAATTTAAATAAAAAAAATTAGATAATTGATCCTATTTTTATGGAACACAACTACCCATTATCTTTTTTAATTCTAAAATAAATTTTTGTAATTTTTTTTTAAAAAAAGCCTCTCACAAATGCCAAAGCGCGTGTGGAGAAGCTAGTAAAATATAAGATAAATTCCACCTAAGTAATTATAGGGAGGAAGTTACTGTCCACTTCATACACATTCCTCTTTTTACTTCCCACTCCACCCCACCCACATTCTTCTGTTTTCTTTATACTTTTGAATATCTATATATTTACCTGATGTAAAAAAGAAATTATATTTGCGTATGGAAAATAAAATAAAATATAATTTAAAAAGAAAAAGAAAAAGGTCAATTGGCACACGCTAGGTATAATATAACTTGAGCATTGTGGAGTCACCAAACACCATGCTATTTCAGTTCAGAATCAGATTATACTCGTCCAAGTTGTATCTTTTGATTAAAAAACAAAAAAATAAAAAAGTTGCAACGCCCAACTTTCTATGTCGCTGCTGCTTCTTCTGCTCCATCGCCAATGCCTCGGTTAAGCAGACTCAGAAGCACTCATTTTCCACCATTTTCATCCTCTGCCTCAATCAAGGTTAGTGGGTCATGCCCGTTTCTCCAGTTCCATGCTCTTTGTTCCAATGATTTCATCAAAGACCCAGCTACACTTCATTTCAGTTTTCTGAATCAGTAGGTCAAAACTTGACGTCAACCCTCGAATTGATCCAACAACTTCAATTTCTGAAAACCCAGTCCTATATGTGGTACAGTAGGAAAGTATGAACAAATTCCCATTTCGTCAGTTTTCTAGTTTGCCCAATTCAATTGCAAAAGAACCCACCTTTACAAACCCCACAACTTGTGGGAAATTTGGAAAAAGGAATTGGAATCCACTTCCTATTCCCCACAGAACAATTCCTGAACCCAAAGGGCAGGACCTTGATTTTGTGAATGTTGCAAACAGCCATCTAATTCACTCTGACTGGGCTAAGCTCAATTCCTTGTCCAATGGTCTAACTGGTTTCAGAGTGAAACATATACTGCTAAAGATTAAGCAGGACTATGTTCTTTCCCTTGAGTTTTTCAATGGGTTGCAGCTCAAAACCCCACTTCACTTACCCTTGAAACACACTCCATGATTCTCCACATTCTCACCAAATACAGGAAGTTCAAGTCTGCAGAGTCTATTTTGAGAAAGGTTCTTGTCTCGGGTTCGATAGATTTGCCTTCCAAGTTGTTTGAAGCAATATTGTATTCGTACCGCTTGTGTGATTCTTCTCCTCGTGTTTTCGATTCTCTTTTCAAGACTTTTGCGCATATGAAGAAATTTAGGAATGCCACAAATACATTTTGTCAGATGAAGGATTATGGATTCTTCCCAACACTTGAGTCTTGCAATGCATATCTTAGCTCATTGCTTGATTTACATAGAGCTGATATTGCTTTGGTATTCTATAGAGAAATGCAGCGTTGTAGGATTTCACCGAATGTTTATACTCTTAATATGGTTATATCTGCTTATTGTAAATTGGGAAAATTAGAGAACGCTGTTGAGGTCCTTGAGAAGATGGACAGCATGGGTTTTAGTCCTACAGTTGTATCATATAACACGCTGATTGCAGGACACTGTGATAAGGGTCTTCTGAGTTCGGCTTTGAAGTTCAAAAACTTGATGGCGAAGAATGGATTGCACCCGAGTGTGGTTACTTTTAACTCACTTATTGATGGGTTTTGCAAAGAAGGAAAACTAAAGGAAGCAAACAGAATTTTTAGTGAGATGAAAGCCGTGAATGTTGCTCCTGATACTGTAACTTACAATACTTTGATAAAAGGGTACAGCCAAGAAGGTAATAGCGAGATGGGCAATAGGTTTTTTGAGGAGATGTCAAGGAAATCAAGTAAATGCTACTATCGTGACTTATAATGCATTGATATTGGGACTCTGCAGGGAGGGTAAAACAAAGAAAGCTGCACATCTGGTTAAAGAACTTGATAGAAAGCGCTTTGTCCCAAATGCCTCAACCTTTTCTGCCCTTATTGAGGGGCAGTGTGTGAGAAAGAACTCGGACCATGCCTTCAAGTTATGTAAAAGCATGATAAGGAGTGGTTATCATCCCGATAAGCATACTTTTAACATGCTGATATCTAGCTTCTGCAATAACAGGGATTTTGATGGAGCAGTTGAAGTCTTGAAAGAAATGTTTGAGAGATCTTTTGCTCTTGATTCAAGCATCTTATCTGATTTATGTCTAGAACTATGCAGATGCAGGAACGAGAAAATGGTAAAATGGTTATGCAGTGAGATGGAAGTTAGACGCCTCATCCCTCAAGGTTTTGACATGGCAAAAATTCTCTCCCCTGTAGTAGTGGAAGAAAACTGAACATTCGGAAATAACATGTAAAGGTGTACATTGTTTTCCTTGTACCTTTCAAAGAGAACATTCTACGGTGTTTTGGATGCGGATTATTACTTGAGTTGGAAGATGCCTTTGTTAATTGGTTTAATTTAACTCCTTTTCTCTTGAGCCATGCACTTGAACGTGTTCCAGATAAGTTCATGTAACAATTCTCTGTGTCTTTGTTTTAAACAAGCCTTAAACATGGTTTTCCATACGAGACATAACCGTGGTAGATTGTAAGTTTAATTGAAGAATTAATTGGTGCATCAATGGAAAATAATGTCTGCAATAGAGACCTGAACTACAAAAGCTTCCATACTAATGCTGATGCTAATTTAGGTTAAAAGGTGTCAAATATGCATACAACAAATTAAACGTTCTCATCAGCTTTATGTAAAGTTATCAGCATTACAATTTTCATACACCTAGGACCTGCTCAAAACCTACCCACTTAATATATCAGAGGTTATAATTATGTCACGACTCCTCTTCGCCAGCTTCAGCAGCAGCTATGTGAGAATCCAAAGTGTTTATCAGCTGCTCACTTACTGTTTTTGCCACAGATATCATGTCAAGAATGATGCTTGGATCTAGGCCGGCACCGCCCCGTTTGGTCAACCCACAAATGTGGCCTTGCCTATTGATGGAAATAGAAACAGCCGAGCTCATTTGTGATTCCTCTTCTGAAGTGGCATCTACAATATAGTGCCGACCTACCTGAGAAACAGATGGGCAGCAATCAATACAAGACAATAAACATTTGCAGTTTGCTGAAGGACAGAAGAGATGGTTAACTCATGTCACCTTTGTTAATGTAACTATGACAGGGACCCTAGATGTATCAAATTGCAGAAATTCCTCATCGCTTATGTCAACCTCTGGTTGCTCATCGCCTGATGCACCGGCTGCAACATTTACTTTTGGGATGCCTGTATTATTCAAAGCAGCCTTTGGGAACATCAGTTTCTTTAAAAGATAAGTAATTTCTTTGGAAACTTAATACTAAACTTTATCAACAGCCAGAAATATCTTCTGTTGTCCTCACTTATTTACAGAACAGAAATAAACTGAGCATATCAAAACAGATAAGAAATATCAAGTACCTTTATAGCAGCACCTAGGGCATCTAGCAGATTCCCATCTGAACTAACAACAAGGCCGTCGATGTAAAGATCCCAACAGATCTTTCCTTCCACAACTACCAGAGAGGAGAGATCAATTCCAGCACCTGGAAATCCTTTTGAATGGTAGCATGTTTGGGAGGTCTGAGCAACGAGGAAGTTTCCTTGAAGTTTTTGGAGAATTTAAGAAGAAGAAAAATAGCATTATGGTGTCACCCACAACACCAATCTTCACCTCTTCTTATTCCGCGACTCTGTCTGTCCTCCGGAGAATTGAAGCCATGTTGTGTCCTACTCCTCCTCAGCAGCAGCAACCTCAATCTCTGCAAGCCTTGGCACGCAGCCAGTCCTTGTGTCTTCGACAATCTCAGTCTCTCCGGACTTCACAACGCTGCCGCTCTTTAAACTACGATTCAGGTTTTTTTGTTTTGTTTCTCACCACTAAATTTCAATTTAAAGGTCCAAATTAGGTTCTCATACATTGGACTAGCCGCTCAAAATGTAGCAAGAATTGAATTATTTTTCCCTTCTTGTTATTTAGAGGTAGAGATTACTGTTTGGAGTTTGATCTCAACTGTTCGGTGCCCCTGCCTTGAAAGAGAAGGAATAGAAGATTGAAGAAATGCAGAGTGATGAAATGTTCTTCTCTCTTGCAGAAATCGCAGAGCGTGTACTACATAATCGTTAGCCTTAGCTGGATTCACACACAACATATTGAATCTCAGCCACACATCTAGCTATTCTAGGATCACTACACGTGGCTATTTCAGCCTTACATTTTGGAGCCTTACACCTGTAATTCTCAGAAACTAAGTGCATACACAATTATCGTTCTAGCTTCTAGGCAGTGGCGGATCCATGAATTTTTCAGGGGAGGTGCAAATTTTAAAAGGCTAAAAATTTACAAAGGACTCAAGCAAGGCCTTAGGTTCAAGTCCTAACATCCGTGTAGTGTATAAATAAAAATAAAATAAAAAAACTAAAAAAAAAAAAAAAAAAAAAAAATACAACCAAATGCCCTTAGAATTTAACCAATACTAATGTCATTCATAATTAAAACAAATAAAGTTTTACGTCTACAACTAATTGATTATAGTCTATATGGATATCAATTAATATGAACAAAATCCTTGTCATTGACACAATTAGTTTACCAAAATTCTATCAAATATGAACAAAATCCATGTCAATTACATATTTAATCTAACAAAAGTCAATACCAATTAATCTAACCAAAAGCACATGTAAATTGGAGGTCATGAAACAAAAGTACACATGATTAAAAGTTTGGGGTAATTTTTGGTGATTTTTTTGGCACACATATGAGTTTTTAATGAATTTTTTAATTTAGGCCAATTAGAAATAGATATGTGTCGGCTTGCTATTGGACAATTTAAACAAGAATCAAAATCAGAAGCGCTGATGTCTGACGCGGAGTCTTCTTCTTCCTTGAACTGTGCCTTTGCAACTTAACTTCAATATTGTAGAAAAACTTCGAAAATTCATAACTTTGGTTGTGGAGCTCCATTGATGAGCCGTTTTCTCCTACATGCTCGTGAGATCGAGCCCAAAAATATAAGGTAAATATTCAGGGTCTCACAATGCAGCAAACAATACAACGTCTTTGAGGCATTTAGTCGAACAATTGGTAGGCACTAGCAAAGGGGCAAATTCTGGCATCCCCAAGGAAGTTTCCGGCTAGGGGAGGTGCACTGCACCTCCTTGCGCCTCTGTGGATCCGCCAGTGGTTCTAGGCTTAGACTATACTAATCAGTTCATTACTTACAGTTGTACAAAATCCACCTCCTTTTATAGACACAGCTCATGCAAAATAATCAAGGAAAATGAGGATGCTTAATGAGCGGTGATCAATCACTCCAAGACTTGAAGTCAAGTCGTCTGCAGGATTGATATTTATCTTGCTGGCAACATTGTTTCACAGTCAGAGTCTTTTGCATGTGAACCTGTTTGGGGGTGGTCAAAATTCACCCAATTTGCTAAGGAAGAATTCCTAGCGACCGAAGAATTCCTAACGGCTGAAGAATTCCTAGCGGGCGGAGAATTCATAGCGACCGAAGAATTCCTAGCGGCCGTAGAATTCCTAGCGGCTGGAAAATTCCTAGCGGGCGGAGAATTCCTTGCGACCGAAGAATTCCTAGCGGCCAGAGAATTCCTAGCGGTCGAGAATTCTTAGCGGGCCGAGAATTCCTAGCAGGCAAGATTTCCTAGCCGCCGGAAAATTCTTAACGGGCCGAGAATTCCTAACTGCCGGAGAATTCTTAGCGGGCGAGAATTCCTAGCGGCCGAGAATTCCTAGCGGCCGAGGTGCTTTCTCAAAAAGGTGGCCGAGGGTCTTTTCTTCAAAGGCCATGGTGCCTTCTCAAAAATATGGCCGGGCACTTCCCTTTGCAAAAGTAGTTAGGCGTATCCTTGCAAAAGTGGTCGGGCACTTCTAAAAAGTTGGGCTGGGCACTTATTAAATACCTTGGTCGGCCACTCCTCTTGCAAAAAGTTGGGCCAGGGCGGATTTTCTCCTTGCGCACACCCGGCGCCCTCCTCGCAACTCTTGAGCAAGCAAAGTTGGGCCGAGGGAGTTTAAGTTCGGCGGGAGGTATTTCCGCCAAGAGAGTTGAAGTTCGGCGGGAGGTATGTCCGCCGAGTTCCCAATATTCGAATATTTGAGAACTCAAATATAGTCCAACATAGGGGCAAGCCCAACATCCAAATATTTGGAGTTCCCATACCACCAATCTTGGCGGATGGTCGACGGATGGCAAGTCAACTCTAGAATTCTAAAAACTCAAGGGGCACAAGGTTTATTATTCGGGCATATCAGTTGTTTTAGAAATTTAGTTCTTTTGGGTTTTGTGAATTTGGCTTTGGATCATGTATTTTTAAGAACTTTTCATATTAAGAAGGGCAATAATATATTAAATTCACACACACTATACGGATGCTATGACTCAAACCTAAAACCTTTCTTAGAGAGAGCATTTGTTATGAACCACCTTAATAGCATAACAGACTTTTGATTGCAAAGCTTTTCTTGAATTGTAACAAGGCAGAGCACTCATCAACCTAGCCAAGTGTCTGAGGCTGAACAGATAAAATACAGTAAGTAGCAAAATAATGTACATAAATAAACTTTGACCACCGCGATTCCTTTCTCCTGGCAACTATATCATTTCTGATATATTACATAATTAAGGGTGGTGGAGAACTTTAACTCGCTTTTATAGACACATGTGGATGAGTCAATTATTTGGAAATGAGAAAATTACAAAAATTAATAAATGGAGAAGGTAAACAGAATTGCATCTGCTAGACAAAAATTAATCAATTCTACAAGTATTTTATTTCGTGTATATCATTCTAAAGTTATTAAGGCTGAAAAGTCTTCCCTCCACCACTACTTAAAGACTTGGAAGTCAATTCGTCTGCGAGACGTTCATCTTTGTCTCTGCTTAATATGCATGTACCTCACTTCCTTTGAAAAAAAAATCAATGAACTTCCTTTGAAAAAGACTTCCTATTAAGGACGTCTTTTGTCTTTATATAAAACAAGTGATCGCCCTTCTTTTTTTTTTAAATAAGGAAAAAAATTCCATTTAAACAACCAGTGACACCTTTAGGGAAGTTTCTCTCCTAAAAGGTGAGGGAAATTGTGCGCCGACAGTATAGTTGTTGAGTATTTTCTTCTTTCTCCGGGGCCGGAAAAAAAAAAAAAAAAAAAAAAAAAAAAAAAAAAAAAAAAAAAAAAAAAAAAAAAAAAAAAAAAAAAAAAAAAAAAAAAAAAAAAAAAAAAAAAAAAAAAAAAAAAAAAAAAAAAAAAAAAAAAAAAAAAAAAAAAAAAAAAAAAAAAAAAAAAAAAAAAAAAAAAAAAAAAAAAAAAAAAAAAAAAAAAAAAAAAAAAAAAAAAAAAAAAAAAAAAAAAAAAAAAAAAAAAAAAAAAAAAAAAAAAAAAAAAAAAAAAAAAAAAAAAAAAAAAAAAAAAAAAAAAAAAAAAAAAAAAAAAAAAAAAAAAAAAAAAAAAAAAAAAAAAAAAAAAAAAAAAAAAAAAAAAAAAAAAAAAAAAAAAAAAAAAAAAAAAAAAAAAAAATTAGGGTAGAGGGTTTTGATCCTATGAGTTTACTTCTTTATTATAGAGTAGTACGGTTACTACCACTAATCTACTTGATACTGTTCTTATCGCACAACTGTATTTGCAGCACCATGTCATACTCTTGGAAAAGTACAAATGATTCAAACTGATTTCCTTATCAGCTCCGCAAAGCAGACCTCCTAACCCGTGTTGCCACCTTTCAGCTCGTACAATAATGACATAATTAAAATTAAAGATTCACAATAAAGGAGATGAATGGAGAACCCACCCTAAGCACGGACCAAATACGTGGGTAGTAACCATGCCACTGTCTGCCCTGTCCAGGACTCGTTTCCCTGCATGTTCTCTCTTGGGCGGCCCGACCAATAAAAAGATGTTTTTTCTCGAGATCCGAGAGAAGAGACGAGAGAGAAGTTGCTTGTGATTTTCTTACTTTTCTCAGAAGTGATCAGATGAATCCAAATACTATCTCGCATCGTATCATCTTGCCCCCCCTGCCCCCCCCCCCTTCCTATGTTAAATGGTCACCACTCTCTCTTTTTTTTTTCCTTCATTTCATAGCTGACGATCTCTCTCTCTCTCTCTCTCTCTCTCTCTCTATAGCCACTACTTCATTTTATAGTTTGTTTAAGTTTCCATCCCAAAAGCACTTGGGGATTTTACTTGAGTTTGCTTTTCTGTAGAGTTTTTCCCTCATGGTAATATTCAGAGTGTGATGGTTGGAATAAAAAGTAATAAGGAGAAGTTGGAACATGAGGTTTTGACGGGGGAGGAAGAAAACTCAATGAGGAAACTGAAGGATTGGAGAGAGGGAAGAATATAACAGAGATGGGGGCGGTGGGGGGGGACTACCAGTTGAATGATTTTTTTTCCTGTTATTTTCTAATTTTATTATGAAGGGTAAACTTAGAAGTTAGAATCCAACTGTGTAAATAGTTTTAATTTTCTTTTAAATATGACACGTGGCAAAATTGAATATAAGTATCATATGTTGATGTGTTAGTATGTACTACTCTATAATCTCTGCTTTTCTCTAATGCAATTACATCTTGAGGAATGCTAACAACCTTCTCTCTAATCTTCTCCTTTGGACCTTCTCCATTTTTTGCTTAACATGTGTCATTCTTTTTACATTTAAAACAATGTCATTAATATATTTACAAACTAACTTTGTTTTTCAAGTTTACTCTTATTAAATGTATTCAATTTATCCAAACAAATTTTACAACTTTCTTACCATCTTATTAAAAAAAAATTAACGTCAATTTTTTTTTAAAGAAAATTTTTGCTTTTAAAAAAAAAGAGGAAATGTCCTTTTTTTATTTTTTAAAAAAAAAAAAAAAAAAAAAATCTAAACTTAAAAAAAAAATAAAAAAAAAAAAAAAAAAAAAAACATTTCCTCTTTTTTTTAAAAGCAGACATTTTCTTAAATAAATAAAAAATTGTCATTAAAAAATAATACTAATATGGTAAGAAAGTTGTGAATTTTTTTTGGATAAATTGAATACAATTAATAAGGGTAAACTTGGAAAGCAAAAGTTAGCTTTTATAATATATTAATGACATTGTTTTAAGTGTAAGGAGAATGACACATGTCAAGCTAAAAAGGGAGAATATCCAAAAGAGAAGGTTAGAGAGAATGTTACTAGCATTGCCCTTACATCTTTCTGAAGATACAAAAAGATTTTGAAGTTTTAATTTTGATTGCCTTTTAGTTTCTCAACAACCAAACAAAGCTTTGAGGATTTAATTTGTGTGGTACGTAAAAGGAAGGCGAACTAATTTGTGCAGATGGTTGTTCATACTGATTCTGAAACTTGAATGTAAAGCACTAATTGTTTGATTGACAAAGGTTTTGAAATTTTTTTATTACACATATGGGTTTTATTTGTTTATGTTACATTGGTGCCTCTCTTGGAAGCTCCAATCAATACAATTGGAGCATCTTTTGGCAGTTGGTCATGTTCAAATATCTGGGTTTTGTAGGCCTAGGTTTCTTCTACTGCTATGTTGTCCAAACAAATGTTGTTTGGAAATTAAATTTTGGACGCTCAAGCATTTCCCAAATCAGTGAAATACTTGTAAAGTTGCAACTGCATATTCATTATAGATATTCTCATTCCTAATATAAATTATTCTATTATTCAATATCGATTCTTTTTATCTCTACTTTTATTAATATGATTAGCTTTTCTGTTAATACGATTAGTTTTCAGATTTCTATTAACATGGCTCACATTACTTCCACCATACTTTATAATCACAATGCCCTAATCACTTATATTATCATCAAGTAATTAATTAAATTCATTTGTAGATGGGGAATGCTTTGCTCATCTTGTCTCTTTCTTTCTTTGTAAATCTTTTCAAGAAGCAGATTTATAGAAAAAGTTCAAATTTTTATTTGATAATTTTATCCTCTGGTTGCTTGCTTATAAATTTGTGAAATTTGTGAACAAAAAACGTCTTTTGAACACTTAGCATAATTGTTATGTTTTGTCACATAATAAATATTGATGTTGTGAATGGTATAGTGCAATATAATTTATTTGTGGCAATTAAAAATTGGTGTGCCTACAATATTTCTAGGGTTTTAATTTTGTATAGAACATCTCCACCCCACCCAATGTAACCACGTGCAAGAGTTGAATGTGTAATTTTTTTTATTTAAAGAATTGGCAATGAGCACGGTTTTCAAATTGTATTTATATTTTTTTTATAAGAAATATATACCCTATTGAGCATGATTTTAAAACTGTGCTCAGCTCACAATTGTTAAATCAGTCTATCTAACACTTTAGTTATTTGTCAAAATAAAAGCACAAATGCTTCATTCGTGCTCTAATACTTGTCACGAAGCAACACATTTGTGCTATATAATCAATGGAAGCTGCTATAGAGGAGACCGACCAAAGTGGCTGCACCATGAAAATCTTCATAGAGTACGATTATCAGTGTTTTTTGAAAGAAAGAGCACAAATAAAATTCGTGCTTTTAGCCTAATTTTTTTAGTAGTGTACAGATAGAAGGAGAAGAAAAATGTCGAAAATAATGCCCAAAAAATATGAGGAGTAGAGAACAATAAAAATAATGAAAAAATTTATTTTGGATATAAACATGGCATTGGTAGGAAAGGAAGAATGAGGAGCAGAAAACTGTCGAAAATAATGCCCAAAAAATATGAGGAGCAGAGAACAATAAAAACAATAAAAAATAATGACAAAATTTATTTTGGATATAAACATGGCATTGGTAGGAAAGGAAGAATGAGGAGCAGAAAGCTGTCGAAAATGACGACAAAATTTATTTGATCAATATCCTCATTTGATCAATTTGATCAAATGAGACAAAAGGAAAATTCATTTGATCAATTTCTCATTAAAGATTGGTGCCTATTCATAATTTGATACACATTTATACATAAATTTGACACAACATTTAACGTGTTGGATGAAAATACACTTCTTTAAAAGGTTTAAATTATGCCCAAGAGTTCATTTTTGCTAATCACCTATAAGTCAAGTGTGGCGCCACTTCATTCTGATTATGCCACGTGTTTTATAAACTAACCACTGGTTTTAGGCAAAGTTAAAAAGTAGCCGTTTCCTTATCACTAAAATAATGTGGTATACCTATATTGTAAAGGGTAATGCTAGGGAGACCATTTATTTGTACCATATTTGTGTACCATCTGATGTGGCTCTTGAGTTGGCCATGCCCCATTATTAAATGAGTTTTTTACATTTTTAGTCTGTTATTATTTTTTGGATTAACTACAGTAAAACCCCCAAACTATAAGGGTCATTACAAACTCATACCCAACGTTTATTGACACGTTTGACCGGTACATAAATTTCACAGAACCTTTCACAATACACCCTCCGTTAGTCAAACTGTTAATAAATCTGTTAAATTTTGACTTGACAAATGTGGATCCCATTTTTTTGCTCACGTGGCCTATATGTGGACCAAAAAATTATTTTTTTTAAAATAATTTAAATTTTTAAAAAACAAATATATTAAAACAAAACATAATTTTCTATAAGTTATAGGGGCATTAATTGCTCACGTGGCCTTTAATTTTCTAGATATAAAAAAAATAGGGAGCGAATCGAAAGTACGACTACAAGTTAGGGGCATTTCACCAATTCACCCTTGTAGAAATGAAAGCTGGAAATTATGCTTGTATTTGGTGTATGCTAAGTTTTGTAAATGTATCACTATTTCCTTATCTTAAGTTGGCACGCAAGAAAATATGAATTCCCGCTTTATGGAAATTGTGAAATGATGCCTTTGTTGGCGGAAATTAAACTCGAAAATCTCATGCCTTAATTTCCACGATTTTTTCCATGCGTTATTTAATAATTTCTGTGTTTAAGTTGTCAAACAAGGGAATTATCAATTTCTCCACTTAAATTCCCGACTTAACCAAATTCCAAGTTATTTTCCTTCATCCAAACGGAGGTTAAAAGGGGAAATTGAATAGATTTTGATTTTGATTTTGATTTTGATTACTATATGCAAATTGAACATTATAATGAATGAATAAATAAAAAATAGTATTGATCACCATTATTTTCATACTCTGAAATGATAATTATTTATTTTCATAAAAACATACATGCATTGCATGCACTGCATAAATAATGTGACAACTGTGTCTATAGTACACGTGAGATACATCTATTATACCAACACATTACAGGTAAGTTTTTTTTTTACAAATTTATAAATAAACCCAATCTTAGACATGTATTTATAAAAAAACCCAAGCACTATTTAAACATATAAATACACCCAAAATTAACCTCAAAATCAATAATTGTATATTTTTTGGGTGTGTTTATAAATGAGTTTTGAGTGTGTGTAATGATGGGTTTGGGTGTGTTTATAAAGTGTTTTGGGTGTTGGATTTTTTTATAATTTCAGCCCCCATTTGGTGTGTTTTTTTTTTTCCCTTAAATTGAACATTCCAAAAAAAAACAAATAAAAATAACAAAAGCAATTTTGTTTCAACAAACGCTACCCATGTATTGTCGAAGTAAATAGAGATGATTTTCCAGTGGGGAAAAAAAAAGATGAATTATAGCCAACAACAATGAAACATGAAATGAAATATCCTCATCATAATCTCCAGACAAGAACTACTAACTAACAAACAAAATTGAATTCAAATTCCTCCACAGTGAATGAACCTAGAGGAGATCTTCATCCTCATGAATAACCCACATGGAATTTGAAGGGACACAACTAACAATCTAATTACATAGAAACAAGCATATGGACATATAACTCACATGACCTACAAAAAAAATTGACATGAACTGATCTTCATTTATGTATCAGTTTAGTTGTGAACATGCCTGATGGCTGGCACTGGCACTCCAAAGATGCAAGGTGACCCTCTTAACAAACTATTGAAGTTGAAGCATTTCCCTGGTGATCCCCCAATCCCACTAATTTCTTGATCCTCAACCACATGATCGTCGTCGTCGTCATCATGATCATCAAAATTTGGTCCTGATCATCACACTCATTCTCAATTCCATTCCCATTCTCATTTCCCATCTTTGTTACCCTCATCACAAACAAATGGTGGAATCAAAATCTCATCATCAAGTGGCACAAGCTGCAAAGTAAGCCTTCCATTGGACCTATGAGCCCTAAAGTACTCATGATGCCTAACCTTCTCCTCAGTGAGAATCAGCCTCCCATCACTAGTGTAATGCCTCTTCAACACCCAAGGCATATGAGCAGGTAAATTCTCAGTGCGAGCCAGCCAGGGTATAGGAGGAGGAAACTCTTTATTCTTCATAGCCCATTTTTGCTCTCTCTTGCCCCTTAATTTCTGACTAAAATTACATCCCTGCCCATCAGCACAATTGGTCACATTTGGTACATCACTATCCTTGAGCACATCAACAGAGCTCTCCATTCCAATGTAGTCACCAAACAATACAGAAGAAGAAGTTGGGGAGAGAAAATCAGAGAGCATCATGGAACAACTTTTGTGAGATGTGTTTTTTACGGGGTCAGGAGTTAAGGCCTTGAGACCCAATTCTAGAGGAGTTTGGTTTTGGCATGGGTGAGGCTCACTGGGGATCTGCATACAAGGCTACAGTGTGAGAATGCTCTCTGGTTTGTGTTTACATGATTGTTTGGAATTTACAGAGTTGAGTGTCTTGGCTAGAGAGGAAGATAAGCGGGGCCAGGTAACATCTGATAAACATTGCTGTGCTGTACCGGGGACTTTGCCTGGAAATTTTGAAAACAAAAAAACTATTTTTTTTTTCTTCATAAGAATAAGAAACCAAAATAATTATGTGTTATTGTCAACATATATAATTGTTAAGCATATAAATGTTTTGGAATTGATAATAGGTCAAATAAGGTAAAACTAGGTTGTCAAGATAATGTTAAAATTGTACTGTTAATCTAAACGGCACATTAAAGTTTATTTTAACATTCAATGTATAGCACGGTAGATTGTTAATGTAGATTGCACATTTAAATTTATTTGAACATTTTTTATGTGGCAATATAACACATCGGATTGTTCTGTAATAAAGTCTTAGCTTTCACTCATGGTTTGGTAGATTGCACCACATGTTATTTTCAAATTTCAAGTAATGTATATATGCATGTGTGTATATTCATGTTGTGACTTGAACGCAACCCCACAAAATTGAATCTTGTGCACCGTTGAGGTCAGGGGCGGTCTTACCCTAAGGGCAGGGTAGGCAGCCACCTACTTCATTTTTTGCCAAACCAAAAATTACCAAATATCCAATACAATTAAATTTCTTCTGCCTACTCAAACCCAACCTACCAAGGGCGATCCTACCCTAAGGACAGGGTAGGCAACCGCTTACTCCATTTTTTGCCAAATCAAAAATTACCCAATATGCAATACAATTAAATTTCTTCTGCCTACTCAAACCCAACCTACAAAGGGCAATCCTACCCTAAGGACAGGATAGGCAGCCGCCTACTTCATTTTTTGCCACACCAAAAATTACCCAATACAATCAAATTTCTTCTGCCTACTCAAACCCAACCCACTCAAATTTTTCCCTTTAACAAAAACAATAGCCCAACCCACTCAAACTTTCTCCTTTGACAAAAACAATAAAAAGCAATATAAGCATGTGAAAGTTGTATGAAGATTTTTTTCAATGTTGACTAACATTGTGAATTTTGTTAGTACTTTTGCTAAGCCCTGTAATGAGTTAAATTTAATTCGAAAAGCTGAACTCAAAAAGTTGTTGGATTCTGGGGAGCTTGAGACAAGTAGAGGCTCATTATACCCCATGATTAAGTGTATCTTTTTATTTTTATGAATAAAATTCACTCGTACCGTCGAGTTTTAAGGTAACTTTCGCCTACTTGACTTTTAAATACTGGATCTGCCACTGGTTGAAGTGATTGAAGTACTTAGTATTATTTTCAGTTTAATACCCTAGTGATGGAAAACATATGACAGCAGTGACCGTGGAACAGCTTGATGGGTAGAAGTTCATAAACAATGAAGGATACTACTTGCCTCCTTATTAGTAAGGAGATACTTTTCTTTCTTCGAATCAAATTTAAAATAAAAAAAAAAAATAATTATCAAAAAAAAAAAAAAAAAAAAAAAAAAAAAAAAACACACACACACACACACACAAAACCTCATATACACATGTCACACTAATATTGGCAGGAATGTTGGAGCTCCTACTTACCTGGTAAAGAGGAAAAGTATTTTCCAACAATGAAATCCAACATTTGTAGATTTGGACTTGAGCTCCAATTTGGGCCCATGACCCGCCGTTTCAAAAAGAATGAACAAGCATCTAGATTCAAGAACATAAAATGAACTCCACCAGCATTTTAAAGTCGAAGAGAAAATATGAAAAATTCTCAATAAATTTGTTAATAATATGAATAAGCTTAAGATTACAACTTCATAAGGTTGTTTTAATGGTAAACTCAAAACTCTAACAATTATAGGAAATAATAAAATAACGAGAAATATTATAATCTTAAACTAAATAAAAAGAAATAATTATATTAGGAAAATAACATTCTAAAAAAATGTTTATTCTCTAATTTGAAAAGGAAAAAAAAAAAGAGAAAAAAAAATCTAAATTTTGCCAAAAAGAAGGTCTTTCTTCTCTTCTTAGCGCTATGATCACTTTAAGCGTGGTTTCCACCTTTGGTCTCTGTTTTACTCAATTTGAATAGTCTCTTTTTGGTATATTTTCTCCACAAGATTTGAACCCGCCTCACAAAAAATCTTGTATTACATCAGACCTCTTTACTTATAAACAACTTGACCTAGACTCGTTTTGAATCAATCTTGATCATAAGTAGACAAGAAGTTTGAGATGTAAATAGATCGGCAACTTGTTAAGTCTCAACTTTTTGAACATCTATGGTATAAAAATAAAATAAAAAGGGTTTTATTAGCTTTGGTCCTTTATGTTTTTTTTTCCTCTAAAGGATGACAGTATAAGGGTGTCCCACAAATAAACTTACTTATTGGATCCCACAGATGAACTTTTGTATATATTAGTCTCCTCTCACAACTAAAGGAACGGAGTACCAGTAAGCATGGTTGAATGCCCAGTTGTCTTTATTTCTCAGTTGCAGGAGTCTTTATGTATATTTATAGGAAATATTGTGTTCATCTATTTATTTGATCATATATATTTAGATGGTTGTGTCGTCTCATTTGGCTGATTTTTTCCAATATGAATATTGTCACATTTGTCTCATATAAGGCACATTCCTTATTGTATTTCAATGATATGAAACGTCTATCTTTTAGGTATCCCTTCAAAGATCGTCGCAAAAAATCACTTGAATCCAAAACTATTTGACCGCTCAATTAATTGTAGTCATTTTAGTGTTCTCTTGAAGCACAATGGTCGTCTATTTTGATGGTCATAACTAAATGAATTTATGGTTTTCAAGTGGTGTAATTTGTTGCAACGATAATTAATGAATAAATATTTAAAAAATAGACCGTTCAAATCATTGAAATAAAATTTATAGTGGACCCCACAATATTTTCCTCAAATAAATTAAGGAAAATTTGCGCAAACACCACCTGAACTATTAGGGGGTGTGTGCATGTACCACCTAATAAAAAAAATTTACAATTTCCCACCTAGACTCTACATTTAGTGCTAATGTCCTCCATCCAAATCTATTAAAAAATTTGTTAACTCAAGGGCAATTTCGTCAGTTCATTATAATTAAAAAGGCAAAAATATTAAAATTTCTAAATAATTAAATAAATAATTCATCATCATCCCTTAGGCCTTATCCAACCCATGAAGGGCTAAACCCAAATTTTCCCCCTCCAAAAAGTAACTATTTGGGATTTTCCCTAACTCAAATTATTTTTTCTCCCAACCCTCTGGACTCAAATTTTAAGTCCGCAACTTTATTAAATTGTTTAAGAATGATTTCAGTCTAATTTTTGTTTATGGATAACTTTTCTTCATTCAATCTTTTTAAACAACTTCATAATTAAAAAATTTCAACAATTTGACTTAAAAATATTGAAATTCCATAAATATAATTTTATTCCAAAAGAAAACACACATCATAATTCTATAAAAAAACACACAATACTTCAAATTCACTATACGTGAAACCCAACATGAATAAACTAATAACCACCATCGTGGGGGCTTGGATAATAGTCCGCTGAGTTTTCTTCAGGATTAACGGTAGATTGTTGACCATGTGCATGTTCTTGCATAATTTCATTTTGCTTATCCCCCCCAATACTTTTCTTTCTTGGAGTAAATTTGGACACGTCCGTGGACATTATTTTTTGTTCTTGGGCTTCCTTATCTTGTTGCTTCTGATAAGCATAGCATCAGCTTAATCTTGGACAAACTTGTCCAATATGTTGAGCTTTCATCTCATACCCTCCTTGAAAGCAATACATCGCTCAACCAATGATTCCAAGTACATATCCCCTGTTTGTTGAGAAGGGTCAACCATCTTCCCTTTTCTTTTTTTTGCAGCCCTTTGTTTATCTCTCCCCTCATGCCTTGGACTAGGCATGGTGACATCTTCTATGTCATTATCCAAATTCACCATACGTGCACTAGTTCCAGAAGAATGTTGTGTGGAAAGCTCATTTATATCGTTCCACTTTGGGCAATCTTTTAAGATTTCCCAAACATGGTACAACTTGAAAGGCTTATTTAGAGGCTTATTATCATTAAGAAAGATAATTTTCGCATATACGTCCTACGCATGAAAAAATAAATTTAAGTTTGGAGTTGAATAAAATTACAAATTTAAATTTAAAGCTTTAATAAAAATGGTTACTTACCACATCATGTAGATTTGAGCCACTTTGTGGGTTAATATTGGCCTTAGTCAAGCATGTCTTTCAAAGAGAACACTGTTGGTTGATAGTCTTGAACAGAGAAGCAATGGCTTGATATGTTCGTCGCTCGGGTCCATTAATGCTCGGATCATTTTCCAGAAACTTTTGATATACACACTTCCAAAATGTGTTGCTTGCTTGATTGGTGTAAATAGCCCCGTCTTCCTAACAGAAACCCACCCTTGCATAATGCTTCATCTTCTTCCGGCCTCCAATTCACACCTCTTGAGATTTTGTGGACATCTTCAACAAGAATGAAAGGAGATTGATGAGATTGACAAAGGAAAAAGAAATTGAGAATAGATAAAATATTTTTGGTATATTATTTGAGAAATGGATAGGTATTTATAGAATTTGGAGTGAGTTTTGGGGTTGGATCTGATCTATATTAATTTAAAATATTATTTTGACTGTTGGATTTAAATTTCAGCCATTTGATCTTTCTTTTTTTTTTGCCATTAAAATAGCTTATATTAAATCTAGATCGTTAATTTAAGTTACATTTAGAATACCCAAAAAAAAAATTGAACTTCACAGCAGCATAACATGTGGCATGACAAGCTGCCAAAAAGCAGCAGCACAACAGGAGCTAGGCCCCACGTCAGATTCTTTGCACATGAGGGCTGCTTTAGATGAAAGTGGGCTCCACGAATAGTTTTGGATCTAGGCAATACTTGGACTGCTATTTGGGTTCAAGTTTGACTTTTCCCAAATTTTGGCTCCTTCATTTTCTTAAGTTGGGGGTGATGTTGGGCTATAATTTGGGATATTTTGGGTTTAGCCTCATGTTGGAGATGGCCCTACCTTTCCCTTCTCCTTCCCTTGCTCAAGGTCTAAATAAATCTAACTGGCAAAGGTTGTTAGAAAAAGGTGCACAAGACTCCAAATCAAGATTCAAATACAGCAGAGGATGAAAAGACCTATAAAACAAAGCCTAGGAGCTTAAACTGGACCAAGTCAGAGACCAATGGGTGCACGAACGTTGTGCTTTTGTCCTAGTTTAAATTAAAACCTATCGTGTGGTATTTAAGGTGTGCCTATTATAACAATTCACGTAAAAGAATTATTGAGCTATATATGTATATCCCTTTTGCGGTCAGGGTTGGGCACCCGGTTTGTTGAATAACATACGTGAGTCTACCGTAGAAGCACAAAAAAGGAAAAACCCAGAATCTGAGCTCTGTGAAGTAACAAACAGTAACTTTAAAATAGTTATCAAAACACCATGCATTAGGTCACTACTAAGATAACCTCACACATAGTACAAGCTAAGTATCCGCAAACTTAGTAACAAAATCATCATAGAAAATAGAAAGCAAAGCCTTGAAATGTAGAGGCTACAGCCGCTCACTGACCACCAGGTAGCGTCTTGATAATATCCGAGTCACCTGAACAGTAACAAATGACATGTCAGCCAAATCAAATTTTCATATCAATTAAAACCTAAACAGATCTCTTAAAATCATAATAGAACTACAGAATACCTGGATCAACAATGCTAAGGCACGATACCCGGAAATACTTTCCACAAGCTGTACCCAGATCAACATTGTCTGAAAACAGAAGAAATGGTCAGCCAAATGAAACGGAAAAAGTCTAGTAAACAAAATTATTTCCTTTGTTGACCGATATTATCAAAAGAAAAGCATTCTGCAGCACGCATACATATATCTTTACTATGTTATGCAAGGGAGCAGAAAGACAAAATCCTAAATAAAAGCTCAGAAAATGGCTTCCCCTTCCATTTGTATTGGAGGACAGAAAGGAGTTTCATGCACGTACAAACATTGAACATTATGAGAGGAGTGCAACCAGCAAGCAGCTCATCCAGGCAACGCAACAAATTACGACTACATGAAACCAATATCTTAGGGGACAATAGCATATGTTTCTAAGTCACGTCAACACATTGAACTAAGAACAAGAAACGTGCGGATATGTTTAGTGACACTATGTCTACTAACTCCAAATAGACAAGGTGAAAGGAAGACAAGACTGATATATAAGCATCATTTCCCATGAAAATCCACCAGCCAAGAAGATCACCTGGCAAAGAGGCTTAACATTACAAAGTATGTTAGTGAACAATCAAGAACTAAGACCAAATGATGGTTTAACCACCACGCTGAGACAAGTTCCCACACCTAACAGCCAATAAATATCACATTAATTTACACTTTCTAAACACCAGCCATCACAGTTTCTATGAGATTTTGAAACCAGAACCATCTGGATTTGTAATCAAGAGGCAACAAGCAGCCAAGTGAGATTCAAGAACAAGAATCATATTCCATGTTCTACTCCTTTTTCATATTCCATGTTGATCCTCAAATTCAACAATCACTCAGACAAGTTAATTCTTCAACTAAAGAATCTCTTAGAGTGCGTTACTCGGTGGTTGGAAGAACTAATTGGAAAATTTATCAAAGGCCGCTGCACAAAACATGCAGGCATTGGATATAAATAAAAGGTTGATATGCATTTCAAGCTTGTCCAAGGGTCCACCCTTATGTTCCACCATTAATCCAACACCTATTTACATTCCTTTTATTTACCAAACACTTCCTAACATCAATTGATGTTTCTTTGACATTTACTAGTAGAGAAACTACCATTTCGGTGAGCCGAACACAACCCATCAAATATTGCAACAAATTGTTTTTTGTTCTTATCAATGTTAGTTAAAGAAAAAGGCAAACTATACAACAAAGACCCTATACAACATCCTACAAACTGATAATAACAAAAGCAGTTCAAAGTTTTATGTTCTAAATACATAACAAAACTGATGCAAACCCAAATGTTATGGCTGCAGAGCACTTACTTCCATTGTAGTGGTGAACCCCAACCTTGGCAAGCATAGCATAGTATTCGATTTCGGACTTTCGCAGAGGTGGGCAATTGTTGGAAATTATAATCAGCTTCCCTGCATTTTGTTCCACAACAAAAACAAATCCCAATTACAAAACTTGAAATTAACCCAATAAAAATAAACCAGATCACAGTAAAAGGGAAATAATAGACAGATTGGAAATTGAAAGAGATATGAAAGCTTGCCTTTGGAGTTACGAAGAGAGTCAATGACGGTTTTGTAACCCAAGGTGTATTTTCCGCTCTTCATGACCAGAGCGAGCCTGGTGTTGATGCTTTCATGGGTCTTCTTGGTCTTCTTCACGGCCACCATTTTTGAAAATTTTCAGATTCTTCGCTTTTGGTGCCCAAACGCTCGCTCTCCTCGGCGGCCGAACTCGAAAGAGTTGAAGAAGTAGAAGAGCAGTAGAGTTTGCTAGGGTTTTAGTATTGGTGCCAATGAGAGATGGTCTTACACGTGCAACTCACGTGGGTGTTTTTTTTGTTTCTTTTTCTTTTGGAAACGGGCCTGAAACGAAAGCTTATGTTGTCTACAAAGTGGATAAGCCCACTAGAAGCAAGTCTTAATTATTCATTTGCCCTTTAAACACAATTGAAGTCTCAATTTGCTTTACTTCCGTCTACAAATTTGTAGGTAATTTCTACCATTAGATTTTTGAGAAGATCAATTCCATTAATATTTTAACAACATTACAGAAGAACATGTTCTTCATGCATGAGTGTGGCCTCATTAAAGCCTTCTCAGAAATCCTGAGCAACGAAAGAGTCTAGACAAAACCACAATAACAGAGCAGACACCTCTAAAACAAATCTACACCACCCACGACACACAAATTAAGAAAACCCATTGAAAAAGCACACCAACGCCTCTCAGATTCTGCCAATGTAAACATAGTCCTTTATACATTGCAAGATTTGTTCAGTTTGCTCTGAATCAAAAACAAAGGAACACTGGCACGAACAGCCACACAAAAGAAAAAAGAACTACCTCGAGGCCCAACTTGGCTTCTTATCTTCAAGAAGCAAACTTCAGGTGACAGAACCTTCTTGGGATGCCAAGCCCACGAACGCTCCAACCACACACTAACTGTGAGTCAGTGGAGACCCCTCGAGTCCAGTCTCCTCCGCCTTATCAGTTATTGTGACATCACCAACCCCTTAGACAGAAGGACCTACCTCAAAAACTTGGGTGCCATCAAAAGCCCCTATGCCAGCACCATCCCTTACACTCCAAAAACTATGCGACACAATTTCTTGGACAAAGACATCATCCTTGCCCCGCCTTAGTTCTGAAAAAGTTTTCACAAACATATCCCAATTAGCCTCTTGGCTAGACAAAGCCCTAGCCACAAGGCTATAATCCAGCAAGACAATTAAAGGCTGCAAAATTGCTTATCAACACCCCCACTCCTTCACAATAAGAGAGAAACAGTCGGGTCCTAAACGATTGGTCAAAGTCATCAACCTCTATACTCCAAACAGAGATCCAAATAATAAGAAAACGAGCAGCCCTATTTTTGACACCAAAAGAGTGTTGAAATATAAGTGGTGAGCTGATAAGAATGTAATTAGGCCTCTAAGCTAAATGGTGTATTCACTTAGTCTCTAAATTAGACAAGTGTTAGGCATTAGATATGTTAAGTGGTTATAGCCACGTGTAAAAATCCTAGAGAGCAGTTTTGGATGTAAGGCTGTGATTCTCAGTGATGTAAGAGAATCCAGCTATTCTTTCTAACAGCCTTTTAGCTCACACAGAGCTGGCTTTATTTTGACAGAACAGTGCAATAGAAAAATACACACGAATTGATTCATTCTCAGCTCTCTCTTATCTCTGCATTCTTTCTTCTCTCTCAACCTATTCAAAACTCTAACATGGCCTCAGAGCCAGGTTGGGTCTCTTGATCTGGGCGTAATATGTGGGTCACTGAGCTCAATCGAAGCTCAGCTAAACATCTGAGAAGAGGAATTGTTTGATTCGGACCAAAATATGGCTGGATCTGGAAGCTCAGAAGTTCGAACTCCGATTTTCTCCGGTGAGAACTACGAGTTCTGGAGGATTAAGATGGTGACGATCTTCAAATCTCTTGGGCTATGGAATCTGGTAGAAAGGGGATTCCAACCCCTGATTCGAAGAAGAAGACGAAGAAGCTTGAAGAATCATTGGAGGAAGAAGAAGCTGATGCAGAGATGATTGCTGTGCTCATGAAGGACGCAAAGGCTCTGGGCATCATTCAGAATGCAGTTTCTGACCAGATCTTTCCTCAAATTGCAAACGCTGACTCAGCTAAAATGGCATGGAATCTGCTCTACAGTGAGTATCATGGTGGTGATCAGGTCAGATCTGTAAAACTTCAGAACTTTAGAAGAGAATTTGAGTATATGAGAATGCGTGAAGGTGAACAATTAACTGCATATCTTATTCGGCTGAATGAGTTGATAAATCAAATGAAAACATTTGGAGAAGTGTTATCAAACGAGAGGCTGGTTCAAAAGGTATTAATCAGTCTTAGTACAGTCTATGATCCAATCTGTTTCGTGATTGAAAATACAAAGAGTTTGGAGACTATTGAATTGCAGGAGGTTATTGCAATATTGAAGAGTCAAGAGCAGCGGTTTGATATGCATAATGTGGATATAGCTGAGAAGGCATTTGGTTCTGTCTCAGTTGAAACAAAAGGGCAGAATAAGAATGGTTCTCAAACTGGTTCTGCTAAGTCACAGAAAAATTGGAAGTCGAATAACAAACCATGGGAGTCTAGGCAGAAGCCACAGCAAGCTGGTGCTGCACAGACCTCAAATGGATCACAATATGTGCATCAAGATGGAGTGAAGCCTCAATGCAAAGTTTGCTCGAAATTCCATTTTGGGGAATGTAGATATAAGGGCCAATCTAAGTGCTATAAGTGTGATAGATTTGGACATTGGGCTAGAGATTGTACTGCAAACAAAGGAGTGCAGAAAGCAAACAATGCAAGTCAAGTAGAAGTAAGAGGAAATCTGTTTTTTGCTAATTGTGCAATTTCAGAGAAGAGTGCAAATGGAGAATGGTATGTAGACAGTGGCTGCAGTAATCATATGACTGGGAACAAGGAGTTGTTAATTGACATAAATCCAAGTGTCACAGGCAAGGTACAAATGCCAACAGGGGAGCTTGTAAGCATAGCTGGCATGGGCACTTTAGTGCTTGACACAAACTCTGGTACAAAGTTTATCAAGGAGGTCATGTATCTGCCTGGTTTGAGAGAGAACTTGTTAAGTGTGGGTCAAATGGATGAACATGGTTACCATTTGGTGTTTGGAAGCAATATGTGCAGTATTTTTGATGATGCTTCATTGGAAAACCTTATTATGAAGGTGGAAATGAGAAAGAATAAATGTTATCCATTGTCTTTGTCTTCAAATACCTATGTTGCATTAAGAGCTGGTGTGTCTCACTTTACCTGGATTTGGCACAAGAGAATGGGGCATTTACATTTAAAAGGGCTGAACCAGCTCAAGGAAAAGGAGATGGTGCATGGTCTGCCACATCTGGAAGTTGTAGATACAGTCTGTGAAGGCTGTCAGTTTGGGAAACAACATAGAGAATGGTTTCCTAAGAACCAAGCATGGAGGGCAAGTACACCCCTTGAGCTAATACACATGGACTTGTGTGGACCAATGCAAACTGAGTCCCTGGCAGGTAATAAATATTTTATGCTGCTCATAAACGATTTTACAAGGATGACTTGGGTATACTTCTTGAGATACAAGTCAGATGCACTAAATTGTTTTCGAAAATTCAAGTCTATGGTAGAGTTGCAGAGTAGTTACAAAGTGAAATGTGTTCGAAGTGATAGAGGGGGTGAGTTCACATCTAGTGAATTCAATAAACCGTGTGAAGATGGAGGAATTCAAAGACAGCTCACCATGGCTGACACACACCAGCAGAATGGAGTGGTAGAAAGGAAGAATAGAACAGTGGTGGAGATGGCTAAGGCTATGCTTCATGAGAAGGGGCTGCCTTATTACTTATGGGCAGAAGCTGTACACACTGCAGTGTACATTCTGAACAGGTGTCCAACCAAGGCTCTTAGAGACAAGACTCCTTTTGAAGCGTATAGCACAAGAAAACTAGGTGTTGCTCATTTGAAGGTATTTGGCAGTGTGTGTTTTGTGCATAAACCAGAAGAAAGTAGACAGAAGTTGGATGCCAAAAGCACAAGGGGAGTGTTTGTTGGATATGCAACATGTGAGAAGGGTTATAGAGTGTTTGACCCTGCCACTAGAAAACTTATATTGTCAAGAGATATTGTTTTTTATGAATGAGCAACCTGGAATTGGAAGGAAGCAACTGAAAATTTTGTGATAATGGTGAATGAAGAAGTGCAGCCTAGGAATACTCAAGTGGAAGTGTTTGAGACACTTGCAGGAAATAGAAATTCTGGTTTCAGACTTTTAGACTTAGTTTCTTATGGAGGATCAAGCAAGGCAAGCAGCAAATTGGAAGGCACTCAGAACTTTGATCACACTCCTTTGAAATGGAGGAAGTTGGATGACATTTTGGCACAATGCAATCTGTGCACAATGGAGCTTGAGAAGTTTGAAGAAGTTGTGAAGGATGAGTCATGGATGAAGGCAATGAAAGATGAGTTGAACATGATAGAAAAGAATGATACATGGGAGCTTGTTGACAGACCTATGGATAAACCAGTGATTGGGGTTAAATGGGTGTTTAAAACTAAGCTAAATCTGGACGGTTCAGTACAGAAGAATAAGGCAAGATTGGTGGCTAAAGGATACTCACAAAAACCAGGGGTGGACTACAATGAAACATTCGCACCAGTGGCTAGATTAGACACAATCCGGACTCTAATTGCACTTGCAGCTCAGAAAGGTTGGCAGCTGTATCAATTAGATGTCAAGTCAGCCTTTCTAAATGGTGTCTTAGAGGAAGAAGTGTATGTCGATCAGCCGGAGGGATTTGTGATGAAGGGGAGTGAAAGCAAGGTTTACAAGCTGCACAAAGCTCTCTATGGCTTGAAACAGGCGCCAAGAGCTTGGTATAGTGAAATTGATGGTTATTTTGCTGAGTGTGGTTTCACAAAGAGCCAAAGTGAAGCTACTCTTTATGTCAAAGCAAGATGTGAAGCAAGCATATTGATAGTATCCATTTATGTAGATGATATTGTCTACACTGGAAATGATCAAGAGATGTTAGAAGACTTCAAGAAGGACATGAAGGAGAAATATGAAATGACTGATCTGGGGCTCTTGCATCACTTCTTGGGAATGGTAGTCATTCAAACACCAACAAGCATATTCATTCATCAGAAGAAATATGCAACAACTCTGTTAAACAGATTTGGTTTGAGTGAGTGTAAACCGGTGTCTATTCCACTAGTTACCTCGGAGAAACTAAGTAAGGATGATGGGAGTGGTTTGGCAAGTGAAGAGCAATATAGAAGGATTGTTGGGAGTTTGCTGTATCTCACAGCTACTAGACCCGACATTATGTTTGCAGCTAGTTTGCTTGCAAGGTTTATGCATTGTCCCACTAGCAAACACCTTGGAACAGCAAAACATGTCCTTAGATATGTAAAAGGAACCTTGGATTATGGTCTGGAGTATGTGAAAGGAAAAGGGGCAGTTCTAATTGGCTATTGTGACAGCGATTGGAGTGGCTCAGTGGATGATAGCAAGAGCACATCTGGATATGCTTTTTCTTTTGGGAGTGGAGTGTTTGCTTGGGCCTCAGTCAAGAAAAATTGTGTTGCACTCTCTACTACATAAGCTGAATACATCAGTGCCTTTAAAGCAACAACACAAGCTATTTGGTTGAGATTTGTCCTAGAAGACTTTGGAGAACTTCAAACAAAAGCTACACCTCTCCACTGTGACAACATTTCAGCTATTGCCATTACAAGGAATCCTGTTTTCCATCAGAAAACCAAGCATATTGATCGGAGGTATCATTTTATTAAAGATGCTTTGCAAGAAGGAACTGTGGATCTGATTTATTGTCCCACAAATGAGAAATTGGCAAATATCTTTACAAAGGCTTTGGCTAAGGATCGTTTCTGCTATCTCAGAGAGAAGCTTGGTGTGAAATCAGCTCACAACTTAAAGGGGAGTGTTGAAATATAAGTGGTAAGTTGATAAGAATGTAATTAGGCCTCTAAGCTAAATGGTGTATTCACTTAGTCTCTAAATTAGACAAGTGTTAGGCATTAGACATGTTAAGTGGTTATAGCCACGTGTAAAAATCCTAGAGAGCAGTTTTGGATGTAAGGCTGTGATTCTCAGTGATGTAAGAGAATCCAGCTATTCTTTCTAACAGCCTTTTAGCTCACACAGAGCTGGCTTTATTTTGACAGAATAGTGCAATAGAAAAATACACACGAATTGATTCATTCTCAGCTCTCTCTTATCTCTGCATTCTTTCTTCTCTCTCAACCTATTCAAAACTCTAACAAAGAGCCCACCCGTTAAAGCATCGCAGAGAGAGGCAATGATGCTTGAACGTTGATCGGACAAGGCCACGCGAGACCTCTGTTCCACTAGGAAGACAACTGCAAGACACCCTAGTACCCAGCTGCCATAACCCACGAAACCCTAGTTTTGGCTCTCCTTGTGGGAAAACGAGAAAGTGACCCCTAGCCCCAGGATTTTCATGATTGATTAATACTACGATCAATAAACAAGGTTTGATTTCTAGCATTAGATATTTACAGTAACACCACATGAGGTTTTCAGAATTTGTTTGTTAAAAAATTTATGATTTTATAATAAAAACTTATGCAAATGATAAAATTAATCTCAATGAATGAACAGACAATCTAATCTAAAAGCCTAACTTTGTCGTTTCAAAATTTTATATATATTAAATCATCACTCTTTGCACTAAAAATCAACTTAAAGGGGTTTTGTGAACACAATTTAAAACCTCAAGGGGTGAACACAATTTAAAACCTCAAGGGGTGAACACAATATAAAACCTCAAGGGGTGTTCGTGTAATTTTTGAAACCTAAGGGGTTTAATAGAAAACCAAAAACCTCAAGGGATGTTAATGTAAATAACTATATTATAAACAAATAGTAAAACATGATTTTTGGAGAAAGAAACAAAAACCAAAACGAGCAAGTATCCAATTTGAATTTAATATTTTATTTCGAATACCATTAATATCCTTGCACTATGGTTTGTAGAGAAAAAAAAACTCAAACCTGCTAGTATCCAATTTGAATTTAATATTTTATTTCGAAAATACCAAAGTGCCCTAAATTTTCATGAGCTTAGTTACCGTTTCACGAGCTCCGAGCTCGGTTCCTCATCTCCAAGCTTTGATTTCAAGTTTTTACCTTCGATTTTTTGTTTTGAAATTGCAATTCTACTTGGACTGTTTGTGTTTCGACTGAATTATGGTTCAGTTCCACTGTATATCGTTCGATTCTAAGTGAGAATTTTTGTTTTTTGTTTTGTTTTTTTTTAGATTTTAACTCAAATCTTCTATTTAATCTTTTTTTCATCAATAAATGATGTTCTGATTATATTTAGTTATTTTAGTTAGATTTTAGAATTTTGATATGTGTTGTGTTTTGTTGGTTTTCGATTTGTTTTATTGATTTCATTTTTTCAGATTCAATTTGGGTTTGCAATCTCATGTTTCGTTTGATCTGTTTTGTCTTACTTTTACTCGAATTGTTCTGATTTTTCGTTCAACAAGAGCTTCGAACAAAGCTTAAATTCTCCTTCACAAGCTACAAGCTTTGTTCTTCGTCTTAGAGCTCTAATTCTCGTTCATTTGATTTTGCTTTAGGTCTACTGAATATATTGAAACAGAATTTATTATCTGCCTACAAGGAAAATGGCAATCATTATGCAAATTGTAATGTTGGTCTTGGGATAGAGTTTTCAAATTGTAATTGCATACGTCGTTGACAGAAACCTAGCAAAGGAGCAAGGTCCAAAGAATAGAGGAAAAATGCAACTTTCTGCCAACCTCCCTATATTCGTACGTCTATATACATTTAATTACGTAAATAAAAAAACATTAAGATATTATTGAATTAGAACTATTATGGTGAACTTGTGTTTTACATGACATATGCTTTTCAGATCAGAATAAATTTGGAATTTGAACAAAAATTAGAATTTTCATATTCACATACACAAATTCCGTTGTTTAGATCCCTATACAATGAAAATTTTAAATTTCATGTAGAAATTCCACCACCATCGTCACCACAACCACCACCACCACCTCCTCTGCTACCACTACCTTGTCATGGGCATCATCACCATCACCCCAACCATCGCCGTGACCGCCACAACCACAACCACACCATCATTGACCACTACCACTTGCCACCGCTTTACCACTAGCAGCCCACTATGTACCAACATCATACATGATGATACTATCATCACCACCACTATTAAGACATCTAACAGTCGCCGCCTCTAAAAAAGATAAACATTAAATTTGGTGTTTAAATTTCATTAGTCAAACAAGAAAATTTGTCAACTGGTTCTAGCCCTCCAATGCCGAAGTTTGTTCGATTGAATCTTGAGAATTTTTGGAGAATTTTTTTGGAAAAATTTTGTGATTACATTCATAATTTAGCCACAAAAAAAAAATATTGGCCACAAGGGGACATTACAATAATGAAGCGATCTAACATCAAAATTAAGACAATCTGGTGCGCCTCTGCTAAGGATCACGCATGATCGAAGAAACTCTGGCATAGGCATCCAAACTAAGATTGCAAACTTAGAATAATAAAAAAGATATAAAGCTTGAAAAAACCAAGCTATAAAAGCACTTTTTTTTGGGTGGGGGGGGGGGGGGGGGGTGTAAAGCCACTTTTACATCCCTTTTATACTTCTGGGGGTTGTAAATGTAGTTTTTTGCTCAAATAAGAAAGATGTAAATCTAAATATGTATAATGATTTTTTTTTTTGTCTTAATTCATTTTTGTGTTAACTTTATAAAACTAATTTTTTGTGTATTAGGTTAATTTTATTTTTTCAAACAAATAGACCTAAAAATATTTAAATTCAGAGAAGATATGATTTCATCCAAAAAAATTAAAGCTGGCTGTTTTTGAAAATTAAAGCTGTTGGTCTAGCAATGTAGCCGTTTTGGGGGGGGGGGGAGACGACAACCAAAAAATGGGCCCACATATGAATTTTGGTCCAGCAACTTTTTTGTTGACTTTTCTCCACTTTATCTCATCTTTTTTCAGCTGGGTCCCACCTGCAAGAGATATAAAAAAAGATATACATGTACATCTAAATTTGCATCTCATGGTGGTGATGTAAATTTACACTTGTTTACACCTCCCCATTACGGGTGATTCCGATAACAAATGGTGTATATTTAACATACACCCCATTATACACCCCCCACTGTGGATGCATTAACAATGCAAATAAAACTCTCACATATGATAGATGAAAAGCTCTCACTAAGGAGAGGTGAAAAGCTCTCACAAAATGATAGATGAAAGCTACACAAACGGAGACACAGAAAACCCAAAGAGTCTTTGTGATTTATTCCAAACCGAAAGAAACCGCAAAAATGATGGTGGTGATCGGAGTAAAATCATAATAAAACTAAAACAAATAGGGGAAGCCTTTTGTCTTTGAGAATGAGGAAAGAGGAGAAAGGAGGAGGAGAAGAGGGGAGCTAGGGTTTCTCAAAGTAATTAAAGCCCCTTTTGGGACATCAACAACGCTAACTGGACCATTCAAGGGCTTAATTTCTTCTTCAAACCAAGTATATAAGACTCTTTGGATAACTTTGAAACTTGGAAAGTTACACATAAAAATAAAAACTAAATTAAATTATACATTAGTACAACTACAAGAAGTAATAATGGCATTTAAATTACTACCTATAGGTGTTTATAATTCTAAATAAGAGTCAAAGTGACGACATGTTCACCTACAAGAAGTAATTATACTATATGTAATAGATTTAGGCTTCTTCGTTTTTGTAATGATGGTGTGGGGATACGTTTTGCAAGTTGAGTAACACATAAATGAACTGCAACCTTTCATAAATCTCTATGCAATGCATTTGTAAGTACATATTTTTTTGTTATTGAAATAACAATTTTGAAATTTTCTTCTAATTGGATTCGAAAAGCTTTCTAAATTTCGAAGAACAATTTGATAATTTGGAAGACTTCTAGATTTCTGATATAGAACCACAAATAACGACAAGTAAAAGCTGACAGAAGAGATCATTTCCTAGATTGTAAAATTTCATTTGATTAGTCTAATTCAAATTTAAACAAGACTTGATCGATGTGTAATTAAAAGGATCAAGTCTCACGCTTAAAAACATTAGAAACCAAAGATCAAAGAACCTCTTCTTTTATATTCTTTCTCCTCTCTCTCTTTTTTTTTTTCTTCTATCCTCTTTCTTCTTGCTTATAGCAATATTGTACAGGAGTTTATAAACCCTCAATTTTTTATTTTTTTTTCCAATGAATTCTCCACCACAAAGCAGTTAGGATAATATTTAAGTTAAAACATGACTAATTCATCACGAAATGACGATGTCGCATATGACATGGATGACATGGGGTTGCCATGTCATATGCCATATAAGTTCATACGTGCCATTAAGTTGGTAAACAAAGTTGGTTTTCGTAGAAGTAAACTTAATTGAATCCAATCCTTATAAGACCTCCCTGAATAGAATCCAAAGCTCTACGTCCACTGAAAATCAGTTCCTATTAGTTGAAAAGGATCCATGTCATGCTAAGCTGAGATGGCTCTGCGCTGGCTTTGTTTTGCTGCTGTGGCTTCTTGTGTTCATCTGTGCTCTTCTGCCGGCTCATACGATCTTATTTCTTATCGTTATGTGTTTAGCACCTTGTGCAAAATAAAAACCCAATTAAGCGTGCATGATATCAATGTGGCCCTTTTGTTTTCACCTGATGATATGACGAGTTTCGTAACATTGGGCATCAAAGATAATAAAAAGATGATGAAGGGAAGAATTTGATGGACACGTAAAGTCATTAAACACACCTTGTTTTATTCATGTTGTTTATTTTTCTTGTAGTGACAAGTAGTGCATTGGTTGAAGAACAAGAACGAATCCTTGTTTATAAAATAAAGAAAAAGAACTACTTTATTTATAAAATATGAACAAATCCTCAATTTCGACTTTATTAGATCGCAACTAATAGTTAAATATGACAACACGTAATTAAAATCGTTGAAATCAAGATCAAACTATGGTTTCTCCTAATGTGTTAGCTGCATCTAATGTGATGTGGTTAGTAATATGAGTAATAAATTCTTTTACAAATTACAAACAACATACAATTATTTAATGTGATACATACGCATATAGAATTACTCGGAAAATAATCATTTTACTACGTTTGTGATGTCCGAACGTCATTGCAAACATAGAGGAAAGTAGGGAGGGATAATAAAAAATACATGGCGTATGAATGGTAAATAAAGTCCGAAGGAGCCCATAGGAATAGAAAAGATTTTTTTTTTTTTAAGAAGTATTATTGGCCACTGGCCAACCCTCTTTATTAATACGAGACTTTTGTGCAATCGCAGTTGATGACGACTACGTATTAAACTGAGACTTTTTTTTTTTCTAAACTCAATTTATTAAAAAAAGAATCAATTGGCATATTCTTCTGCGACCACTATATTATTGACGTAGATACCTCTATAGAAAAGAAGTGACGGCATTGGATCCCTTGAGTTAGATAGAAAGTACCGTGACGCATGAAACATGACGATCAGCTTTTTCTACATTTCTTCTATAAAATGGAGAGAAGAATTTTTGTTTTTGCTCATCACAGACGAAGCCTTTAGTTTTGCTCCACAAAATATTGCAGACTAGCTAACACATACTTGTTATTTGGTCTGGAAACAATGGGATTGGAAATGCGAGTTCTCCTTGTGCTTGCCATGGCTATATGCCTCCCCTCCGCCGCATATGCAGCCGAGGGAACAGCCACTTTTTATACACCTCCTTATGTTCGTAAGTATATAATTTCGCCATTTCGAATGTATTATCACAAGCTGAATTAGTTCCTCACAGGAAAACTGGTGTTTTTACACGACCAGTTTTGCCCTGGTGAGGCGACATGGTGGCTCATGAGTCATTCTTTAACCTAATATGTTCTCAATACTCCTGCTGGTATTCTTATGCTAGAGGAACGTAACGAAGATGGCCTTCATGGCTACTATCTTTTCTTTAAGCTGATGTGCAAAGCTTCATTAATCTGAGTATTACATTAATTTCTTAATTAGGTTTCAAAGAGTAGGAGAAATTTGTTTAATCGAGTGTCCTACATCTTTCGGAATGATTCAATTAGTGTGTTTATTCGAAACAATGTCACCTGTGTCAGTTTCATATGAGTTTTATAGTATAATTAAATTGATGAGGGTTTAGTAAAACGTTTAAAAGGGTTGAAATTTTACCATTTTACCCTCTTAAATATAATGTGTTTGTTTATATGTATATAGGAAAATGCTAGGCATATACCACATGTCTTTGTATACATGTATATAGGAAAATGCTAGGCATACCACCTTATGTACGACATTTGCAACTTTGCATGTATGCGCACATACCCAGCTAATAAATTAAAGTAAAAATAGACATTATAAAAAAAATATTATATAGACCAACTGAAGAATAAAATCATCCTCTACCTGTAGAAGGTGCGCATGGAGGTGTAATAAGATGGCGGAACTACACAATGGGCTGCAATGAGCCATAACCCGGAGTGGGTTTTTGGGGGGAAAAAATCAAACCTACATATTTGATTTGTTTTAACTTATTAAAGTTTAAAAAAAAATTCAATTCTTTATGTATTTAGTTGCAGGGCAACAATAAAAATACACATTAAAATACATACACATTGAATTATGTTGACATATTTCAATTTTGATAATATGTGTTTTTCGGTCGCTTTTAATATGTATTTGTTTTATATTAAAGCTTATTGGAAATTAGTAAAAAAAGCTATGAACTATGTGATTTATATAATTTAATGTATATACTTTTATTTTTAGAAAAACCATAATATAAGTAAAACAAAATATCGTTAGATTAATTTTAAACTAATTAATAAATTTAACTAACTCGCAGGTTCATAAATCAACCTATAATTTATAAACATTTCATGAAGACAAACAGAATCCAAGTTGATCCTATATATCAAAAGAAAACCCCTAACTATACATCCATTAATAATTTTCTCGTTGACGTGTAGCCTCCTCATGCAACGGATACCAAAATGATGGAGTGATGATAGCCGCAGCAAGCGATGCCATTTGGGGCAACAGAGCAGCTTGTGGAAGAAGGTACAGAGTGACATGCACCGGAGCCACTAACCAAGGTGTCCCAAAACCTTGCAAGGGAACCAGCGTTGTCGTTAAAATTGTCGACTATTGTCCTCCCGGATGCGGAGGAACCATTGATCTCTCTCAAGAGGCCTTCGCCGCCATTGCTAACCCCGACGCCGGCAAAATCCAGATTAGTTATACTCAGTAAGCACATATTAACACACTAATGAATTTTTTTTCCCTTAGTAAAGTTTATCATGTATATGAAACTATGAATTCAAATTTAATTTTCCTTATTTTTTATGGCGTGCAGGGTTTGAAGCTCTCTCTAAGAATAAAGTCATTAGGACTAAGAAGGAAGAGGCCACTTGTAATGGAATAATTAAAGCAGAACACACTGTATGAAACTGTAATTATGTTTCACATGTGATGAGCTGATGTTATAAATATATATATGATTAAATAAAGAGGGTCCTTAAGTTATTATTTTCCAGTTTAAAACATCTCATGGTTAATCAATTGAATCAAATTTTGATCCTTCGATGGTAACTTACAAGCCTAGAATTAAGTTGAACTTCACCGAAACTAGCTAACAAAATCGTAATTTGACCTTCTTTTTTTGACAAAATTTGGCTTGGAATTTAAATGTTAGAAACTTCTGTCAATAGTCATAGTTGAACAAGTGGTTCGTCAATCCATCCATCCATGCACCAAACTCTTGAATTTTCCAAATCGTAGGTCTAGTCTTGACTTGGAATCTTCAATTCCAAACAGGCCAAGAAATAAGCGTGTAGATCCGGGAATTTATAAAAAATGAAAATTGCATAGATAATGAAAAAACCCCCATAGTCTATAGATACATCTACCTGGAAGCTACCAACGGAGGCCATATAAAGACGAAAAAAAAACTTACTTGTAATCAGAATAGCACTGTTTTGTTATCCCGGCCAATAACCATGACACATATAAAAGTTATATCACGTGTCATTGTGTTATTGACCGAAGATAACAAAAAATGATATCCCATTGCATGAGAGTTTCTTTCCATAAAGACTCCTCATCCACAAGCTAGCTAGATGGTCCACAAAACTTTATCATTCCCTTGAATTTTCCAAACACTAGGTCTTAGTCTTGATTTGAGATCAACATACAATTCCAAACAGGCAAAGCTGACTTACAAGAAATAAGCGTGTAGAAAATATGGGATTGATAAAGAAATTTTGTCTCCGCAATCTTCTGCCTCTTTGGCTTGACCAAAAATTGCATGGGCGATAATTCGGGGCAATCGCAGTTGTATATGAAAATAATTTTCTACTTTTCCTGTGCAGAAGACAAAATAAAAAGAATCAATAACTGGCATATTCCTTGTACAACAAAATATTATTGGTCTCCATTGGTAGCTCTAATATTTGCAAAGATGACAGCAAAAGACTGGCATTGACGCAACCAGGACAAAAAATAATGCGACACGCAACATGACGATGGATATAAGGTACAGTATGTAGCTATACCTACGTTTGCTCTATAAAAAGGAGGGGAGCCTTCCACTTTACTTCACAAAATACTGCACTAGAAATAATTATTACAAGTTATTTGTTAGGGAAAGATTTAATGGCATTTGAAATGCGAGTTCTCATTTTAGTGGCGGCCATGGTTGTATGGCTTTCCTCGGCGGCATATGCAGAGCAGGGAACAGCCACTTTTTACACGCCTCCTTACGTTCGTAAGTATACAAGTTTTTCTTGGTAGTTTTTGAATGTCACAAGCTAAATTAGTTTCCAAAAGGAAAACTGGTGCTCATTAGCTTGTTTTGCCAGTGGCTTTACTTAGCAATATGCTCTCACTCTACATTCCTTATATTAATTTCGGTTTAGGTATTTGCTTAAACTGATCATGTGTGCACGATGTGTACTAGTTTCCTTTAGTTGATAAATTCCTCAAATATAACACGATTTTAGGGTGTGAAGTGGGACTCACTCCGCATTTAAGTAAAGTTTGATGATCTAGTTTTAAGTTTCTATGGAAAGATATATTGTTCTTCAATAAATAAAGGGTTTTCGATTTAGCTGCAAGTATCACCATTTAATCAAAGCTTTTTATATGATTTTCAATTTGGCTAATTCATTGTAAAGATGAATCTTTAGTGGAGAATTATTAAAATAAAGAGTTAAGTTTCTAATTCAAAATGAGATTTCTCCTATTTTCCTTGCTGGAAATTTGAGTGAAATTGTTCAAAATTTAAGAAAAAAAAAGGGTCGATGGAGGAACTATGACCTCTTTGGCTTACCTCAGTGCATTTTCGGTGGACTTGCAGCCTCCTCATGCAACGGGTATCAAAACGATGGTGTGCTGATTGCTGCAGCAAGCGCTCCCATTTTTAACAATAAAGCTGCTTGTGGAAGAAGCTACAGAGTAACATGCACCGGCGCTACTAACCAAGGTGTGCCACAACCTTGCAAGGGTACCAGCGTTGTGGTTAAAATTGTGGATCTCTGTCCTTCTCCTGGATGCCAAGCAACCCTCGATCTCTCTCAGGAAGCCTTTGCCACCATTGCTAACCCCGACGCCGGCAAGATCACGATTGAGTATAATCAGTAAGCACCCGCCACATTAGTTTCCCTATCTATATTTTATTCAGCAACAAGGCATCTGTTTCATTCATGCAAATTAGCATCAAGTTTTATTTATTTCTCTTTCTTTTTCTTCTGAATTTTTATTTATTTAAAAGATCTCTCTTGTATGCAGGGTTTGAAGCTAAGCTAGCTAGCTCTCTAAGCCATATGGTGGAGCAAATTTTATGCCACAATTTGTGTGAAACTTTTATGTTTCGTTGAAGTGAAGTCATGAATAAGAAAGCAGCACTTTGTGCGAAACTTTTATGTTTTGCACGTGATAATTAAATAAAGAGGGCCCTTGCTGTTTATACAAAATGTACATCTTGCACTTTCTTATCGTTTTTCCAATTGAATGGGGTTTAATTTGGTGTGTTCGAAGAACATATAAGAGGAGGAAAACAGTGGGAGGAAAAGTCTCGCAAGTTCGCAACGCCAAACAACCATATATATATATATATATATATATATATATGTATATATACACTCAATTTATGGAGAGATAAGGTGAAAGCAGACGTGTGGCCGTTTTGCTCTGATACCATGAAAGAAATTGAAGTTACACCTCAAAATCAATTGACAAGGAGAATAACTCAATTTTTTAAAAGCTCATATAAAATTTCTTAACTTTTCAATGTGAGACAAAACTCTCAACATAAACCAAATAAATGAGATAGATTGCACAGGAATGGATGCCATCATAATGGCATCACACATGTTACTTATGCAATATCTCATAACACAAGTGCTCTAGGCCACACAAGTATGGTATTTATTAAGGCAACTAATTTATCAAAAAATATTATTGCTTATTCTTAAATAATAAAAAATATTTGTGTGGCTTAGAGCACTTTTGCAACTTGTTGCATCCAATGTAGTAAAATATTTGATGTTGTTACATTTATATATAGGCAAAAATGCAAAGGATTTGTGGAGAATGAACACATATAAGATAAATTTGAAGAAACAAAGAATACAATTAGATTAAGTCATGACATTGGTTAAACTTAGGTTGAATTTGGGCAGTTAATTTTATAGTCGTTATAGCCACTTGAAACATAGCCATTAGAGGCTTTCAATTTGGCTTTTCTCTTCATATATTGTTTTCTGAACAAGTGTGAATCGTCCAAATTGACCACCATTATCAAGTAGTTCCCGCAAATATGATTGCTTGACGCAGCTTGCCAATCTTGTGTCACGCTCGCCATGTGGACAACGGTTCATTGTGCGATATTTTTCCCTAAAATGAAGTGTTGCGTGATGGTTGAGCCTCATATAGAGATCTCATTATCATTACCCTAGAGGTGAAGTACCCAAAATGTGAAATTTATATAATACGGTGGAAGTTGTTGGAACTATGAATAAAATCTGAGACCACTTGTCCCACATCGATAGAATGGAGAAAGAGATAAATGGAAGGTGGGCCTAATGGAGTGACACTTGGGCCTCACTTATGGATTGGGCTTGTTTGGATTTAAATTAATTTTTTTAATTTTGAATTAATTAAACCCAGATTAACAGCTGTTTTAACAATTGTAAACTTCTTGAAAAGTTATCAGGCCTATTTAATACGCATAAGCATTTGAACGCACATGCATTTATACACTTCCAGAGAGAGAAATATACAAAGTTTACCATAATTAGAGCATCCACAATGATGCTCTCTATTTCTTAGCTAAAATTTAGCTAAAAATATAATAAAGCTATTTTAGGAGCTCTTTAAAAAATTTCAACTCCAACCATACTTCCTAATTTGGAGAGTCATAAATGCTATAACTCTTTTTTGATTGGTCCATCTCTATTAAAAAATAAAATAAAAAATAATTAGCATTAAATAAAGATTTGAAATACTCATTAAATAAAGTAGCATTAAATTATAGGGAGTCACTAGGAGTCCTTTCTCTCTCCTCAGATTTAGGAGCTCCTAGAGGACTCCCTATTTTAGGATGTGGATAGGGAGCGTGGTTGGAGTTGTATTTTTATGATTCCTCCATAAAATTTGTCTAATAAGGTGGTTTAGGGAGCCCATTGTGGATGCTCTTAGAACTTAGAATATAAATAATTGAATTTTGGGAGGCAATCATTAGAATATAGATAGTTGAATCATGGGAGGCAATCACGTGTAGAACTTCAAACACTGAGAATGGGTGAAATTACTGTTTTTAGGACATTGCATCAAAACTACAAACCTCTATCTCGAATACAAGTCAGTCTCTTTTATTTTTGTTTACTATATTTTAATTTACAATTTGTTGTCAATTTGATTAATATTTAAATCAATCTCCTTGGTATACATATTGTCCTATTTAGATATATTTTATTTATATTTGTCATTGATTGTTGTTTTTCCAACAGAAGTGAGAACCGCCACAGACGGACCCGTCTCAAGCCCAGTAAGTTGAATAGTTTTTTAAGCTGTATGTACATAATCTTGCTAATATGATAGCAATGAAGGTAGTGGTGGACCTATTAAGGTGCAATGAGGTGCAGCTGTACTTCTCCTCACCGAAAAAACCATTGTAGGTGTTTTAAATTACTCATTTGCTTAGCTGGTGGTAGTGCACAGTGCACAAATTACCTTATTTCCATTTTGAGCATTTGAGTAAATGTCTTTGTCCTTTTACTTTCATTTATTTTTATATTACTCCATTTACTTAAGTTTACAATGTAAATAAGAATTCCCACCAAATCAAAATATGAAAAATCGGTTTTAGTGCAAAATATGATTTAGGCTAAAAATGATGGCACATTAAGTCAATATATACTTCATAATAAAATCCCATAAAATCAAGTTTTCTTATTTGATGTGTAAGGAATAAAAGCCGCAAAAAATTATCTCGAGAAAATGATTATTTGGAAGAACATTTTTCATACTTAGACAATATTTTTACATAAAACAATTTTTCATGTATGATATGAATGCATGAAGGGATCTAAGGTCAATCTAAGTAAAATTAAAAAAAAACCTAGATGTTCAATCTACAAAGAGTTTTTAGTCTTTCAAAATTGCACATCTACTAAAAAATTCCTAGGTCCGCCAGTGAATGAATGTTTTAACTTGTTTGTTCTAACCATAATCTTACTTAGGTGTTTTATATACTTATATTTTCTACTTGGTTTTTCTAACTTTACAATTTTAATTTCGCCTCTTCTTCTTTGCGCTCACTTCCACTCGACCTCATCAAGAGCCGCTGCAACTCGCCTAATTTCGTGATGTCTTTATTGGGTTAGGTATTGGGCTGATGAGGCTCCACACTCAACTGCGTGAACGTAAGCAGACGATGGTGATTGTTAGTGGGTTATGTGCCATATATATTACTAGACAATGGCCTCCAACCGCTCCCGTGAACTTATTTACATCACCCATTAATGCCAATCCCCAATCCTTCATGGATCAAAATTGAGCCTCTTTAATGCAACAGCCTGTAACACAATGACCTGCTTCGCTTGGGAGTTTCTGCTCAAAATCAAATGAAATTTGTAACATAATGAGAGGGCACAGATACTGTAATTTCTCATTTCAATTTCAAAATTGACTCTCCACCCTTTTTACATTTTACTGTGGGTCATAATAATCTCATTCAATGATATGTGAGTCATGATAATCTCATTCAATGAAGCATATGTAGCTTTCGTCAATTAGTCAATTGATTAGGACAGTCAGCCCGATTCCTTGCATCCAAGTTCGTAAATTAGATTGCTGGTATAAAAAATAATCTCATTCAATGACACGGATCTAACAATTTGCCACTATAAATGCCTAATCAAAGTCTGACATCAAACAATGACAATTTAACAAGGCATAAATCCAACTGTGTTGACCCACCCCATATAATATATTATTTTTGTTTTGTTTTTCTACTAAAGGGCTACATATTTGGACTTACAGAGAAAGAGCAGTCCAATTTTGACCTTTGAATATGCCCTATTTTCTTCAACACATGCTACAATCTGGAAAGAAAGCATTTTGTATCTCTCCACAAGAGAAATGCAGAAACTGATCTGAGATCCCTATCCAACTATTGCTTCTTCAATTTTCCAGTTACAAAACATCCAAATTTACCTTCCAGGAGGATGAGGAATCATGGATAATAATTTATATATCTAGATAAGAATAAAAATTAAAGAAATTAACAGAAAACTAAACACTAGGATCAAATGATGAATGAACAACTTTGTTCTGCTGTCTTCCCATGAGCCAAAGCAGTGTCCTCCTTGCAAAAGAGGGTGGATTTGCTTGAGAATCCAAACTGTTACAGCTAACACTAACATTCTCCTCATCACAACCCAATTCACTCCCTCCATTTTCCCACCTGCCAATGTCAATCTCTGAAATAGTCCTCCTACTCCCACTCTCAACATTCTTGGCCTTCACTTCCTCTCCGGCAGCCACGCCACTCCGGTGCACAGGAAACCGGAAGGAAGAGGCCAGTCTCGACGAATCTCCTGCCCTATTCGGCTTCTCTTTCTTCCCACGGAGCCAAATCTTCGATATAGAGAAGCTCTCCCTCTTGCTCCTCCCAATGGTATTATTGCCATTAGTAATACTAGCACTAGCAGTCCCTTGAGTCTCAAGGCCTCCAATTGCTTCAACCCCACTGAACTTGAATTCTCTTCTGGACTCACAATCACACTCAGACATTGCTTGCCTGTGACCTGGTGTTAATGGCAGAGTAGGCTTCTTGCTTGGTTGCTTTTTCATTGAGGCTCTAATGGGTACTTGCAACGAAGAATTGTCATCCATTACATATGCAAATGACCCCATAGAAAAGCACCTTCTTGCATCCACATTGCTGTCACTACTCCCTTCACCACCACCATCCACATTTCTGAACTTTCCAAGCTTCACAGGCACTACCTTTTCCCCTGAATCCACCATTACCGTCGGATTAGCCTCTTCTTTCGTCACAATTTCGCACGATTTGCGGTGGGACAAGCCCAATTCGACGTCTCCATGAAAACCCAGATGGGAATTTGGTCCCAAAACTGAGTTGGTTCTGCCAATAGCAGCCTCTCTATCAGAGACCATCTCTCTTGAGCTGTCACTCCCAGATTCAAGAACAAGAACAATGGGGGAACAGCTATTGTTTGGAGAGAAATCAGGGAGCAAAGTATCTCTACACAAAGGGCAAGTTGAGTGAGACAAGAGCCATGTGTCTATGCACTCCATGTGAAAGGCATGGCTGCACTTGGGCAACAATCTGAGCTTATCTTCAGTCTCAAACTCACACAAACACACAGCACAATCAAATGGATTTTTCAATCCTATGATGGCTTTGTAATGGAAGACAGGGAGAGTGTCTATGAAAGACTGGTCAACCCCAGCATCATGGAGGTGGAAAAGTTGCTGCAATTGTCCTTGAAGAACAGTCACACTCTCCAAGTCATCTGCATCTCTGCTTGAAGGTCTCAAAAGGAATCTAACAAGGAGATGAAGCAAACCAGAAACAAAGAAAATAATGGCTAGAATTATGATTATGAGCAGTATGCTTGGACTGACTTTGTTGCCAAAACTGAAACTATCTGATTGAACATTGGAGGGTGGGGGCGGCTGAGGAACAAAGTACGGTTGCAGAGTGGTATTGGCAAGGCCTTTTTCTTTGATTTCAAGGAGGGACCAGACCATTTTTCGTGTCTTTGCTTATTTCCAAGGAAAGATTGAGAAAACTTACCAAGATTGCAGCTTTCAGCTTCAGGCATCTAATCTGAAGAATCTCATCTGGTATGCAAACAAACCCAAGTCCAAGTCCAAGTGAAAGTGCAGAATCCCAGACGGTTGTTTAAGATTGGTCTCATGTGGTTGTGCTGGATTATAAGCAGGATTTCTGATAGAGACTCAATGGTTTACCCTCAATTTTGTTTTTACAGTAAGAGAACTTGCAAATTGAAATGTCCTCTTCTGAGGGGAGAGAGAGAGAGAGAGAGAGAGAGAGAGAGAGAGAGAGAGAAGGCGGGTTTAAAAGATGGAAATAAATGGTGACACAGGTGAGATTTGAAAAGCAGAAGCCAATAAATCTAATAAAGCTACCACCCTGTGCAAAAATTAAATGACTTTAGGTCTGTCATTAGCCTATTTAAAAAATTTGGAGAACATGACTTCTATTATGAACACTACTTCATCAAATGCAAGGCTCTTCTTCTTCTGGTTCTGGTTGACTTCAAAGCAACCCTGCATCAACCCCAATGCCCATTTAATACCCTTAAGATAAAAATAATGATAAAATCTTGAGAAAATTATGGAAATGTGAACCCCCTAATGGGTTTTTTCTTGTTGGTTTTATATTTTAATGTCCTTGTTCTGATCATATTCTTTCCATTTCTTCTATTCCATCTTCTATCTCAAGAAACCCTGTAAGTTTTGTTAATATGGAACGGATTACTTTTTTTCTGGGTAAAGGACAAGAAACACAGATGATAGTCACAAAGTCTGAAGAGAGAGAAAGAGTGAGGGACCAAAATATTACGCATTTGGAACTATTAGAAGTGGAAGCGTAGGGTACTGTGTATTTTTGCAATGTAGAGACAGTTCAGGGGACCCCAAAAGCAAGGCAATTGACTGTGAGACTTTAGTTTGTTTAACTTTTTCTCATGGATTTTTGGGGATGGCTTTTTGTGCCGCTTAGTCACTGGTACACTTTCTGTTTACAAAGTGACACAAACATGATCGATATTGGGTTTTGGATTTGGTGCTCTAGGCCAACAAAAATTTAAAAAGTACAAGACAAGATAGTGATACATTATTGTTAGGATCAAGTAAGTAGACTCCTTTAGAGGTGTCGAGTAAAACTTGAAAAACACCACACACTTACGAAGCGATATCGTTTACTAGGAATTCATTGGATATCTTCACACGTGAGTGATATCCTCTTGGACCACTCGTTGTGTGAGGAAACCTATTAAGAACCCCAAAAACTATTTTTACTAAAATTGTTTGAGCATGTCGAACTGTTATTAACCTATGAATGTTCATTATTATGCTTTGTTTTCAACAGTTTTATTATATGTTAGTAACGAGATGTAGTTACCCAAATGGCTTTCAAACATGGTCGATGCGCCCCTGCATATGGAACGTATGTGATGCTCACTCTGCATTTTGATGTAGATCACGTACGCATTAGAGTACAAAAATTATGGTAAAAAATTGGCGAACATCATGGTGGGTACTAGGCTCATTGCCGATAGCTGCAACATTAATATAGGATTTAAAACCCCATGGTCCTAACATTGTGGAACAGTATCTGAAGTGTTGTCATCGTCAATGCCTTAATTTGTAAAATCCAACATTTCCACGGAAAACCAGAGCTATGTAACTTTTCACACTTAGAGAATTCATCAAAACTTAGATGCGTCCCGCTCCTACCATGAGGCCTAGGATAGATAGCAAGGATATTTCGAAATGCCAATGCATCATTGATATCATTTATGTCACAAATTGACAGAAAAAAATCAAGTAGCGATTTCAATTGAATGGTGTCAATCGCTTAACTTGTCACATGGCAAGGAAGTTGATGCGTGTATATTTCGGTTTCTTCTATCCATTTAACAAAGGAAGTCACATTGTGAACTAAATGCTTTCACACACACACAATCATACTAACTAATTGTTTTCATATTATCGACTTTATGCTAAATTGATGTCACAACTTTATTAGGTTATCATTATTGATTAATTAATTGACTCCCTCAACCCTAGAAGGGACCAATTTAATTTTTTTTATTTATTCTATAATAATTAATATGGTTGTTGGTCTAGCAAAGTATATACAGTACTGCATGACTTGGGTGGTTGACTTAAATGCTTCCTTTTCCTGAGAATGCAAGCATGGGATATAGAGATAAGTGAGGCCTATGCTTTACCCACGTCTCTAGAATGTTAGCTTTTGCTTGAAAATCTAACTTTTTGGTGATTATATAATCTAAGTTTTGCTTTTGAATTTGATTAAAGACTTTTAGCTTTTATCTTCTTCTTTTTTTATTTTTTTTTTATCGAAGTTCCAATTCATTGCAATTCCCCCAAAGGGCATAAAATAGTACAAACAAAGCTGAACAAAACACCGCTAGAAAAACAAACATGAAACAAACATGAACAAATTTAGCTAAAACCATCACAGTATAGCATGAAGATCATGTTCCCTAGCATAAAAACTAAAATGGCAAAAGCCAATATAAAGACATTTAACCCACATAAAGGCATAAAGCCTACAAAGAGGTACTACTCCCACATTTGGCATAAAGCCCATATTAAACATAAAATAAAACATAGGAAAGCTAGCCACCACAACCAAAGAGAAACTCCGAGCAGCCACCAGCAAAAAGAAACTCCATGATTGTAAATGAACAAACCACCAATCACCACCATAAAAAACCAATCACCCATAACTCAGCAAACCAGCCAAATATCCCCAATTAGGAAGCACTTGGTTATTCTACGTACAAGTCACCAACGCTTTTCACAAAAGTTGAAGTTGTGGTCCACCTCCCATATCCATTTCAACTATTAGTAGGAGCAGTGGCGGATCCAGGAATTTTCATTCCGAGGGTCAACATGTAAAAGGTTAAAAAAAAATTCTATGCAAAATAAACCCTTTGAAATGAAACGATAATACTCTAATTCGTAGTTAATAGATAAAACCATGCAAAATACTCATGTTCATTATCAAAGAGAACTGCATCAACTTCAAAAAATAGACACACATTGCAATACACCATATATATCTCTAAGAATGTGATAATAAACCAAAAAATTAGTGCAATCCTTACCGCCTCCCAAGGCATCTTGTCTTATTCGACATAAGAACTAGCATATCTTAGCGCAATCATGCTCATTTTAGGGTATTTACGTTATTTTTAGGTCCGTCGTAGTTTTGATTTGGGGCTTTATCTACGTTTCTTTTAGGTTCTAGCTCTCAAACTTTGGACCCTTATGAGTACCGTCTTAGGGGGAGCTTATTCAAGCAAATATTTCTTCAATACGTAAGAGTTAGGTTATTCTTGTAACTCTTTGTGGATTGAACATCTAAAGCTTTTTATCTAGATTGACCTTAGGTTCCTTCATGCATTCATATCATACATGAAAAACTATTTTAAGTAAAAATATTGGCTAAGTATGAAAAATGGTTTTTCAGAATAATCATTTTCTCAAGATAATTTTTGGCTGCTTTTATTCCTTACACATCAAATAAGAAAATTTGATTTTATGGGATTTTAGTATGAAGTATATATATTGACTTAATGAGCCATCATTTTTATCCTAAATCGTATTTTGCACTAAAACCGATTTTTCATATTTTGATTTTGTTGGAATTTGATTTTCTAGTATTTTTATTTGAATCCAAATAGGGGGTACTTCCTTTATTTACATTGTAAACTTAAGTAAATGGAGTAATATAAAAATAAATGAAAGTTAAAGGACAAAGACATTTACTTAAATGTTGAAAATGGAAATAAGGTAATCTGTCTGGTGTGATGTGCCCTTTGGAGCATTTCATCAAGCAGTTTAGGGGTAATTTGCAGGGGTCAACATCTTCTCCTTTAATGGTGGATTCCAAGCTTGCAAGAGTCAATTGACCCCTCTTGCCCCTATGTGGATCTACCCTTGAGTAGGAGGACCTTCTCCATTAAAGACTAAAACGAGTGTTTTGTTTAGCATCTTAATCAAATTTATCGTTCAGTGATTAATATATAAAAATTCCATATATCGTGTGTGTAAACATAATTTCTATTTCAACATTTTGCACGAATATCATTTTCGTTTACTAAATGCGTGCAAACAATTTTTCAAGTTCCTTCAAAATCAAGGGAGATGATCACCAACCTAATGGTTGTGAGGTGGGATTTCTGATTTCAATGGTTGTTATTTTCCGTAAGGAGTAGAATTTTGCACTCCATATCTCACCTACTTACTTTGTTTTATCCCATTAATACATTTTTGGGAAAATACAAATTAAATATTTTACCAGACTCATTCACCTACACTTTTGTGGGTCATAAAACCCTTTAATTTTCTTTTGGATAATAGTAGTACCGGATACAAATTTACAATATTTGAATATAAAATGCAGAGACTTTTGGTGTACTTTCAAGTAGTCCTAGATTACGAAATGCTAATCAAATGTTTAGATTGATACCAAACAACTCTTTTCTGTTTTCTTCTTTTTCTCTTTTATTTATTTTGAAATAAACTAATTGTTTGTTGACTTTAAATTTGTTGCTCTGGGACAGTGCCCCATTACCCTCTCATCTCGTCGCTGCCTCCATCCTCTTTCTAGGTAGCGCCCCTTGTTTTAGGGCACTATATATGCTTGTTATTTATAAGCTTGCATTTGTATTCTTTGGGTCTTAGTTGTATAATATCAATAAAGCTTACCTAATATTGTCCAGCAAGTGTGAATTCTAGCTACTATATACCAAAAATAATGAATATACTGACCATTGAACTGCGACCACCACAACTAATCCAATAAGAATGTCTTGAACCAATTTTTGTCCCTGCAGAAGAAATATATCTCCTAGCTAGAGAAGTCACTGTTATTTACAAGGAAAATACTTGTTTCGTTCTCCCTGTAAGTAGAAACTTCTATTTTCATGCCAATCATAATTTGATATATATGTACAAATTTTCTTGCCTTGTGTTTTTGATAAATTATTTTTACGTATGTATCAAATTGTAATTTGCTAAAAGAATAATGTCTCTTTACAAAAGGAAGCCGACAAACAGTGTCCTATATATAGAATTTCGACACGTAGTAACTTTTTAAGGTGCTCCTACACTTTTATTGTTGCATGACATTTGTGACATACGTTTTGGATTGAAACTGAGTGAAAAATAGTCAGACGATATGATGATGTGAATGATAGAGAGATCCTTAATCACGACTTCCTCATCAATTATGTATTCTTAACAACCCCATGTGGCTTTAATGTCAAAGATTAGTTTTCAAAGCTTTACCAATACAAGAAAAATATTCCCAAGCCAAAGAAGAAATGACATAACTGCCTCACATAATATTGAAAATAATGGGAATTTCCATGTGCATCCGTAAGATGTCAAATCTATCGTCAACGGTTGGACAACTCACGATCCCCTAATGCTCCTTGCCCGTGCCCTCTAAAATCCTTAAACTTGTTTTCTTTTGCCAAAATTTCTACCTACTCAGCGGATCCTAACGGTATTTTATTCATGTTTCCTAAAGGAAGTTGGAAAGTCGAAACATACACAGTCATCCGATCACACCACCTGACTTTGCATGGATAAAACAAAACCACGTGTTTTGGTTGTTAGACTTACTAAAAATTTGCATTCATCTTCATTATCTTTTCTAACTCACTAAAATCACTCCACACCATTAACACTCACCATCTTATCTCATTCCTCAAACCCTAAATACATACATTGTGTTTTTACTTTGTCGATGGAGCAGAAAATCATCGTCTATGACGATTATGAGCACGTAATTTATTTATTTATGCATTATTAAGTTCATAAGCATGAAATTTGCGGTTAAACGATGCAAAACACACACAGTGTGCTAGTGTGATATCAGACATTTTACATTGTCTAACTAGAAATAGTCTAATTCGAATGTACTTTGAATTAAGGATGATTCTAAGAACACCCAAAAAAAAATTCTGGATAACTATGTTTTTTTTATGACAACAATTAAATCAAGGTTTCAATACACCAAAACAACCCCCATTTTACATAAAACAAATGTTGGAAATAGGCCCAGCCCATTCATTGCCCAAAACCATGAGTCCAGACCATTTGTTGTGTGAAGTTTTGTTTGGCTAATGTTTTTAGCTTTTTTTGACAAACATGTAATCTCATATGTATTTAATCAAACTCAAAGAAATTAGGCTAGATTAAGTTAGTGCTAAGATAATCTACTATGGCTGAGATCAACTTCATAATAGCTCGATGCACTCAAAGCCTATTGAAGGTAATTCATCTTTGATTGCATTGCATGACTAGTCATCATTTGCCTGCAACATTACTAGTTTTCTGACGTGAGCTTGCTGCCAGCTGTAGGCATTTACCTAACCACTTGTCCTATTCTAGCTCTTATAATTAGTTGCCAACTATCTTTGTCTTGTGATGCCCTAATTTTGTTGTGAAAAATATAGTTTTTCTTTTCCATAAAGTCAAATACAAAAATATTTATATTTTAAAAACAAATTGGAAAGTTTTGAGGTATAATGAAATTTAAGAAAACAAAATAATAGGTAAATAAAAGCAAAATAAATAATAAGTAAGAATGTGAGCTTGGTACAGTGAAGCACGTCAAAGACACTGTCATAAAGCCTTTGTAGCCTCCCTACGTGCAGGTACTGACGGTCTACAAAACTTCAAAATGTGACCCCTTGTACAAAAACTCAAGATCCGCTATGAGTACGTTCATAGACGGATATAGGTATCCAAGTCACAGAACCATTGCCAAAATAATAATATAAAGTAGAAAATGAGAGAATTAGTTTATGGTGTGATTATGGTATGTGATATTCTGATGGTGTATTGTGGTTGTTCAAATGTGAAGGAGGAGTGACCTTTTATAGGCATCCAATAACGTGTAACCTTCACCAACGAGAAAATTAAGGCATTCAATATAGAAATAAAATCAGAATATTAAATATTTATAACCCCCACAATAAATAAAATAAAACAACCAAATAATTAAATAAATAAAACGGTTAAATTTTAAAAGCCTTTTTAAAATTCCAACAAATTTATCAAAAGGGTGGATGATGGTAGAGAGTAGTCAACACTACTAATATATTGCATTGATAGTCTTCATGGATTTTGAAATGAGATTTCAAATCTTTTTTTCTTTTTCTTTTTTTATAATTTGCTTTCGTTTTTTAGCAAATCTGGACATAGTTTTTCCTAGTTTTGGGGTCTTTTAAGTTTCCTATTCCTTATATAATTGTACTAAAGCCCTATGACATATAAATAGGCACTTTAGCACTACGTTATTGTAATGTGAGAAAGCTAAGGCATCAAATTGAGTTTTAGTCAAGGGTGAGACAAAAGAGAGCTAGGGTTTGTGAGAGATCAAAAGAGGTTCTTTCATACGAGCGAATTTCGCAGGGATCACCAAGAGGACATAGGCATAACGCTTAAATTCTATAAATTCTTATGTTCTTTGTGTGCGTGTTTACTTTTCGGTTTGTGTGTGCTTTATCTTTGCATGGCTTGTGTGTGATAGTTGTGTAGTCCATCAATGACAAAGTCTTAGAGTGGTATTAGAGTCGCGTTGTGGCGGGTATCCAACATAAGTATCCAAATAAAAAGTTTTGAAACGAATTTGTTAGTTCAAATTCTCATGTCACGGGTAATACCCACTTTTTAGAAATCTTGCCCAGTAAGACTCGGGCTCAATTGCAAGCCTCCATAATTGTTTAGCCAGTAAAGCTTTATTGAAGTCATGTAGGTTGCGAAAGCCCATTCCCACTTACTCTTTTGACACTCCTAGCTCCTTCCAGCTTATCTAGTGAAATCTTCCTAGGATCTCCTATTTGCCCCTACCAGAAATTAGCGAGAACACTATCAACTTCTCTGCATAGACTCCCAGGGAAAAGGAAAACTGCCATATGATACATAGGGATAGCTTGCGCCACTGATTTAATTAACACTTCCCTGCCATCCTGAGAAAGGAGGCTCTGACGCCACCCTTGCACTTTGCTCAGAATTCTATCTTTCACGAAACACATGGCATCCTTTTTTAATCTACCCCACATGGTTGAGAGACCCAGATACTTCCCCGGGTCCATCATAGTATTGACTCCCAATATGGCATGCAGCTGAGTGCGAAAAGGCATAGGAGTGTTAGGACTAAAGAACATGTTTGACTTCTCAAAATTCACCAAATTTCCAGAGGCTTAACAATAACACTGAAGAATTCTCTCCATTACTCTACAATTCTAAGTTTTCGCCTTAAAGAAGAAAAGGGAATCATCTGAAAAGAAAATATGTGATAATGTTGGGCCTCCTTATTAAATTTAATTCCTTGAAGGAAGTCTCTTCTCACGACACAATTGATCATTGTGAACAGCACATCAGTTATGATTATAAATAAGTATGGGAAAATGAGATCCCCCTGTCTTAGGCCTCTTGAGGGTTTAAAACTATACCCGTCTTGCAGTTGATAAGGACCACAAGCTCCACCGAAGTGATGCAGCTCATAACCATTTGTACCCAAGCAGTGGCAAAACCCATCTTCTCTAGGACAACCCTTTGAAAATCCCACTCAATTCTATCAAACACCTTATTCATATCCACCTTCAACCCCATTTCAAATTTTTTTGTCTTCCTTCGGATCTTCAAAGAGTGGAAGGCTTTGTGGGCAATCACAATGTTGTCCTGGATTTGGCGTTTTTGAATAAAAGCTCATTGTTGTGGGGAAACAATATCAGGCAAGAGCGTCAAATTGACGGAATGTGCAAATTAATTGAATCTTGAAACGTTGAGGTGCAAATTAATGAAATTGAAATCTCGTGACCCATTTCGATGATGTACTCAAACCTATAGGGAATACAATGTCGTTAATTCTTAATATATTCCAGCTCCTTGATGCTTGTTTGAGTCCATATATGGATCCCTCAAGCCTACACACCCTTTGACATTAAACACAAATCCTTCAGGTTGATCCATGTACAATTCTTCTAAGAGGTGGCCATTCATAAAGGCAGAATAGAATTTGGCATGCTATTTATGATTTTTCATAAATAAATAAAAATTTAAAAAGAAATTTTAAGGAATACTTTGAACAAAGGAAAAACTTATGAAACTATTGTTATACTGCAAGCAGTGGAATGAACCCAAATTCGAAAACTAGTAGTGAAAGATGCTTATTTCCGCACAGAAACTTGGGGTTCGTTAGGTAACGGTTTTGGAGAATGTTTTTTGAGAATATTTTATGAGAACGAAAATGAGAAAATGAATTTGCATTTTCAAGATTCGAAAATGTGTCTGGTAAATTAATTGGAAAGCATATTCAAAAAATAAAAATAGTGAAAATGTGTCTGGTAGGAAAATTTGAGAATAATAATTTGTGAGTTATTTTTCAAGTATATTTTTTTGCTAATTTCGGTTCTAAATTTTTTATTTTTTAAATTATGATATTTTCAAGGCTAAAAGTATTACAAACAATGAAAAATATATACTTTGAGAATAATAATGGTGTAATTAAAATAATAAATTCTAATTCTAGAAAAACCTAGATAATAAAATAATATTATCTTTAAAAATAAATATAAAATTGAATAATATATTATGGTTTTTATCATAAAATTAATATACACTCGTGTAGCAAAATAAAATAATGAAGTGGAACGAAAAAAAATGAAAAATGAAAAATATGACCAACCAAAAAAAGAAGAATAAAGCAATCAGACCAATACCTTGGGTAGAAAATGAAAACAATAATTTGGTGTTTTTCAGTTTTTGTACATGAGGTTGAATTTGTTTTCTGAAAACAATTCTTATGAAAATGAAAATGACATACCGAACGCATTTTTGATAGAAAATGAAAACGGGACCTTGAAAATGTTACCGAACAACCCCTTATGAACTTAAGAGCTGACCTATTCCTTAGGCTATAAATATTAGGGGTAAATATATTTTGGCAGACCCTCTGATTATAAGACCTCTAGATCTTTTAGATATTGAAATTCTTTCAACAAATACCTTTCTGTTTCTTGTAAATCTCTATATAAAACTCTTAAATCCTCACCCAAATGAATGTTTGATAAATTAGATTGCCCAAGAGCATGATAGCAGCCTTTAAGAGATGTGATCTAAAAGTTAGATAAACTCCTCCCATCCAACAACTCCTGTCGGCACCAGATTTTTTTTCCTTTAACGAGTAAGGGAACAAATTCTATATAATGAAGAAAATAGTCGAAAACATATTGAAGTCCAATGAGTACTTGATTTGTGTCTCTACGACATCTTGATAGTGTGTATGTGAGATACTTCTTTTTTTATATATATAAATTATCGCTTGTATTTTATAAATAAAAAAAAACCTAATGAATGCAGAAAATGAGAAGATTCCAAACACCCCTCCATAGGACACCAAAAATGCATATTTTAGCTCATTGTCATGCTTTAACACGCTGGATCACACAAAAAGCATTTTTAGTTGGCATGGTCATTAAATTAGTATTTGCTTTCTAAAATGCTCTTGGCGTCACATGATTATTATTGGTCAATAACTGGCAAAAAAGAAAAAAACAAACAAACAATGCATATAATAAGTCGTCGCCGGCTTCTCCTTTCTGCCCAACATGGCCACAATGCGACATCATGACGTGATTCCTTTAATTTTATTTATTTTTTAAGTTCTCAAATCATCTTTGAAAATAAATTCGCGGAATAAAAAATCATTTAGACATCAGCTATAATTAAACCAATAGATGAACATTGCATTCTTTTACAAATACTAAAAAATAATCACGATGATTATCAAAGGGCTAAATGATTTCAGATTGATTTATTTCTGCACGAGTCCTTGAATGGAGAAACATTTGTGTGCCGCTTTTGGTTAATTGTGGTTATGTGAGCCAGTAGTTTTAATGCGGCTTTTGTCCGAGTGAGTTTTCGCTTTTAACATGTTAGTTTGTTGCCTTCTTGGAATTGGTATTTTAGATGTCTTGTTGATATCTTTAATTTTACCATTGAAGTTTATCTAATGAAGTTTTTATTTTATACCAAATTTTTTTTTATTTTTTATTTTAAAAGCACTTGTGTGAAATGGGGATAGCACCCAATCAATCACGGCATGCTACAAGTGATAACTTTTCCACGTGACAATATATAATTGGTTGAATATAGTAAAACAATTATATTCCCGTTTCATACAAGTTTTGCTGCCTTGAATGGGTCCTTGTATGTTGTAGTCCAATAATCAAAATGGTCTATGTTTTATGTCTCAATTTAAGAATCGTTGTAACAAAATATTAGCTAACTACAAATCATTAATACATGTAATTGTGATCAAATAAATATATAAAACACAATGTCTCTAATATATATTGAAATTTTGTGATGATATTCAAAGGGTTAAAAGTTTTTATTTGGTTGATTAGTAGTAAGGGAAGATCCTCAAATGGAGAGATATATATATATATATACAGTTATTCTCTTATCCTAATGCCATTGTAAATAGTGAGAAAAGCAGGAAATGGTAGTAGAAAATACATGGCGTCTGCACAGTTTGGATTATTAAACTACAATATGAAGTAGAACTCACGAAGACAGTGGCTGGTTGGATCCTGAGCTGAGCAAGTGCCTGGTCCATTTACCTAGGAATTGGAAATATGAGAAATTGAAAGACAGTGTGGATTTTGAGAATTTTATTTTCACTTTGGAACTTGCCCTGAATTGCAAGGCTTCAATTTAAATTGGCGAAGAAGAAGAAAGGCATGACTTTAGGTTTTGTAAGTTTTGACTTTCTTATGTAAATTTGGGTTTTGTCTCTTCCAAGATCCACGATCTATCCTTGTTGTTGAGGTTGCAGAGATGGTGGGACAAGGCCTTCGTTTTGGTACGAGAGACAAAGAGTTATGATGGGTGGCTGGGCATGGGGGCGATGAAAGTTGGGATGTACAATGTGGTGGCTAGGATTATGGATGTCAAACGGGCCATGTCGACCCTACTTGGCCCATTTAGAGTCAGTCCATTTAATAAACAGGTCGTGTTAGGTCCGTCCATTTATGAAAATCATCAATGTCGGCTCGAGCCTACAACCCTAGCCCATATGGGATCGGGCCATGCTCTTGTCGAACCCTATTATATGGGTTGATATGTGCCCACCTCAAATTTGACTTAGGTATTGTATTTTTTTTTGTAAAATTTTTAACAACTTCATTTAAATCTTTTTTACAATTATGTATATACGAATAAGATTTATTATTTGTTAAAAAAAAGGCCAATAACTTTTTTTAAAGTACATTTAAATAGAAAATGGCTAGATTATTGTTTGGGTTTTAAAAATTAAAACTTCAAAAATAAAATCATTATTTTATATATAAAGAAAACATTACATTTTAATATATATTATTAGAGAAAAGAAATAAACTTGAATTTAATATATAAATATAATAATGTATTATTTTTATCTAAAACAAATATAATTTAATAAATGGGCTTTAAACGGGCCGATCCATTGGGTTTCTAGTAGGCACGGCCCACAACAAGCCACTGGCCTGGTCAGCCTATTGGGCCTAATTACCTAGTCTCGGCCCGCCAAAAAATACAGTATGTGCCTTGTCGGGCCTTACTTAAGCGTGTCATGCTCGAGGCGGCCTAGTCTGTTTGTCATCTCTAGTTGGGATGAGGGTGTGCTTTGAAGGTACGGTGGCTGCATGGGTTGAGGTTGGCAACTGTCGTGGCTGCACCAAATGGGGATGGAGAACTGAGGCTAGGGGTGGGGGTGAAAGCGGCTAGCAATTGGTGAGGTTCTCGGTTAGTTTTTATTTTTTATATATTTTTTAATGAAATTCATTTTTATTAGTTTTTATTAATTTTGTGTGCCACATCAGCATGAAAAAAATGGTATTTACATTTCCCACATCAACATTTAACATATTAGGTAACAAATGGTCTCATTTGTAGGGTTTCTATAAATTGCGATACCAGTCAAACGAGTCTCCAAAGGTTGGTGGGACACGTCATCCTTCAAGAGGAGATACATCATGAGCCAAGTAATTTTTGTTCTTGACCCTCAACAATACACCATGTGCCATGCACATGGTCAAATGTAATAGAAAAAAGTAACAAAATTAACGGTAGGATCATTTTTCCTGACGAAACTGAAGTTAAAGGAGCATATGAACTATTTTGGAAATTGAGGGACCAAAATGCGAATATGGTCAAAGTCCAGGGAACATTGAACCTAAAAACCCAGTTTGTAATGACCCTCATAGTTTGGGAGTTTTACTGTAGTTGATCCTTTTAACAATAATGTACCCTACTCTTATTAATTTTTTGTGCAATCTAGTTTCATCATTAACTTTACCGTCAAAATTTATGTTAATTGCCTATGTGGCAGGGCTTAGTCATACCTATTCACTTCTTTTGATTCCAATTGAAGGGCACTTTCGGGCAGTAGATGTTTTCCCACCCAAACACATTTTACACACAAAAATCCCGCCCAAACCCATTTGACATTAATTTTCCTAAAATACCCTTCAACTAGCATTGCAAGAAACGAACATGTGGGACACAAGCCTGCTCCGTAGACAATTAATGGAAATTTATCTTGTGAAGTTAACGTTGAAACCAAATTGCAAATAATTAATAAGATTATGGTACATAATTGCTAAAAATTAAAAGTGCATAAGCAAACATATCTTATAGGTGAAAATTTAGAGTACAAAATTGAAATTAACCCTAATCAAAACTAGAAAGCACAAATAATCGAAAAACAAAATAAGGTGATGAGTGTATTATGTGGGTGGGATTAAATAAGTCCATGAGGATGAGGTGAGTCAGCTGCCCTGCGTGGACTAGTAACAATTGTTCCGAAGTAAAAAGGGCAGGAGGGTACGGACAAAGCCAACTACTTAGTTGACTGCCTAATAATATCCAATCATGGAGAGTCGCAGACACGCTTTTCTTGCAGGCTATTGTTGGTTGAGGTTGAGGAAGAAGCTGCTGTCCTTGTGCCTAATAAATCACCCACTTCTCTCTATCTCTTTTTTTTTCTTTTTGTATTCTCTTTTTTTGGCAAAAATTTCCCATTTGAAGACAATCTTCATTTCATTCATTCATTCATTCATTCATTCCTCCCTTCCTCTTGCCAAGCCCATTATAGTGTACATTCTATCTTTGATCAGCTTCCTTTAAAACCCAGAAGGAGATTTTCCATCTGGGTTTTGAAGATTTTGATTCTTTACAGCTTATCTGATATTGGGGATCGAAGATTCTGTGCTGTCGCATGTGGGCAGTGAAGATTTTGGTTCTTGGGGGAATATCTGAAGTGGGTGTTGGAGATTTTTATCTTTTAAGGGAAATTTGGGATGTGGGTTTTGCCGTAAGGGAAAATTTTTTGATTCTTGGAGGAATGTCTGGTAGTGCTGAAGTTGGTTTGAAAGATTATGATTCTCTGGAGACGAAATTGGATTTTATTGGATAAGGTTTTAACGTTCCTGTATGTCTTTGTTGGTTTTCTCGAAGTTCACGAAATGTTTAACTAATCTGTGAACAGTAACATTCGTAATCTTTTTTGTTTATTGTTAGTTCGAGAGTGGTTTGTTGGAGAGTGATTTCTAGTGAGATACTGACCGTTACAACCAATTTGCTTTTGAGAAATCTGTCATTGGAAGGAGGGTAGTTGTTTCTAGTTTGGTGCAGGGGACGACCTTCTACTTTTATGTATAGAGAAGATAACTTTTTTTTTATTGCTCTCGATATCCTTTTTGTATATATTTTGGATGGATTAAGGATATGATGTCCTACATTTGAGGAAAATAAGGGAAGTTTGGAGAAAACAAGCAAAATTTTGGTTTAGCATGTGCTCATTGTTATCTCTCAGTTTTTGGGTTGGTAGTATTTGGGGGTCATGAAATTTCTCAGCGTTATGGGAAATTCATTTGGATGTTCAGCATCCGGAGAGCGATTAGTTTCAGCAGCAAGAGATGGAGATCTTCAAGAGGCCAAGGCCTTGCTGGAATGTAATCCTCGCCTGGCAAGGTACTCGACTTTTGGTGTTCGTAATTCCCCTCTCCATTATTCTGCAGCTCAGGGCCACCATGAGGTATAAAGTCTAATACGCATCTTCTTAAGAAATTGGTCTAATTTTGTTTTAAGGTTTTGCTTATCTTTTATGATTGATTGTATTTTTTTGTTCTCCATGTGTTTAGATAGTCTCTCTCTTGCTAGAGTCTGGAGTCGATATCAATCTCAGGAATTATCGTGGTCAGGTAAAATGATCTAATATGGTGGTTTTAGAAGTTTAACATTTGCGGCATTATATATATCAAAACTTGCTTTGTTATGGATTTAGAAATGAAGTTTTCTATCAAAAAAAGTGAAATTGTGGTCTATGTCTTGGTGAACAGACTGCTTTGATGCAAGCTTGCCAACATGGTAATTGGGAGGTTGTTCAGACATTGGTTCTTTCTAAAGCCACAGTAAGATTGTTACTTCCAACCCAATTTTTTCAATATTCCTTTGACATTGATAGGGTTAAGAAGTATGACAAATTTTGGAAAACTGGATTTCAGATTCACAGAGCAGATTATCTGAATGGGGGTACTGCACTCCACTTTGCTGCTTTGAATGGTCATTCTCGGTGCATCCGGCTCCTCCTTGTTGATTACATTCCCAGCACTCCGGATTTTTGGAGTACCTTAAGGAATGCATCGAGCAATGAAGAATCGATTGCTGAGTTTAACCATGAGTACTTCCACTTCCAGTTCCTTTTGCACCCTCTTTTTATCTTTTCCAATATTCTCTATTGATTTATTTTTCTGTTCTTTGCGTGCACCAGTGTTTTGGTCCAGATAATTAATAGGCCTGCTGATGGAGGAATCACTGCGCTGCATATGGCAGCGTTGAACGGCCATGTTGAAAGCGTACAACTACTTTTGGATTTAGGGGCTTCTGTTTTTAAAGTTACTGTGCAAGATGGAACTACAATTGATCTAATAGGTAACTTTAATTTATAATTATCCTTTTTCAGCAATTAGCATCATTCACTCGCCTTAGCAAATCTACTGAGTTGTTTTATAATATAGGAATTGGATAATACATAGAATACAACATACATTCATTCATCTTTCCAAGTTTTCCGCGAACCTTGTGAGTGTATTTCCTTTTCTGCTATTGTATAGAAAGTTATAGCCCAATCATATCTAAATTAATTCCTAAGACATTGTTTAACTTCGTGTTAATTGTAATTCCATGTAATGCTGTTGATTAACCTCTTGAAACATTAATGTTCAAAGACTCCCATCATTCCAATATGATTTTGCACAATGTATTTCCTAAACCATCTTTTATACTGATCACTTTGCAGGTGCTGGAAGCACAGCCCTACATTACGCTGCATGCGGAGGAAATGCACAGTGTTGTCAAGTATGTTCTTCATTTACACAAAAATATGTATTAATGCTGTTACATCCTTACACGTATTTATGCTCTGCTATTACTATTTTTATATGCTCTGGTTCAGATTTTGATTTCCAGGGGTGCCAGTCTGAATGCTGAAAATGCAAATGGGTATGTACCCAATGCCTGTTGTGATACTTTTGATTTGTTTCAAAGTCTATTGTAATTTTCACTTGGAATATTTATTTTAATAATACTTTGACCTGTGTTACATGGATTCAAGTGAGTGTCATGATTGAACCTATATACTGCCCCCAAGTGTCAAATTTTCTTTGTTTATTTGAGCGATAACTGCATGTAATTTTGACATTATGTGATATCTGTTTAAATTTGGATGACTGACCACCTTTGAAATCCTGTTGGAATTACTTATCATCAAACTAGTCTTGCTCATGATAGAAATTGAATTCTTGTCTCGCCTTCGCTCGAAGTGTTCTTTTTTTTTTCTTTTTTTCTTTTTTTCTTTTTTGTGTGTTGGTTTTTCTTTTCTAGCTTTGTGTTTTTGCCTGGGAATCTGCCCCTTTGTTGTCTTCCCCATTCTTAGCATAAAGGGCCATTGGCTTCGTTGCTTTTTGGCACCATTGCTGCAGTGGCCTATGATTCCGTGTATTCTGAAGTAGTGTGGTGCTCTGCATGTATGGGCTGCTTTCTTGCTCATAATAAGAATACTACTCTGCCAATCCAAACTTTAAATATCTTCTCGACCTGGTTATCAGATTGTAGTGTTTGGATTAGCAGAGTTGTATTCTTATTTTGTTAACTGTGCCATTGGACCTGAAAATGCGGATTATGAAGTCAATAATTAGATAGATGCACGGTTTTAAAATTCAACCATTGGCCAGTAAAATTTAGGTCTTAATCCCATGGATCATTATATTTGGTTCCTTGAAGTGATATCAGTTGTTTCATGACTTCATTCTTTTTCTTTTTCTTTTCTTTTCCCATCTGCAGTAACTTCATAATTCTCTTTACTCAACTACAAGTCTTTAACTTAACCCTGTTTTATGTTTTTATTTGTTCAAAGATGGACTCCCTTGATGGTGGCCCGTTCATGGCATAGAGACTGGCTCGAGGAAATCCTAAGCACAGAGCAGCAAGTCCAGTCACAAATTCTTCCTTCACCGTACCTATCCCTTCCCCTTATGAGTATTGTGAAGATTGCTAGGTGAGTATGTTTTGTTAAATCTATTGACTTAGTACTCTACTACAGAATTGTTTGTAATTTCTAAATTGGTTCAGTTCATGAGTATCTGTAATTCTGACTGCTGCAACTAAGAAATTAAGCATAGCCAAACTTCTCTAAAAGAAAGGAAAGTTATGTTATATGGATGCGTTCAGTCTACTTTAGCACCCCTCTCCCCAACCCACCCCAAAATAATAAATAAATAAAACTAGAAGAAACCTTCTTATTTGAATTGTTGGAGCATGTCGAAGTCAACAAATACTACTGCATTCCACATGCTCTCTGCCATCAGTTTGTTGATGTGGTTAGGTTTATATACATTCAGAAATGCTTCAACCTTATTCTCTTCCTTTGGTGCCATTTCCAGGGAATGTGGATGGAGGAACAGTGATTCTTTATCTACATGCCAAGATCCATGTGTAGTCTGTTTGGAACAGCAGTGCACAGTGGCTGCAGAAGGTAAATTTCTCTTAAGAGTGCATATTATCACGATTCTCTATCTTTGGTAAGTTTACATGAAAAAACCACATAATTTGATGTATATACATGTGGGGAAAGTTTTTGGATTGTAGAAGTTAATGATTCTTTTTTTTTGGGCACCTGCATCTATGCATTTGAATATGTTCTCTGGGAAGAAAGAGATATAACACTGGAGAATGAGTGATATGGAACAAGCATCATTTTCTTAATCCCTCAATATAGCAAATGCAAATATATCCTTACACTCCAAAAGGCTCCCTGGTGATGGTTCATGTGGGCAAATTAAGTAGTGGTGAGAGTGTAGAATTAAAGGTAATGCTATAGCATTGGTTTGGGCTGAAGGAGATAGATAGATGCATCTAGTGAATGCTTTGTTCAGTCCTCAGTTCCCATTTTAGGGGTATTGAACATGATAGATGTCAAACCTTATTATTATATGTTTAGAGGAAGTATTTTTCCATTGAACTGGAAAATGTTTGTCTAGCTTCAGCGCTTCTCTGTTGTCTCCCTCTTGTTGCTGGACAGCTTCTTTAGGCATGTTCCAGGAATCAATCATCTGATTGTGAATGTGTTACAGCAGACTGGTATTACATCTGTGCATGCAGTCATGATGCATTTGATCAAGTGTTACTACATTATTTCGTTCTTTGTTTAGGTACATTTGTATGTTTTTATGTAATTAGGTTTTGCACATTAACACTTTTTCTATGGCTTTCTTATCTCCATAAAGACTGGTGAATCGGTACCAAGATGCACCTTGGTAGTGATAATTATTTGTTATATAGGGCCGCATTGGTGAGATGGTGGAAATTGCAATCGTGCCCTGTGCACAAATTAGATTATATTTTCTTATTTAATTACATTAAGAATCTAAATGAAGTATTATAAATTGGGTACAGCAGAACTATACCCCTTAACCGGTAGACTTGTTATGACCAATAGGCAATCCCCATATTTTGAAAATTCTGAGTTAATTGTGTAGTAGTCAACATATTAATAATTTCAGATTGGTTTTTTTTATTTTTTTTATTTTTATTTTTTATAAATCAATTTAATACATTGCTCATTTTGATTGTTTCATCTGTTCTCTGAGTTCTGAAATCCTTTTCTTCCTACTGGCTTTCTGCATGCTTGATGGTACAATCATGCATATTGTGGGTTGCCAAGGACAATAACAAATCTCGTGGTGCAGGTTGTGATCATGAGTTTTGCACAAGATGTGCCTTGTACCTTTGTTCCACAAACTGCACTACAACTGTGTCTCATGGTCCCCCAGGCTCAATTGCATGTCCTCTCTGCCGAAGTGGCATAGTTTCATTTGTGAAGCTTAGAGGAACAAGATCAGTGGTTAAGGAGAATCCAAGAACAAGTTTATCCCTATCGTTGTGCTCGTGTTCAACTGAGGAGCCAGATTCCGCCTCAATAACAACCCCATTATGCAAGCCTGAGTTCCGTTGCTCTGGTAAATCTGCTCTCGGATCTTTCCGGTCCTTAAGCTGCCAGAAGTTCCCATCATTCAAGATCAACTACAACCTTTGCATGGGAGCTCCAAATATTAATCCTTGTTTGGTTCCAAGCTCCGGTAATAGGAAGTTGCGGAACCATTTGGCTAGGTGCTCTAGATCCGGCTTTAGACGATCAGCATCTCAACCTGAAGGCAGAAGGTCGTGGTTTTCTGCACTCAATCAAAATGTAACGACTGGCAGTGGATGCTGAATGGCTTTTAGTCCTTTGATTTTTTGTTGTATTCTGACTACTTTTGGATGTATTTTTTTCCACCTCATTTTTGTCCATAATGTGCTAAATCATCTTCAATTTGTGATGATTCTTGGATGGTGTAACATTGTAAATATAATATTCTTTTTTTCAAAATAAATGTTCTGATTTACAGAATGATCTCTCTCTCTCTCTCTCTCTCTCTCTATGCTCATTGTTTGAACATAAATTCTGAACCATGTAACAGTTCTTCATTATGTTAAATTTATCTATCTTTTCTTTCTCCACCTTCTTGCCAAAAATATGGAAATGCAAGGTGAACTTGGGAATCTTACAACTGCTTTGGCTGGACTTGGGATCTAATTATTCTTTTGAAAATAACATTACACTCATTCCAAAAGAGCATATCCACTAGGCTCACTGAACTCAAGTCAGTTGAGCATTTTATTAATTTAATTTCTGACACTGCAGTTTGGACAAAAAGGTCATGAAACACTGTAAATACATTTAGTATGAATTATTCACAGCCATCATGAAACACCCCCATGAAAATTAGGAAAACACATACTCTGTTAGCCCTTTTTCACTTTTTTTTCTTCTTCTGGTAATGGTTATTATATCAGAGAACATAAACAAATTTGGTAGGCGACAAAAATGAAGAATAACATAACCTTCTTCAGAAAAATATTATTCAACAAACCCTATAGTACACAGTACATGGAGATTATACAAATCATATAAAACTAAGAAAAAACTGCAAATCCATAGTACTTAATCAAGCTCAAGAGGGATAGATAAGGATGGTTAAGATAGGAGGGTTGATAAAGATGGAGGAAAGAACACAAGACAAGAAGTCAATGGAGGGGGGTGAGGATGGTTATGCAAAGACATAAAAGTCTTGCAAGATCAAGAAAGAGAGAAAAGACACGAGAAATGTGGGATGACACTAGAGAAAGTATGAAAGAGATCAAGTAGATGATGGTGAAGTGAAATTAAAAGAAAGAAGAAAAATAAAATAGAGAAGCTCAGATAAGATAGCACCATGAAATATCAAACGTCCTCGGCGTCATTCTTCATTTGTGATGGAAGCCTAAGTGCTGCTGGTACTGGCTCCCAGAAGTTGGCGATGACTTGATGATCAAGTGATAGCAGCAGGTGCTTCTTCTTGACAAGAAGAGGGCAAGAGCATGTTGAGAAAGAAAAGACAGGCATTGAATTGAAGATTGAATGGTGTTTGTTGTTAAGGTGTGGGCTATGAAGTGATGTAAATGGGAAAGAAGACATGGTAGTTCCTGAAGAGATGGATGGATGGAGGTTATATATATAGAATGTGTGGAAAGAGAAGGAAATAAATGAGAGAAACAGAAGAGACTGACATTCCTAATATGTGTTTGGTTTCAGCAAATGGTCAAAAGAGAGCATCAGATTAGGCACTGGTGGACCCAAAAACCATGAAGGATTAGAATCTGCTGTGTGTGTACATGAGAGAGAGAGAGAGGCATGAGATATTGGTGACAGCTTGATTTGAGAGAAGGGAGGGGAGGGGAGGGAAGAGAAGTACAGAGAAAAAACAGAGGAAAAGCAGAGTGAGTGATGAGTGAGTGTGACTTACCATCCATGCCTTGTTTCTGTGATTCTCTCTCTCATCTGTCTCACATCTTTTACCCTCTCAGTTACGTAATTCACTCAGAAAGAATAAAAAGGGATTTTGGATGACTCGGATTTTCAAGTTTCTGAGAGAGAGAGAGAGAGAGAGAAACGAGAAATTAATTAAAAAATATTTAACGGAGAGAAGATCTTCAGAACACTATGTATGGCTGTGCATGCAATGCAAATTGCAATGAATACTTTTTTTGTACCAAAAAGGCTTGTTTGACTAATAGCAAATCCTTTACTAATTTGTCTTTTTGATCTTCATCATTCTCTTCTCTCTGCTTTCTGATACAGTGATGCCAAATTCCTGCTGGTTTTTCTGAAAATCTTTAAATGCAAAATGACATAACCACTTGTTTGAATTCATTTAACGTGCAAAACTTTCATAAAAATGAAAGAATCAACGGTTATAATAGTAATCATTTAGAAAGCGACTCTAGCTAGCAGCAACAAATCTGACCACCATGGTAATGACATTTCAGCATTCGTTGACTTTTAAGTAATATTACAGACATGGTACACTTATTGAATTAACCATTCTCAGCAAAAACAGACATAAAAAACCAAATAAGCATGAGCTAGAAGCCTAGAACCAAATGTTCATATAGCACAAAAATAAAATTATAATGATAATAGGGTATGGTGAGGAACAGTCATGGGCCTTCCTCTTGTCACTGCCATCTCCCCTAAATATGCACAGATCATGGCACTTCAATTCGAATGAAGTTTGCTCGAGATGCTGGCTTTTCTTCTATATTAGTTGAGTTTGATTCACAGGCAATGGTAAACAACTTAAAGAATGGTGAGGAAGAGTCATGGGCATCTCATTGATGATATTAAGAGGAATTTGCAACAATTTGATGATGTTACTGTTTCTTTCAATCTAAGGAGGTGCAATCAAGTAGCTAATCTTCTAGCAAGGCATGCACTTAATTGTAATATTTTTGCAACTTGGATTGAATCGTACAAGATGATACCATTGTATTGTATTCTCTTCATTGTTATCAATGTTTTTCTCTTTCGCAAAAAAACAAAAAAATGATAATAGGGTATGGGATTTTGGCAACAAGGTCCAATTAATGTGGAGATATAGAGTCTGCCAAACAAGATCTTTTGATGATGGATGGGGGAGGAGGAGGAGTTGAGAAAAAACATAAAACAGCATTGTAAGTATAGCTGGTCACAAAACCCTGATTGGGGGAGGGATGGGTTTTTCTTTTTCAATGATCCTCAATCCATCCACTCTCCTTATGTTTTTATTTTTTATTTTTTAAATGTGGTGTTTGTAGGATCTTTGGGGCAATAGCTCCTACAGCTAGGGTTGGGTTTAGGGTTAGTTTTTGTGCTCGCCCTTCTGTCTTGTTGCTTCACCATCACTAGCGGTGAAAGGAGAAAGGAGAGACGAGATAGGAGATAGGAGAGAGGAGAGGAGAGGAGAGCAATTATTCCAATCTGACAGACAATACAGGACAAGAGAAACTTTTATTTTAAACTAAATTTTTAAACCCCATGAAAAATTTAAAAAAACAAAGAGAAAAGAAAAGGCAAATCATCATGACCTTCGTGATGGGACAATACATGGTCAATCAATCAGTCTCTTTTACTGTCTGATCAAGAGAGAGAGATTTATTTTTTATTTTTTTCCTCATGGGTTGCAGCCGCCTACGTAAGGCAAGACCAAGATAATACCATGCTACAATTCATCCAACCATAATATTCAATATATGCACTCTGCTATGCTCTATGCTACGCTCAGCTTCTGATGCACACTGCAGGCATGCCATGTGTGCCTTAGGCTTTAGCTAATTCCATACCATTAATGCCTCTCTCTCTCTCTCTCTCTCTCTCTCTCTCTCTCATATTGTCGAGGCTTTGCACTGTTGAGGGTGAAGGGGTAATTTAGGAGAGGCAACCAACCATCCGTTTTCGTGTTTGTGTTTGTGCCTTGCAGTTCCAACTTAACCAATAACCTAAATCCATCGGAAGATTGGTTGAGTTGTCTATTAAATATTGTTCCTTCATTGTCTTGGAACTATTGGCTACGCAACCTATCGGGTCCCTAATAAATATGTACTAAACTCAAATTTTGTGATAGCGTCAGCCTTAATTCGTGGTAAATTGATTTGGGCCTAATAAATTAGGGCACATTTGGAAGTGCTTCTAGAATAGTTAAAAGCGCTTTCTGACAACCAAAAGCGCTTCTGACAGTATTTGGCGGAAATGTTTAGAAGCGCTTTTAGGCCATAGAAGCGCTTTCTGGAGAAGCACCTATCATATGCTTCTTCAGGAAGCACTCCCAAGTGCTTTTCCAAGAAGCACTTATGTTTCTTATGAAAATTATAAAAGCGATTTTGGTAAAAGCACTTATAAGTAGAAGGGCTTCCTAGAGAAGCACTCTCAAACGAACCCTTGTTGTATTATACTGTAGTACGATCACGTGAAATGACTTGTACAACCACTAGGGTGGAAACCCAAATCTTCATTTTTTAACCCAAAATTATTCTCCAATTCATGTATTTTAGGAGGTGAAAATTTGAGAAATGTGAAATTTGGGGTGGAATTCCAGTCCAAGTTTTGCTTGGACTGGTAATTTGTGTGGAGCCCAAAGCTCTATTTTTGCAGCTCGTGTGTAGAGAAAAAAGAGGTTGTACTTGTTTTTATTTTTAAGTGAAATTCTATTATGTTTTGGAATTTTAAATTTTTTTAGGTTAAAATATTCACAAAATTAAATTACGAATGTTGAACCAAAAATAATGTCAAGACAAATTAACGACAAAAAAAAAAAAGGATTAATCATTCTTAACAATTTAATAAAGTTATGGACTCAAATTATGAGTCTACAAGGTTTGAGGAAAAAAAAATTTTGATTCATGAAAATACATGAATAGTTATATTTTGGAGGGTGAAAATTTGAGTTTAGCCTCAACATAATTGGAGATGGTCTAAGAGCACTTCCACCCATTTGTCATGACAAAGGGCAAGGGCTATTACTATTCACATAAATAATGGCAACCCTTACAAAAAGCAAGTTGTGTTTCCACCCATTGTCATGGCAAAGGGCAAATACTATTCACTTGTAGTTTTTTTATTATAATTTTTTTACCTAAACAATTAATTTGGAGAATATTTTCGGTTGCCACGTGTCATTTTTTATTATATAAAATTCTCGTCTAATATTTCTGATAAAATTTTCCAATAAATTTTCGGATAAGATTTTCGGTTGCCACATGTCCATATTTATTACAAAATTCACATCACAAATTTCAGATAAAATTTTTGCATAAGATTTTCGGTTGCCACATGTCCATATTTATTATAAAATTCACATCTCACTCATCATACAATTAAATACCTACTCACTCATCATACAATTGAAATACTCATGGTCCTCATAGTCCGACATAATCGAGTAGAAGGACGACTTGATCATTGGCGAAGGCAATTCTACCGGATCACAGCGTGGGGGAGTATTTTCCTTCGGATGACATAATAGTGCCATTATTTCCGACACGAAACGCACCAAGGGAACCGACTATGAGCATTGTTCACTTGAGGAGCCATTTGTAATTTCCTTTTTTTGTTTTGCCTTGAATAATCTATTAAAAAAATTAAATTGGAAATGCAAGAAAATATAAAAAAGAATGACATTAAATTGAATGAAACGGCAATTAAATTTTTACCTCGTCGTCAAGATTTTGACCTCTTCGATCGTTTGTCCACGACCCTCCGGCTTCGATGGAAGATGCCATAAGATGATGAATAAAAATGAAAATTGAAAGTGAAGAAATTTTTGTGTAGAAAGTGAAAAATAGAAGGAGAAGAAAATGTATGACGATTTGATGTTGAAAGTGATTAACATTGGTAGGTATTTATAGATAAAAATTCCAAATTTTTTTGGTAATTTTTTTAAAAAAATTCGAATTTTTTAAGCCTAAAAAAGGGCAACCGTTGGATTTGAGGGAAAAAAAACTATCGAAGTGACCAGAACATGCCACGTGGCGTGTTACCATTGGTGGACGTCAAGGTTGAGGCTGACGTCAGCGATGACGTCACCTCCCCTCGGGCTGCTTTCGCCTGCAGGCTGCCCTAGTCACATGGGACCCATACCTTACTCGGGCAACCTTGGCCAGCTAGAACGACTCGTCGGGCTTGGGTCCTGTCCTGCCCAGGCTGGAGTCTACCGCTGGAAAAGCTTTAAGAGCAGAAAAACTTGTAGGAGACTAGCTCATCTCCTATAAGGTTTAAACTTATGCTCACTGTGGCACGTTGGATTGAGTGGGTTCACTCCCAAATTGTTCTAATCATCTTGTTCGATTTTTTATCCTAATGAAATATAAACAAGCTAGCATAATAGTATAATGAATTGAGACGAGCTAAAAATCTATTTCTAACAAAATCTGCATGAGTAACATTGAACAATTTTTATGTATGTGCGTTTAAAAATGTAAACTAATAGTTTAGGCATGCCTCTTTGGAGAAATTATAGAATACTATGGTAGTAAGATCACATGGTATATTTTGTACACGTGTTATAATATGGGTAATCAACAAAGTTTATTTTCCCCCATTTTAAGGAATAATATCAATAAATATCCACTTATATTATAACACATACACAAGATGTACCACGTACCTGTATTACTGTAGTATTATATAATTACTTGCCCTTTGAGCACTTACTGCAATAAACCTACTTATTGCACATGAAATAACTTAAAATCGACTCATGGATTTATTTAAAAGTTTACTTTTGAATGCCACAAATTAAAAGTTGAAACAAAGAAAATCACATGTATTATTACAACTTTTACTCTCTTTTTTTCTACTCAATTTTGACATGTTTAGGAATGTTACCGAGTAGGCTAAAAAGGATACGAGGGAGCCCTATCATAATAGGGATCAACCAAAAAGGAATACACAAAATGTTATGATGAATAAGGAGATTTTAAACAACCAATTTAAAACAAGGATCGAAGACTAGTGGAAAATGGTCTTGATTTGCATACTAGTGATCTTAGGTTCGAACTTCCATGTCACAATGACAGTGTGTGTATGTGTGTGAAACCTCCCCAACTCTGGAATTTGAGGAATATAATTCCAATCAATACCAAGTATTTGCTTTTGGGTGTGATTTTATCATGAGCCAAAAAATATATGGCTTTTTTTTTTTTTTTTTTTTTTTTTAAGTGAAGCGCAATGTTTTTTTTGCCGTCATCACCAAGGAGAACCAAAATATGAAGGGGGTCGAGTGTAGCCAACACCAGTCATGGCAAGTTTGGTAGATTAATTTCGAGTTGTGTAATTGACCCAATTAAATAAATTCACTTGTCATAATTTTATTGGATAAAAAGGATTAAGCAATTAGAATTTATTGGCCTCCAAGTTGATAGTGAGCAAACCCCATACACTTTCCTCCCTCTCTTGCGTTTGGGCAACATAGGAGAAAAATAATTTCTTTTGTCTAACCAACTACCGATGAACTAATCAACAACTTTTCGAGACTGAATCCAAACGAGTGAATGAACGAGTTAGGCGTTTGTAAAGAGCAAAGGATTATAATTAAAAATAAAAAAAAACTGCAAGAGATTTGGTGATAACAGCCATAATAAAATACTATTTAATCGTGGAAAAGCCATGTCGTGATGTGTGATGCCCAAGAAGCAATAGCCTTTTCTTGCTTGTTCCAGATGTTTTCCTGAACTTTCTTGAGTGATCCCATCATCACACCATCATTGGAACCTATCAGGGATGTAAGAGTGAAGGTCTTTAGGTTGAAGCTCTCTCTAAGTTCTCAATCGAACCAAGAGAAGAGCCCAATGTTGATTATATACAAAAGGAGGAGAAATCACAAGAACACTACTAGTACGAGATCCAATCTCAAGAAGCTGTTTGGTCTGTCAATCAATTTGCCCCAAGAGAAGCCAATTGTGTTGCACATAGGCTTGCTAAACATGAATTACTTAATGTTTTTTCATGTATTTGGTATGGGGTACCCCTGAGTTCATTCAGGATGCCCACCACGGCCACACCACACCCTTCTCTCCCCCTCCCCCTGCCCTGCCGTCCCAAAAAATATTGTATTTCTTAAGTATTCAATAAAGTTTACTCGTATCGTCATGGTTCCCGTAAACAAAAAAAGATCTACTAAATAGCTAGGTCAATATACTAACTTGAGCTGAAGGTACATTACCCTAATAGTTTGATTGAATGATATATCCTAGTGAAGCATGTTAATTATATCCTAATCGGGGTTTAAAATATAATTTAAAAAATGTTTATAAGCTGCGTAGGATCTTCAATAACATGTAAAGGTAATCTTTAGTATGCAAGAAAAGATAATTAGTTCCAACAACTCAACATAGTCATAAGCTTTTCTTATATTATCAAGTTACAAAGCCATCGTGAACCCATTTGTTGTGTTTCATTTCTCATGATTGCTAAATTTGAAAGTACGTAAATGCAAGGTTTGAAAATCAAGTTACATGCCAAAACTACCAATCAGTGATAAAGTTGGGTTTGATTTTTCCATTACCTTTAGCTCAAATTGGACCAAACAGTGAGCGAGTGATTCAACTGCGATTTGGGGAAACCTAGCCAACAAAAAATTATGGTCGAGTCTGCCTGCCCAAGGCTATTGGGCCAGATGAGTTTGGTCCAATCCAAATCTACTTGTGGACTAAATAATGATCTCAACCCAAGCCAACCTCAAAAGTAACAAGTTTTCAAGGTAACTTCAGTGGTCTCTGAACTTATATCCGAGTTTCAAACCAGGCAATTTGTTTCTCACTAAAGCACTAGAAATTATCTTTGATAACATAGAAATGTAATCCTCACCCCAAGGAAGAATTCTCTTTATTTATTTATTTATTTCGTTGGGTCTTTATTTTCTTAATTGAGAAAAAGTAAAAAATCACTTTTTTTAATTTCTCCAATTGATAATTGGTACGTATGTATGTGGTGGAGTAAAGCACCCCAATAAGCTAACTAGATTCTTTATTTTCTCGGTTTAAAGCCAAGGCAAAGACGTGAAGCATAAAGAAAGGATACAGTAAAAATAACAAAACCAAAAATGGCGCTTCTATCTTCCCCTCATCCTCTCCCAACCCAGTTCTCTACTTCCCCCGCCTCTCTATGTGTCCGCCGGCGCCCAATCACCGCCTGCCAGCTATGCACCCACAAGCAATCCGTACGCCACTTCGACCAGTCAACGCTGACTGTCGCCGAGGGTTCGTCGGAGAGCGAGCTCTGGGCCGCCGCTTGTCTCCGCGTTCGCTCCTTCTACCACTTCAAGCCCTCCATGTTTGGCCTCCAAGTCTGCCCCTCCAATCACGTAATTAAGCCTTAATTACTGCAATTAATTAAATGTATTGATGGTGTTTTTGCCTTTTGTCAAGTTGTATTAGGATCACAGAAGGTACTTGGCGGAACGAGAGTTGGAAGCCATGAAGGAACGTGTGGGAGGAAAGAGGAAGGGCTTTAGAAAAGTTTCTTGCATAAATGCTACCATCCCATTGTCACAAATTTCAAGCCCTTCGGTTTCAGATGATTTTTGTTCTTCATGTAAGGTTTGTTTGCTTCAATACCCATGTTTCAGTTTCAGTTTTTTTCTTTCTTTCTATCATCTGTTAATAGAAATGAAAAGATTTAAAAATTTAAACTTTTTCTTTTTTGGGTTTTAAATTCTTGTCTAGTTTAACAACAATGGAGAAGATCGAGTAGTTGTTGGGACCCTTGATCTTAACCAGTGTGTAAGTCTTCCAGACGAGATTACAGGAAACAGACCAGAGGTATTTCATATAATTTTCAACTTTTGAACTCAACCCATTTAGTAGATGCTCAAATAGAGCAACAAGTAGATATTCTTACATTCATATTGGATTTATATCTCTTTCCCATGATATTATTCAGTAAGTTTATTTTTCAAATAAAATTTGGGAAAGAAAGCAACAAGGGATGTGCTGTAGTTGCTAAATTGTGCATGTATGTAATGGTCTTTTTGTTATTGTTGTAGTGTTAGACAATATAATTGGTAAGATTTGAGCCTAATCTCAGTTTTGTTGGTCTACCTAGATTAGATAAATAAAATAAGTTTGACATTCAATGACCTTAGGTGAATGGTTTAGAATTTAGATGCAAGATTAATGGACTTCTTGTCTTGGAAGGCATTACCAGATTGGTCTCTACACTTTTGCAAATGTAACATAATTGCTATTATTTTTACCCAAAGAATGTTACAGCAATGACTGAAATTTAGGAGCGCATTTCAACAGGGGATCGGAGCTGATTTCGCAAGAGCATACTTGAGCAATGTATGTGTTGCCAAGGAACTGCATAGAAATGGGTTAGGTTATGCTCTTGTTGCAAAGTCAAAGTTAGTTGCGCAAGAATGGGGTATGAATTTTGACATTATTTGTTCTATGCCACTGCCTCAGTTAAACACCATTCACATATGTTCAGTTTTCTGGTATTATGCATCCTTTTGTTCTCTCTTGTTTTTTGGCTTAGAGATTTTTATTGTCCCAGTCTATTTCCACAGCAGTAACAGATTTGATGAAATTTTTTCGTTTGATAGATAATGCTCTCATATTCTTATGCTTCACTTGGTGTGCACACTCATGGATAGTTTACCCTAAAGGAAAATGAAGAAAATAAAATGCTAATTTATGAAAACAATAAAGCTGTAGTGCCCAACCCAAGAGAAGGGTAACAACATGCAAATTATCACTTGATTTGATGCTTTCCTTACTAAATATTTCATATATCTACTGTGTATTTGCACTTAGCAATGCTAAATGATATTTATTTTCTTTCTGAAACAATGATGGTGGTGATAATTTGATGAGCACTTAGATAATGTCATGTACAAGAGGATAGACAAATCAACCAGTTAGAAGAGGTTAAGATTTGCTGGTATTGTCTCTTACAATTTTAGAGCAAGAAAAGTGAAGAGAGACTCATGTATAAAGGATCATAAATCTGTAACCTTGGTATTTGTTCAAGAAACAAGAAATATGAGAAGCCATCCATTTTGAAAGAAAGTTCCATTTTTCCTGTTGCAATGCTAGGCCGAGTGTTACTTAGGAGCTTAAACTGTGACATTGTGTGAGAGAACTCTGCTGGCTATTACTTGCCCTTGGTTGGTGAAAATGAAGCTCATATCAAGAGTAATTCTTTTTCCTTCTTTTAGGCTGGGTGGGGTGGGCTCTCACTCTCTCTTCTTTCAGCTTGTGTAGGGATTCTGAGGAAGCGCATCTGAATGCATATGGACGGACTCTTTAGTTTTTGTGCCTTTGTATTCTCTAATATATATGTTTAGTTTATTTCTTTTCGATCTAGATCATGTTGAATTTAGCATATGCTTATTTTTGGTGGCATTAACTTTACATACACCTTATCTTTTAAATAGATGAGCTTTATGTAATGTTTTAACTGGGTTTCATGAATTTTTACAGGCATAAGTGATCTATATGTTCATGTCGCTGTGGACAATGAGCCTGCAAAAAAGTTGTACATGAAGAGTGGTTTTGTTTACGAAAAGGATGAACCTGCATGGCAGGCCAGGTTCCTCGATCGGCCCCGAAGGATACTTTTGTGGTTTGGCATCCCGGGCGTGCAACTATGACTTGCAATGCCTCAATATCAAGCTATCATTTAGATATATGCCATGATTGTTCCTCTATTTTCTTTAAGATGCATTGCTGTGGCAGTGATGTAAAAGACTGTCACAAGTCAGGAACATAATTGTTCTCTTCACCTTTGAAATGTAAATGTATGTCAATTTATTGGTTTGTAGGTTTTATATTATCTCATGACTTTGCAGATAAATCAGGATTGCTGTTGGAGTGGGGAATGTGATTGAAATAAGGTTGCAATCGAACAGATGGAGCAAGCTCGAATTAATGTAATATGAAACCTATAAGTCTAAAAAGCTTTGTGCAGAGTAACAACATTCCAGACTGCCTAATCGACACCAATTTGTGCTGTAGGATCTCAAAGTAGCAACAAATGGGGCTAGACTGCCTAATCGACGCAAGGTAGAAAATGCATTTTTTTTTTTTTTTTTTTTTTTACACACCTGTGTTAACTTGGAATCCTCCATCCCATAATATCCCTTGTATAAAAAATTAAAAAAAATTGACAAAAATGACAAAGAAGTAAATGGCACACCAAGGAATTTAAGTATAGAGAGAATGACACTTGTCGAGCGAAAAGAGCTTTCGTTTGATGGAAATAAATAAGCTGCAATTAAGGCATCTTGAAAATTCATTTAAAACACTGGCCCCACTGCAGCTTGAGAGGGGTCGTTTGACTGCTTGTGTAACAAACTCTTATTTATAACCACTTTCTCAATTCAATCACCAGTCTAAACTACGGGGTTGGAGAGACCGCTCATTTCTAGATCTCGTTAACATTTATGAACATATTTATTATAAGAAAGTCATTTTAACCTCTCGAGCACTCCCAAACATGCTATAAACTACTACGTATCTTGTAGTCTACTGAAAATTACGTTGTATCTAGATTCATGCAAAAAGTCATTTTTGGTCCCTATAGTTTACTACTTTTACTACGAAAGTCCTTGTAGTTTCAATTTGATCAATTTTTTTTATGTAGTTTGAATTTCAAGCAATTTAAGGAAAAATCTCTAATTTCTATAAAATTACTCTAATTTGTGTTCATATGAGAATGTGAACCCCCAGAAAATTTCAGAAATATTTGTTATGCTCACTATAAAAATTGCACAGCCCAATTTGTGGTCATTTGCATTTTCAGGAAATTTTTTCATGAATTAAATATTGGTATATTCAAGGAAGAATTTAATTCCTGGAAATTTGACGTTGGAATTTTGGTATTTTGATGACATTTAAAAATAGCAAACGTTGCCACGAGCACGTAGTATTTTTATGAGATTTTTTCAGAACTCGGAAATATTTTTAGTGAATTTTAGAAGTTGGAAAATAGAAAATTAAATTGAAATTTCCACATGGCAGCATATGATTGGCTGGAACACCTTATCCACCTCATGGCACCACCTAATTGGTTGGAAGACTTAGAAGACTTTAACTCATACTATTATTCAGAGGTTGATTAGGGTCTATAATACTATTCTGTGAGCTCATTCAAACTGAACCATTAATTTGATTCTCGATCAAATCTTGATCGTTAACCAAATCAAAAACTTTTGATTTGATATAGGCCTTTGGATTAGTTGTTGGGCATATGGATTGTCCATCTTCAAGCTATTTTGCACCTCCCCACACATGATCCAAACTCAATTTTTTATATGAACCTTTGAATTAAATATTCAAATTAATCCAAGACGTTGGAGGCTTCTATAAATACCTCCCCCATTCTTCTTCTTCCTCACACCAAAATATTCAAGAGAAACTTTTCCTCTCTTTCTCTCCCACTCCTTGACCATAGTCACTATTCTAGCCAACCTCCACCGAAGTTACTATTCATATGAAATTTACCATTCACATACAGAAGATAGTATCCGTCTTTTCCTATTTATGTTGTAAGTTACTATTCATGTGTACTATTCACTTCCAGAAGCTAGCAACAGTCGTTCCCTATCCTTTTCGAGAAGTTACCATTCATTGTCATATTTTACTATTTATCGCCGTATTCTACTATTTCTCACAAAGGTATTCTAGTTTAGGAATAGTAGAATACCACTATGAATAGTGAATTTCATATGAATAGTGCACCGGATGAATTGTAACTCCAGTGGACTGTGGAGGTTGGCCATAATAGTGACTATGGTGGAGGAAAGGGATAGAGGGAGGAAATTTCTCCTAAATATTTTGGTGTGAGGAAGAAGAAGAATGGGGAGGTATTTATAGAAACCTTCGACGACTCGGATTAATTTGAATTTTTAGTTCAAAGGTTCATATCAAAAATTGAGTTTGGATCATGTGTAGGGAGGTGCATGATAGCTTAAAGATGGACAATCCAGATACATTCCTAACAACCAATCCAAAGGCCTAGATCAAGTCAAAAGTCTTTCATTTGGTCAATGGTCAAGATCTGATCTAGAATTAGATTAATGGTATATATTGAATAAGTTCACGTAATAGTACCATCGACCCTAGTCAATCTCTGAATAGTAGTCTGAGTCAAAGTATTACAAGTGTTCCAACCAATCAGGTGCTGCCATGTGGTAGATGAGATGTTTCGGCCAATCATATGGGTACATATTAACATAACAACATATGATTGGCTGGAACACCTCATCCGCCACATGGCAGCACCTGATTGGTTGGAATACTTTAACTTAGACTACTATTCAAAGGTTGACTAGGGTCGATAGTACTATTACGTGAGCTCATTCAATCTGTACCATCGATCTGATTCTAGATCAGATCTTGACCATTGACTAAATGAAAGACTTTTGACTTGATCTAAGCCTTTGGATTGGTTGTTGGGAATGCATCTAGACTGTCCATCTTTAAGCTATCATGCACCTCCCTACACATGATCCAAACTCAATTTTTTATATGAACCTTTGAATTAAAAATTCAAATTAATCCAAGTTATTGGAGGTTTCTATTTACATACCTCCCCCATTCTTCCTTTTCCTCATACCAAAATATCTAGGAGAAACTATTCATCCATTTCTCTCCCTCTCCTTCACCATTGTCACTATTATGGAAAACCTCAACTACCGTTACTATTCATTTGATGTACTATTCACCTAGATCATCGTATTTAACTATTCCACACCAGAGTATTCTAGTTGAGGAATGGTAGAATACGCCGATGAATAGTAACTTACCGAAAAGGATAGGGAATGACACTTGCTACCTTATGGAAGTGAATAGTAAATTTGGATGAATAGTAATTTATGGTATGAAAGACGAATATTATCTTCTGAGTGTGAATAGTGATATGGGTGAATAGTACAATGGATGAATAGTAACTTCGATGGAGGTTGGCCAAAATAGTGACTATGGTGAAAGAGATGAAGAGAAAGGGAGGAAGAGTTTCTCCTGAATATTTTGGTGTGAGGAAGAAGAAGAATGAGGGAGGTATTTATAGAAACCTCTGACGACACTGATTAATTTGAATATTTAATTCAAAGGTTTAGATCAAAAATTGAGTTTGGATCATGTGTGGGGAGGTGCATGATAGCTTTAAGATGGACAATCCATATGCATTCCCAACAACCAATCCAAATGCCTAGATCAAGTCAAAAGTCTTTGATTTAGTCAACAGTCAAGATCTGATCTAGAATCAAATTAATGGTTTAGATTGAATGAGCTCACATAATAGTACTATAGACCCTAGTAAACCTCTTAATAGTAGTATGAGTTAAAGTCTTCCAACCAATCAGGTAGTGCCATGTGGCGAATGATGTGTTCCAACCAATCATATGCTGCCATGTGGAAATTCCAATTTAATTTCTTATTTTCAACTTCTAAAATTGACTAAAAATACTTTTGAGTTCCGAAAAAATCTCAACAAAAAAAATACTGCATACTCGTGGCAACGTCTACTATTTTTCAATGACATCAAAATACCAAAATTCCAACTTCAAATTTCCAGCAATTAAATTCTTCATTGAATATTCATGAAAATCCAAATGACCACAAATTGAACTGTGCAATTTTTATAGTGAGCATAACAAATATTTTTGAAATTTTCCAGGGGCTCACATGCATTTTGGTCCAATCTTACAGCATTCCCCAACCACTTCCACAAGAAACTAATTGTGTAGCTTTTCTTCTACTTTCAAGTCCTCCAGTCTTGAATAAAAAGTTGTGTGACTTTTTAGTCTTAGGGTATGTTTGGTACACCGTATTAGACTGTGGATAGGAGTAAATAGTCCATGTCAGTTGTTTGGTGTCAACTTGTATTATTTAATTACCTGACTATGTTAAACAGATTGAGCTTTTAATGCTCTCCTTACCTAACTAACTAATACAACCCACACACCCCAGTTTAGATAATACACACTTCATTAAAGGCTAGGGAAAAACAAAACACGTTTTCTACATGAAAAATCATACGCTCTTTATCTTCTTCTCTGCTATTTTTTCCATAACTTATATTTTTCACTCTTCTCCAGGTGTCTCACACACTCTCTCTCTGATACTCTCTCTAATAAGCTTCTTCTCTTTCTTTATATATTTCCACATTTATGTTGTCTGATTATCTCTTCTTACTACTTCTTTTATTTATTCAATACATTTTATTAAGTTTTTTTTTAATTTATAGAAATTAGTTTATGAGTTTTTCTTCAAATTTTTGAATAGGCGAAGTGTTTTTCTTCAAATAGGGGTTTGTTTATCTTTTTTTTGTAGTTTTTCTATAAAGGTGTAGACTCCTACTTGGCATATGTGCTTTGATGCAGTTTAGTTTATGAATAACTTTCCATTTTGCTCTTATCATCTTAGTATGTAATCGCTTTGAATTATACATTATTTTGGTACTGTTTTTATTATCGTATTTGAGGATGTTGGAATTTTTATGAGATATGAGGAGTTCTCTAGTATGTTAATTATGTTTTCAGTTTGTTGGAAATGATCCATAAACAAAATAAATAATATTATGGATAAGCCGTCAGTACTCTTCGGAACAGACTAATTCTATCTAACATAAATTAGTGAGTACAATCCAACATACCAAACAAGCCCTTAATCTCTAGCTTTTGTTTTTGGAAATTTGGGTTCATGTGGATAAGTTTTGGGCAATGCATAGAATTAGGGTTGGAGTTTGATAATATTGAGAGATGGGGGATGGGGGTTGGTGGCTATGGAGGGAGGGGAGCAAAATGTTGGGTTGGGAGGGGAGAAGATGGATGCGGGGGTGGATTGGTCATGGCTTTAGGGTAAGAAGCGGGCTGTGTCAGGAGGGGGAGGGGTGGGAAGTTGTGGTGGGTAGGGAAGGGCTGCTAGGTGGCTATGGGGGAGGGTTGTAATAATAGACCAAACTGCCCTTGAATGTAAACAAAAATTAGAATAATTTGACAGAAATTAGGAATTGTCCTTTAATTGATTGGATTTCAAAATATACAGACAAAAATGATCAAATTAAAAACATGTGAATCTTAGTGGTAAAAATGATAAAGTATGGTCCTTAATGGTAAAAATGGTAAAATATAGACTTCAATGGTAAAAATAGTAGACTACATGACCAAAAATGACTTTGTCAATTTAAATACTAATTAATAATAATCCAAATAAATTTAACGACCAATAGAAAATTTAAAACCCTTCCAGTTTAATCGTTCTCGTCTACGCACGCTACTCGTCCCGATATAGAAGACAAGCCACTGCCACAGCCACCGCCACCGCCACCTTGCGAAGAAGATCAGTATCGCTGTCATGCCTTGGCAAAGCAACACTCACTGAGTAAGTACCGCCAATACCAACCACTGCCTCAGACGCCAGTAAGTCTCTCTGATTCCTTTTCCATTGCTTCTGCTTGCATCCATTTTCAGATTTCATTCAGTTCAGAACACCATTTCCATCTCCATCTATTTGTGTTCAAATTCTGTGTGGTCATAGAAGATCTTATAATAGTTTGAGCTTTTCCGTATCCAAAGAAGATCTTGCAATTGGGCGGCAATGAGGCAAAGGCAGAGTGTTGCTGTTTCATCAGCAGCAGAAACAGACAGAACCCAAAACCCAATTCCTTCCAAATCAGACCCACAACAAAAGAAAGTGCAAAGCTTTGATTTTCTAGGCTCATCGAAGAAAGTCTTTGCACTCTGCTTCGCTTTTCGAATAGCGAATGCTCTGTTGGTTCAAACCTATTTCAACCCAGATGAACACTGGCAAGCCCTTGAAGTAGCACACCGCATCACTTTCGGGTAACCACTAATTTCACAATTTCTCTTTAGAAGGCAAAGAGTAGAGAAAAATCTTGATTTAAAGGTAAATCAAACTAATTTTGAATTGGGTTTTTGCTTTCATGGTTTTCTTAATGGCAGGTATGGCCATTTGACTTGGGAGTGGGAAAAGGGAATCCGTAGCTATTTGCATCCTTTGCTTTTTGCTTTGCTTTACAAACTGCTTGCAGTGTTGGGTCTTGATACCCCATGGTTCATGGTAATGGCTTTATATACCCCATGTTTCGTGCTAACTGTATGTTTGGCTGACTAGTGGAGATAAAGCTCATTGTTAGTAGTTAATAAATGATCATTGCATAGATGCATTACTTGAAAATTTTACTCGTGGGTCCTAAGGATTTTAAACAATGTTGAAACCAGCATTTCTGGACATTTAGGAGCTTGAATAGAATACTAGTTCATTACGAGTTACAAAATAATTTTACTTCTTTAAAGCATGAAAACTTAAGCTCCTTAATTATTCTTTTGTAGTATTTATTCAATATTAAGCTATCTTGTGACCCTAGTCTGCCAGTAATAAAATGAGGTATATTGGTGTCTAGTGCATGTAAGTATTGCTGAGGTTGTTTTGTGCCATGGGTGAACATAGGTATAGTAGAGTCTAGGGTATTTAGTTATAACTATCAAAATAATCTTACTTTGATTTTGAGCTTTACATTATTGTCATAGTTGCTTATAGAAGTTTCTGTGAGCTATTATCTAATGTTGTCATCAAGTGATTCAAAAGACTGAAAAGCTTTTTCATTTGCTTTGGTATTTCTTCTAGAAAGGTTTCCCTTGATTTCTTTCTACTTCCATTGCATCCGAAAATGACATCTAACTTCTGCTGCATGAAGTAATTGTATTTCTCCTCGTGGTTTTTGAACTTTTTATGGTTATCTTGTTCTATGTAGGTCAGGGCTCCACGGCTGTTTCAGTCCTTTTTTTCTGCGTTTGGTGATTTATACTTGTACAAACTCTCTGTCATCCTCTTTGGGCATTGCGTTGCAAAGTGGGCTGTATCCTTTTGTACGAGGGGTTTTTCACTCATTTAATGATAATATTTTATGTCCAACTCTGTGTTTACATTGAATAGTCACATTCAATTACTATTACTCACAGATGCACTATGGTAAACATCTTTTTGTTTGTGGTAGAGTATGTACTTAACTCAATTGCAGCTTTTTTCACAATTGACAAATTGGTTTATGTTTTACTGCCTCACTCGTACGTTATCAAATAGTTTGGAGACTGTTCTTACCCTTGTGAGCCTGTACTACTGGCCCTGTATGAGGCCTTCTTCCAGCAAACTTCCCTTGGAATCAAGGAAGTGGGGTTTGATTATTGCTGCATTAGCTTGTGCTATTCGACCAACAAGTGCTATCATATGGCTGTATGTTGGACTTCTTGAGCTATTTGTGACACGTGATAAACTGAGATTCATTTTTCTGGAGGTTGCTCCTATGGGGTAGGTATTTAGCCAATCTCCTGAATACCTTCTTTATGTCAAGTGCTTAAAATTATAAGGAACTTTATTGTGAATTGTTCGCGCTTCTAAATTATATCGTAAGTGATATCAAGGTGGTTTTTGTCCTGTTTGTTTTACCTTTTATTTCTGTGTAGTGGACTAGTGATTTAAAATTAAACTTGAACAGTGGGTTTTTTAAATTAAGCTTTAATGATAATGTGGAGTTATAGTTCATGAGTGGCAACATTAGAATTAGAGATACATGCAAAGAAAAAAAAAGGAAAAAAAGAGGAAACTCGGTGCCACACTAACAGCTTTTCATATGAAGGAGAGGCAGCTGAAAGGTTATTGGTGATTAATGAAATGTGATATGCATATGATCAAGGATTAAAATATCGGCCGTGCAGATAATATCGAGCCTCCAATTTACGGATATTTCGGAGGATATATCGTTATCGTTTTAGGTATCGGAAAAAAATCAACAAAAATGACAGATATAGGCATTGAAACACATAATATTGGTGTAAAACTTTCATAGATGTTATGTACATTATCAATGAATGTATTGAACAAATGAAACTCAAAATTTACTAATAATGAGATGTACATATGATGAAATATAAGTGGTATGTAATGCGCGTTAATGAAAAGTTCGAAAATAAAATGTTAATTAGAATGAATAAACCATGCATAAATCCGTAGTTTGTTTAAACATTGGATTACAATTTAGATAAGTGTCCATTTACATAAATGAAGAGCTCCTATGAGGTTCAAACAATGAGGAACAACCATCTAGATTCGTACAATAGTCATATCAAGTCATGTAACCCGAGCAGTTTGTAAGCCATGTTTGAACATGGTGCACATAGGTCTCTCTTGAGCTCCTTATTGTCCTCCCATATATGGGATAGTTAGGATTAACCAACTAGTAGGTCCATAATCTTTTTTTTATCATCTTGAGCTCCATAACTAGTTCCCCTATAATCAGACATGACATAACCATCATAAGATTCATTTGAGTTAGTACTAGGTCTAGTTCCTATGCTCATAGATCAACTGATCGCCATGTCCTCTTCAAATGGATTGGAGGTATATAGGCAGTGGACTGTGCATAGATTCTTCATATTAGTAAATTATAGGGTTCTGGGCAAAGATTAGCTATTTTTGGGTTTCAATTTGCTTCAATTGCCTTCAAAACTTCTAAATTTTTTTTGGGTTTTGTTATGGCTATCGGGAAATATCGGGGATATCGGCAAAATATCGAGGATATCACACTTATCGGGGATATATCGTCGATATAGGGGAAGATATGGCCTTACCCCCCAGTATCGATGTCGATAGTTGAAAATACCGATATATCGGCAGATATATCGGTGTATCGGCCGATATTTCAATCCTTGCATATGATAATGGTGATAAAAACAGTATTGATGATGTTTGCTACCCTGAAACGTCTGGCACATAAAGTCAATTCTGGGCTTCTATATTATTTCCACATGAGTTTTCAGAGTGAAAAAAGATCATAATCAATTGTGTACGCCCCTACATAATCTGCTCAAGCATTCATGTCAATGAGTGTGTATCTTTGCGTGGTGGAATTTTTATTATTATTGTTGTATTTACTTTTTAACCAATTGTTTCAGGCTCCTGGTGCTCGGGATTACATTTTTATTGGATCGTTTGATGTACGGCTCATGGGTCTTAGTACCTCTTAATTTTCTAAAGTTCAATTTCCTTTCTGCTGGTGGAGATTATTATGGGACTCACAAGTGGCACTGGTACTTCACTCAGGGATTTACAGTCATGATATTCTCCTTCTTACCATTTTCTGTAGCTGGCATCATGCAGTCCAAACATTGGAAGCTTTCTGGCCTTATTGTATGGGTTTTGGGACTTTATAGTGTGCTAGGCCACAAAGAATTCAGGTACCCTTTCTATTAGTTTATTGTAGAATTGAACATGGTTCTTTGACCTTTCATTCTATTTACAACTAATACTCCTCTATTTTGGCTTTGAGTAGGTTTGTTCTGCCTGTGCTTCCTATAGCTTTGATATTCTCTGGACATTCATTAGCTGCATTAAGAAGTACGATTTCTGCAAATGGTAGAGGGAAAGAATCATCAAATATCCATAGAACATGCCCTGCAAAAATGCAGGTGGCCATTTTTTTCTTGCTCGCTACCAATATTCCAATGGCCCTGTATATGAGTTTGGTTCATCAGGTACATCAGTTTGCTTTTTTCCTGGGTAGCTTTTGATTGTTCGTTTCCATTTACTCAACTTTAAATGCTAGACTTTACTTCTGTCTATAATGTTTTCATCTAAGCTTTTATTTTTACTTTTGCTTAAGTTTTTATTTATCACTTTCCCTGTTTCTCTTCCTTTCTTTTCCTTGTCAATAATACTTCTCAACATGTTAGACAGAGAGGAACTGAGGATGTTACATACTATCTATCCAAAGAGGTGCTTGATGGAAAAGTGACAAATATACTTTTCCTAATGCCTTGCCATGCCACACCTTACTACGCGACCGTGCACCACAACCTTCCAATGAGATTCCTAGACTGCTCACCAAGGTTTGATCCTTAGCAACTTGGATGGAATGATTTTCTTTCCTTGCCGCTTTTCATGCAATTGGTACTTCATACATTGTTGGAAATTTTTTCAACAGAGAAGAGAAAGGAATCCCAGATGAATCGGACCATTTCATGATAGATCCTGTTGGTTTTGCATCAGAGTTTGCAAAAAATTGGTCTTTACCCAGTCACATTGTATTATTTGATTCGGAAGAAAAACTGTTGAAGGATTTTCTAATCTCACATTCTTTCAAAGAGGTACATGCTATGGCTCATATTATTGTTAAGTTTGGCATCTCAGCCAAAGAAGCAGAAGTTGGATCTTAAATTTCTTCCTGAGCTATTACTGAAAATTATCTATCTGGCCTATGATGACAGATAAAAAGGTTTTTCCATGCTCACTTCAAAGTGGACCGTGATCTTCAAGCGTCAGTTGTTGTGTATGGTTTCACGGGCGACTGATTATTGTTTATGCAACAAACATTACTACAGTGCAATGAAACTGGAAAGAATTTATTGACTTTAGGTCTTGACGAATGGAGTGAATCGCCAGAGCTTGGGGTTACTGCGGATGTGCACATCTCAGCAGATTCCAACTTCAGATCATCAATTAGTATGTAACAATTTTTTCCATTCATTAACCCCAGAATTTATTAATTATTTTATTTATATTCTTTTCTTGCCTTTTTTGTGTGTGTATTGCATTAAACTTGGTATGTCAACTTGGATACAGCCTAGATGTTTCATATTGTGATATCCATCGTGCTAGACAAAGAGGCAACATGGACACAGGCTGTGCCAGTGAAAACCGATATCAATTTTGACTGACATAGCTATATTGCTTTCTATCTATACATATTCTTTGAATCACACTTCATTCCCTTAGTTTTGGCCCAAATAGGTAGAGTGTAGATGATTATAATCATATAATCATATATAATCACACTTCATTCCCTTTGTCTTGAATCAAATTTTAACAGAAGGAAAAAGTAAAAGAGTTGGGTATGAAATTTTCTCCTTGGTATAGGTAACTGTTTGATACATTTAGTTGCTACTGGCCAATTCATTTTCCATAACAGTGGAGAAGGGCCTAAAATGTTGAAATACAGTGTCCTTAGAATGTGTACCGTGAGTAAGCCGAAGTAGTGTAAGAAACAAAAAACATTGTAGGTACTCCTTCCTTTTCACTTCCCTTTCTGAATAATCATTTGCTTAGGAATTCTATAAAGTTGAAAGTGCAGCCTTTTACAGATTAAGAACTATATATTTCTGAATAAAAAAAAAAAAAAAAAAAAAAAAAAAAAAAAAAAAAAAGATAGCAGTTATGATTATATATGACAGAATAGTAAAAGATAAAAGGCACTGGATATTCAGAACTCCAGCATGTTGAGCTTAAAAAGCTGCAACATTTCCCAAGTGACAGGAACTCATCCATAAAGTCTCCTTGATCATCACAACTCAAAATGATGCCCTCAAAATTTAGTAATCATGAGTAGGCACTGCTTGTCACACACAAAAGAAGGTTACAGGATATTAAAGATGGCTCACTCAACAGCTGGATTTTATACTGATAAAGTCATTGAGTCATAAACAGGGCTCAGTATGACTTGGCTCATCACTCATCATTCCTACTTGTAAAATATGTAAACTGCATGTGCTTTGAACTTGCCTAGTCATGCGAGTAATGTTAGGACCGCATTGTAGATCACATCTCTAATAAAGATTGGGCTGCTGGAGATACGGTCTAAAAATGCAGTGCAAATAGTTAAATTGTGACCCAATCTTTCATTTTAGACCCAAAAACTACTTGTATGGCAGTATGCTCATCTTTACGACACCTTTTTCATTTTACACTGTTGAATGTTCTTTCTCTTGAAATAATTTTGTTCTTTAGAAAAGGAGTAAGAATAACATAATTCCAACCCATCTTTTTATCTCTTTGTTTTTGGGACGATGTAGCTATTCTTTGTGGATGTATCAGCTTGTTGTTTAGCAGAAATGATGAAGCAGGAATTGTGAATTGATTTATAATTACACAAGTAGAGGACAAATATGCACATGGGTGCAATGCATCACATTGATTATAGCAATAGCTGGCAAGACTACTTTTTGTAGAATTGAAGATGATATTTCGTAAATGAAGTAGAAACCATGAGCATATGGTTAATGGTTGTGGCCCATGTCTTGTAACGTTGATAGTCGTCTTCCATGTCTAGCTTGAATGTACCCCTACTCGTCGTTAACACGATAAGATAACCCGTGCCATTCTCATCTGCTGCCTCGGAATCTTTATACAGCTCCGCATACATGTCCAGTATGATGCCTAAGACAACACACATTGATTAGTTGTCCCTTTTCACCGTGTATGGTGACTTAGACTGAATTGGACTATGTCATTTAAATTGGACAGGTGTCATGACCGCAGTTTGGTGAACTTATAATTGTTGAGATTTGACTTAATAAATTGGACAACGGTCCATCCTGAGGGGTCCATCCAATATTTTGTGTTTGACGAGTCCTATCTAGAGGTGTGAGACTCAACTCCGTTTCAGTCTAAAGATGAGCCACCAAACGAGACCTTGACTGTAATCCTAATGAAAACATTTACTAGTTACTGTGGAAAAATAATGTAGGATTCAATTTTTCTCCGACATTTTTCCTTCAAACTCTCTCACATGAGATGAGATTCATTACACAGAGACCCATGTAGGACCCATGTGACAAAGTTAAGAAAAAATATTGGGGGAAAGTTTAGCTTTGCAGCATTTGTATGTGCTAGACTGTGTGCAAGTATTAATAAATCTAAATGAAAGAGAAAAGAGAGAGAAAGGAGGGACTTACTTTCCTTTTTGCTTTTCAACAGACTGAGCTTCCTCATTTTAAGAACAACCTATAATGTTGAATTATGAATTGAAGGTTAAGCTAAGGCTTTCTTAACCCCACAAGTAATACTTTTTAACTATACAGGCTTTATAACAAAATAGCAGTGGACAAGTTTAGCATGTAATGCAGACCTTGGCTTCACTGTTCAGGATGACAGACACTGATCTAACCATGTACTTCCCTGCAAACACATAATTTTGAAACTCATTAGCATACAGATGGACAGTAAAACAGAGTACAGATTTAGGACTAGGAAACCATAAGCCAGGAAATAAATTTACAGAACACAAAATAAATAAATGAAGATCTAAGATTGGAGTTCAAACCATCTGGTGTTTCAATGCTGAGCTGGGCACCTATTGCAAGCATTGATCTATACTTCTCAAAGTCGAAGTCAACCTCCGGGTTGTCCTCGATGGGCATCACTGGTGCAACCCCATTTAGTCTGTTCTTGCATCCTGATCTTTCTTTTAATGTAGCTGCTCCCTTCAATGCTACATGTTTCACACAAAACCAAAAATCGAAGAAAGTAAGAGTTAAAAGTCCTTCAACATCCCTAATAATATTGTACAGTCCGTCCGCATGAGTGACTAACCGTAGCATCTTAAATACCATATTACACATGCCTAATAATATTCTACAGTCCGGCACACAATAAATGACCCTGCTCTTTCAGAGACAACCCCAAGTGTAGCTCATTTTTGCATGAAACAATGGTAGAGAAGAAGGATAGTAGGATATTTACATGTCGTAGCTGCAGCTGTTAGAGTTAAGATGTCACTTGCACTTGTACTAGTCATGGCTGAACCTATCACACTGCTGAGCTGCTCCTTCTTTGCCCCCATTGCTTCTGCAACTTTCGCACACTGCGCCGCCACTAGCGCGGCTGCAGAAGCCACTGCGGCTTCCTTGGCAGTGCTTGAGCCATTGTTGTCTGAGCCTTCAGCTGCAATGGCTGCAAGAGCAGCTGCAACACCTGCCATAGATATTGCTGCATGGACTTCAGCTCTTTGCAACCTGTGTTCCTCTTTTCGCCTTTCCTTAATATCTTTTAGCCATTTCTTGATTGACATATTCTTAAATGGGACTATCTTCCAAGACATCTGCATAGATTAATATAAATTCTTGTTCTTGAGAACTATGGAAAATGAAGTGTGGTAAAAAGTATGACCCAATTTGACTTACCCATTTCTTCCGGAAAAAGCTGTTGTAGTTCAACTCTGGATGGCTTGTTGCTTGTAAATGCATAAAAATGAATGAAAGGTGAAATAAAAAAAAAAAAAAAAAAAAAAAAAAAAAAAAAAAAAAAATAATAATACAGGATGTTATCAATGAAATTGGTTTTAAGATATTGAATTAGATGTACTTATTTACTATATATATATATATATATGAGTTATTCTCTCATCTGGATGTCTGCACGTTATTACTGTATGGATGCCATTGTAAACAGGGAGAAAAGCAGGGAGGGGTGGTAGAAAATATATGACGTCTGAACGATAATAACGTCCGGACGTCCCCATAGGAGAATTTCAGTATTATATATATATATATATATATATATATATGTTCACCTTCACATCATTGGATTTCCAAGGTGGTGGAGGCTTGAGATCTGCATCATCCATCTGTGCAAAGTTGGGAAGCTTATGAAATTTCGTAGGGTCTGAAAAATAATGGGATTGATTTAATCCTAGAAGAAATTAATTCGACCTACCATGTAAGGAGCCTCCTTGTGACTCTCAAACTTCACAATCGGATCGTCTAGCAGAACCACAGATTGGTCTTGTTGCTCCGTTTGGAAAGCTTGAACTGCAAAGTTGCACCATGCAAGGGAAAGAAAATCCATTGTCTCAGGATGTGCCTCAGAAGGACTTGGACTGAAATGTGAATCCATGCAACTTGTTCCTAAAGGTACTTTGGAGACGAGTTTAAGTTAAGACAATGAGATTGGACTACTTAAAACTCAATGTATAGAAATCTGAAGTTTACAAGTGTACTTAAATAAACATGCATAAATCACCATCATATATAGCCATGTTATGATGTGAGTTCTCAAGCATTTTTGGGAATTAAATAATTAAAGGGCAATGCCTTGTAATTAAATTAGGTACATCTTGTTTCCCTGTCCTCTGCATGCACCGTCCCAAAAGCTTCCACCAAATTTTTTTTGGACAGATGAGATATTACAGTTGGAAAGGGCTTTTTATTTTTATTTTTATTTTTATAGATATATAATAAAATAAAATGTAGATGCCAACAAAGGGACCAAATTGATGTCATAAGTTTTTATTTATAAAAAAAAAACAGATTTTGATTAGGGCCACTCAAACATCCAATGAGAGAGAGCACATGCAAACCACTATAGAAGCATTGAGGCTAAAATTATAAAGAGAATCAAATAGGGCCTTGGTACTTTAAATGAACACCATAAGTTGAGGCTAAGCATGGGGGAATTTAAGATGAGGAAATGACAGGGCTAAGCTTTTGCTAGAGCAGGCTAGGGCCACCACATCAAAGCCTCTGTAAATATAAGAACAGCCAAGAAAAGGAAGACATAGGCATAATAACAAAGCAAGCATGCACTTGGTGACTTGGGCCAGCATTGGGATAAAGCAAGCAGACATATATGATTGATGTGAACATTGATAAAGGAGAAGTAAATAAACATGTATCATTGGATTTAATCATTATTAGATTAGAATAAGGCTACTGCTTGATTAACTAATTGTTAAGACACTTAACAAAGATTAGCATTCTGAATTAAAGAAAGGGTTATGAAAGTTAGCTGAGTAACTTTAATGGTTATGGGGTCGTCTTACTTGATTTTTGTTGATCTGCATTCATGGACTTCTGAAGATTTGGTTAAAGGTGTGCTCATTAGGCTCATGTGACAACCAAACACTTAATCATGCTTAGATGCTTATTAGAGTTTCTTTAATCGTGGATTATACCTCCGAATATGAGTCCAGGGGCAATGCATGATTTCTTTATTAGTTTAATTTAATGGCAGATCTACATGGGGAAGAAAGTGTTATGATTAGCCGATAGCAGTTCGATATATTGTGTTTCCATGGAGGCAGGATACTAGAAATCAAGAAAAATTGTAAAGCATTTATAAAAACATCAGAAGGGTAGCAAAACATGAAACATCACAAGATCAGTATTTCTTTACCACTACGGCTTCCTTTATTTTCATAATTATAACTAAAGTTTGAATATGTTTCTAGAAAATCGTTGTTTGCGTTTTCTAACTCTAACCACTAAACACAAATCCTTCTGCAGGTTCACTTATGGAAACCTTGTTACGACTTCTCCTTCTTATAAATAATAAGGTTCAGTGGACTTCTCCTGACGTCGCTGGCAACGAACCACTCACGTTGCTACAATCCAAACAATTTATCGGACCATTTAATTGGTATGAGTGATGGGCGGTGTGTACAAATGGCAAGGATGTAGTCAACGCAAGCTGATGACTTGCGCTTACTAGGAATTCCTCGTTGAAGACCAACAATTACAATGATTCATCCCCATCACGATGAAATTTCAAAGATTACCCAGGCCTGTCGGCTAAGGCTATAAACTCGTTGAATACATCAGTGTACCGCGTGTGCGGCTCAAAACATCTAAGGGCATCATAGACTTGTTATTGCCTCACTATTTGAAGAAAATGAAAACTAAAAATGGCTAAAAGTTTAGTATGTTGATCCAAACCGAACATTAGTATACTGACTCGAACAAATGTGAATCCAAAGCATTAGTTAACGAAATATACTTTCACCTATCAAAACTTCGATACAATTAACGGGTTGAACTTTCTCCCAAACCAAATAAAGCCATACCTATACCTAGGTGCCATTCAAGTGAAACACATGCTCTTTTTAGCGTCGTTGTTTATCATTGATCCATTTTTTGTAACACAGTCCCTAGCCCATGAGCTTAGACCTTGGGTCCAAAATGGGGATGCAACTATATGACAAGCCACCGTTAAGGCTCAAATAAAAAAGAAACAAAAAAAGAAACAAAAGAAAAGGAAATAGTCAATTGTGCCGTGTACATGGGCTTGCTATCATCATGTCGAAGAATATAAGGCCATGTTTGGTTGGTTGGATTGGATTGGATATATTCAATTAAAATGAACATGGGTCTAGTCTCTTGTTTGATGGGCTTAATTGTATCACATACTTGATATTGGACCTGAGATCCAAGTCCCAAATAACTACAGCTCTAGAACCCAACCCCAAACGTGGGTTTAGAACGAACGCAAGCTCCTTGTCATCTCCCCAAACATGAGCTCCTCATCATCTCCCTCAGCCTCCTTCACATCGTATGTTCTATGGTTTGGATATTGGACCTGAGATCCAAGTCCCAAATAACTACAACTCTAGAACCCAACCCCAAATGTGGGTTTAGAACGAACGTGAGCTCCTTATCATCTCCCCGAACACGAGCTCCTCATCATCTCCCTCAGCCTCCTTCACATCGTATGTTCTATGGTTTTGGTTCTCTCTCTCTCTCTCTCTCTCTCTCTCTCTCTCTCTCTCTCTCTCTCTCTCTCACAAACCCTTTCAAAATCTATGATTCTGCCAAATCCAATCTTGCAATCTCTTGGTATTTGCCTTTTGTGGGGGCTTTTTTGTTACGGCATGCTACAGATGGGTCTAGGCTGCTGTAAAGAGCAAATGGCTGGAATTGCTCATGTGTCTGAGTTCAATAATTAGGCCCCAAGAGTGCTTCGAAAGGTTCGTGGAGCCTTATGAAACACCTTGGCTTCCTTCACCAACAAAACCAACAGTTGCTTACAAATAAATATTATGGCTTGGCATGAGAAGTTTATGGCATGAGAGCCGAGCATTCGTGAGTTTAGCATGAGAGAGAGAAGGCTTGGGTTTCCTATGAAAAGTAGAGGCTCAAAGTAAGGGGAAAAGAGAGTTTTTGGGAGAATTTGTTGAGGGGAGAGAGGAAGAGATGAGGGAAGAAAAGTAGGTGGTTTGAGCAATTTTCTGACAGCTTGACGAAAGCTTTGTCAGGCTCTGGAATGGTTTGCCAAAAGATAATATGGGAAGCGATAGAGGAATATGTCTCGAAATTGAAGGGTTCCAAGGATGAGAGGTGATGCTTGCTATCTTTGGATGAGGTTGCTTGCCTTCCATGAGTTTTTTTGTTGGGTAGAAGGTGCCTCATTTTATAAGCGCTGAAAGCTCTTTCTTTTTAAGAAACCCTAGCTGGTTCTTCCCAAATCAGCCAAGTCTCCCTCTCTATTTTTCTTCTCTTCCTTTGATTCATCCCTATTTTGTGAAATCCTTCTTAGTCCAAACATACAGAGAAAAGATTTTTGTAGGCTCTAGAGCCTTCCCGCAGCTGTCCTTGCGACCATCTCCTATTTTGGGTTACCTTTCTCTTTATTTTCTCATTCATTTTATTGCAAGAGCTGGTGGGAGAAATGAGTGGGTAATGGCGCTGGTCTGAAGGGTGTTTTGCTCAAGTATCCTTTGATTTTTTAGATGGCCTTTGTTGGGATTTGTCTTTGGCAATGTGATGGAGATTCCCAGCAGCTTGCGCAAGTCTTTATCCCTGGTTTTCTGTCGTGGTTTTGTCTCTAGCCACGTGCTGGAGACTTTCAGATTTTTCTAAGTCACTTGGGTCACTTCCCTAAGGTAATGGACTAATTTACTAAGGGGATGGGTCAACCTTCTAAAGTGATAGACTATTTTTTTACTAAGGTGATGGGCCAATTTTCTAAAGTAATGGGCTACATTTTTCTCTCTTTCATGCTTACCGACATATTTAGGCTTAAGAAATGGGCTCGAGTTTTTGGGCTCCCAAGCAGCCCAAAACTTCCACTTCTTAGCCCATCAATAGGCCTCGTGAATGCTCGTAATCATCCATACCACAACTCACTCAGCAAGCTCCAGGTATTCTCGTGGCTTGGGCCCACTTAAGCTTATAGTGTGGCTTGTTGGTTATTTGCTTGGCATGACACGTGTGCAAGCGCATATGACGAACTCTTGCATACCCAAGTTGGGTTTCTTCCCAAGTTAGGTGTAGTATTGAGCTAGAAATATATTTGGGCCCAGTCTTTGATTTTTTGGGCCTCAACACCTTTCTCATCCTATTCTCTTTTATTATTTTTGTTATTTTGTCATTATTTGTGTGATATGGGGTTTTTGTGTTGATCTCGAATCGATGTTTGTTGTGCGATTAGGGTTTGGTTTTGGGAAATTTGGTCTTGTTTAGGCTCACGATCTGGGGTTGATTTGTTTGTTTTATGGGTATTCATGTTGTGGTTGTGTGCCATGGCGTCAAAAGAATTTTTTTTCTTCTTTTGAAAATGTTCTGATTTTCTTGTGGTGAATCTTTCAAATTTCATAGCTTCATACAATCAAGTTTTTCTTTTGTTTTAATTTAACTTTTTTTTTCCCTCTTGTTTTCCAAAATTTCTAAAATTTCCAAAATTATTATGTTATTCAGTCCAATCCAAAGTAGGTATAGCATCAAACAACAAACCCAAAGTCTGATCCAATCTCAAATACAAATTTCAATGTAATCTTGTCCTATTCGGACCACCAAACGAGGCCTAAGTATCACACATTAGTTTTAATGAATTCCGTTTGTTAATGACAAATTTACATCTTTGTTGTGGCCTTGCAGCCTACTTAGGTCTGAATCTCACACATGAAAGATGAATTCCAATTTAATGTGTAGGTCATACTAATTACCAACTAGCAATTAAATGATATTTTTCTTCCAGAAAAAAAAAAAAAAAAAAAAAAAAAAAACATCGTGTTCCATATATCATGAAACACCAAACGCTTGAAGCCAATAAATCCGGTGAAATCAAGTCATCATTCAATATTTGTTGTTATATTGACATTTTTGCTATTAATTGTGTAAGCAGCCCAAAAGATGAGCTTTGTTGGGCCAAGAGATATTAAATCTGAAAAATAGCATTTACGACTCCAGTCCAAATATATAAGTTCAGGATCAGCACTCTCAATAAGAAAAAGGACAAATTGCACAATGGCACCTAGGCTTTTCCACTTTTGTGGATTTATCACCTATATTAAAAAAGGAAACTGATTTTCCCACTCATCTTTTTTCCACTTACATTCCCTTTATCGAAAATTATATGTTCTCACTCATCTTTTGTTCACTTACACACCCTTGTATGTTATAAAAGTAAAAAAAAAAAAAAAAATAAAATAAAAAAAAAAAAAAAAAGTTTGAAAATTAGCAAAAAACAAATACAATAAACCATCCACTTGTAAAAACAATGCACCACCTCTGCCCACTTTGCATCCAAAATAGGGTCAAATATGATTACATGCGATGCAGGAGGCCACTTTTTCAGGTATTTTCATCAATTCATATCGTAAACAAATAATTTATTTATAAAAATCTTTAAAAAAGAATTATTATTATTTTTTAAATTATAAAAATACTGATGGCTCTTTCTCCACTAGATCCACCATGTATATCCTCCTATCTTTCCCTCTAGCTGCTAGCCTACCCCTTTCAAACGGCTGCAACCCACTAACCACCCAACCTCCCCATCTCCACCTCGAGGAGGCCCTAGGCCCTCGAGCCCTGATCCACCAGATAGCTAGCCTCCTTCCCCTCACATCTCTCTCTCTCTGAGGCCGGTTGTGTGTGTGTGTGTGAGAGAGAGAGAGAGAGAGAGAGAGAGAGAGAGAGAGGCTCTTATGTTTAGGGAGGAGGAAGTAAAAATATTTGCTAAACTAGATAAAATAGACCTTTTTTTTATATATATAAAGAAATTCTAGTATTGTATTCATAATTCACCCAAAAAGCCACTAACCCCAAAGGGCCATTACAATAACGGAGTGGTTTAACATTAAAATTAAGACAATCTGGAGCACCTCCACTAATGATCACATAGGATCGAAGAAACTCTGGCATAGACATCCCAACTAAGATTGCAAACTCAGAATAAATAAAAAAAGATAAAGCTTGAAAACCAAGCCATAACAATACAAAACTCTCACAAAGAAGAGATGAAAAGCCTTCACAAATGATAGATGAAAAGTTTTCACAAAGAATATATGAAAAACTCTCATAAAAGGAGAAGTGAAAACTACACAGAGAACTCAAATGGTCTTTGTGACTTATTCCGAATATGAAGAAACCGCAAAAAGGATGGTGGTGGAGATCCGACGCCAAGACCCTTCTGTCTGTGATAGTTGGAGGAAAATCATAACAAAACGAAGACAAATAGAGAAAACTTTTTGTCTATGAAAATAAGGGAAGAATAGAGGGAGGAAGAGAAGAGGGGAGAGGGGAGGAAGAACAGTGACTTCCTCTCCCCTTAAAGGGAAAACGGCTCTAAGAGGTTTTTTGGGAGAGAGGGGCTAGGAAAATAGACCTTTTTAAAAAAAAACCTCTATTTAGTAATTGACCTTGCAAATTCTATTATGATATAGAATTTTGGTCACATGCTATAACTCAAATACCCTTCATATAAATGTACCAGTATTGTCCCTATAGTGCCTTTGTTTTTCCATTACTGAATAGAGATTTTGAAAAGAGCCCATTTTAACATAAAACCGAAAATAATTTAGGGCGCATGAATTGACCGAAAGGACCTTAAATGGTGGCCTAGTGCATTTCACTTGATCTTATTTGATGGAAAATGGACAGAGGTGGTACATTGTCAAAACGTTCATAAATGTAGGTGGTTAATTTTAATGTTTTTTTAATTCTATGTGGTAAATACACAAAAGTAGGAAAGTCCAGATGCTATTTTTGGGATTTTCCCTTTTCAATATATAGAAGATTAATAACAAAATATTAAAGTTGAAGACACTTCCGGCCCAACGTTTGAGGCCTTGGGTTATATGGCTGTGGGTGTGAAGCATTGCCATACATGCAGTGACCACTCTATGACACTCAATAGAAAAAATCCATACCTCCACTTTGTAAAAAGGCAAGATGTTTTGTTGTTTGGGTTTTGTTTTTTAAAAGCTACTTTCCACAATGGTTACTATGGATGTGACAAAGTCACGAGAAATTATCGGATGACTATAATACCACGTGACATGTTTTAAAATGGTGCATATATTGAGTTCATATCACATTGGCATATATGCTGACTTTGGTGTTACGTTCGTACAGAAAAATTACTCATCCCCATTTTCCTCCTTTCTCAAAATCATCTTGTTACATAATTACATTAGAAGATGGATGGGTTTTGATGTGAAAGCGGCGGCCTATACAACTGAACCATACTAGAACTTTTGGTCGAATGTCGTATATGGTGTGCATAATGAGTTGTGGTTGGACATGGCAAGTTGTGTATGTGCACACGCATGTTAGGTCATGGAGTAGAGAATTTTAGCATAAAGTTATTGTTGGTGCAGCATATAATAAGTCCAGGTGATGGATCGCGCAAATTAGGGACGGATCTTAGAAGAGGGTAACCTAGCTACAGCCCAGGTGACTAGTATGTTTTTAAGCCTAAATTAAAACATTAGCCCACCCAAGTACATAGCCTTTCCACACTTACGCATCCCCTTCTTCCCTTTTTTTTTGGTTGTTCTGTTGCAATAGCCAAACATTTTCTTCAGTTTTATTTCTTTAAGACCAAAATAAAATATCACCCCACCCAGGTCCCACCCCACTTACGCATAAATAAATCCCTTCTTCCTTTTTTTTGTTTTTTTGTTTTTGTTTTGTTACAATAGCCAACCCTTTCCTGTACGTAGAGAAAAAAAGAGAGGCAGAAGTAGAATTAGGAGTATATATTCTCTTAGGACTACATCAACTAAAAGTAAAGGAATATTCATCTTGTTTTCAAATAAAACGTCGATTTAATGGGAGTCTTTTTTGTTTTACTAGTTTTTATTTATATGTACTCCTCACTAAGGTATTTTGTTTTATCAATGAAATTTATTTGTACCGTCGAGTTTTGTATCTTCTTAAAATATTTGTATGTGAGGTAAATTTTGTCCGCCCTGTTCAAATCATGAACCCATCCCTGCCTCAAATAAGTTTATTTGGTTGAGATATAAATATCTCTGAAAATGACTTGGTGCATGTTGATATCTTGAGGAACAGCCTTTTGATGGCCTCCCTCCCAATTATGATTAATTGGTTGAGCTGCTAGCTGTTTGTGAACATGGCAGTATGGAGGATATATATATCGATCATTGTGTTGTCTATATCAACACCATACCATAAATCAAGTTGCGCCTAACAGGCCTTTTCCATCATGATTTCAAAATAATGATGCAAATAGATATATTACCAACGTCAATGTAGACTGGGAAATTGGGGTAAAGATGATGAGATGCATGCATGCTTATAACTGTTTGTGTTTGAATGTAGACAACAGATCATAGATATATCTAATCATGGAAGCAATTTTTTTGATACGATAATCATGGAAGCATTGGCTGCCTATGACTACCTTTTTTTTTTATAATTTTTTTTTTCTTACACTAGCGATTCCGAGGTAGGTGAATTCGAACATAGGACCTCAGATGCATGAATAACTGCTCTTAACCACTTGAGCTACATGCTTCTACTGACCACCTTTTCAAAATGAACAACAATGCCACACCATAATTAAATTCTTTTGACTTGTAGCTTTTTGGCGGTAGCTAGCTAGCTAGCTCTTGTTGTTGTCATAATCTGGGCAGGAAGTGCATGCGCACGAGTGCGGAGTTATGGCCTTTCATTGTTATAATCTGTAAGGCAACATCAACTTTTTCTGTATCACATCCCTCAATAATACGAAAAACTCTGTCAGTTTCCTAGCCAAAAATAAGCAGAGAAGAATTGCTCAGCCTGTATAAGCAATGCTCAAATTGGTATTACATTGAATTGCATCCAAGGAGCACCTATTATTCCCCAACTCCAATATTCTCTCTCTCATTTTTTCTTTTCATGAGGAAACTTTCTGTGTCATTGTTATAATAATATAATGTAAGCATATATGACTTTCTGATTATTCCCTTCATTCTAGTATTAAATTGCTAATTGGGTATTTCTCCTTGAGTATGGGAATTTTCCTGTTGAATACTGAACAGAATTACTGCCAGCACTTGAACAGTTCTATATAAAGTATATAAAAAATTTGCTCTTATGCAGACATAAGTATTGGGATTTAGTTCAAATGAGGCTGCTGGTTGCACTGATACCGACCTATTATTTTGTAGGTTTCCGGGAGCAAGCTTCTTTTCGACATGGTTGATTAGTTTAGGGTGTAAAACTTTCTTACACTCAAAATTAGAGACTAAAAACCTAAAATCTAAGCACAAACTGGTCTATGGTGCCGGTCATTCAGCGTTTGCATCAAAATGGAACATTTAGTATGGTAAAGAGAAGGCCCTAATATGAGAGTGTGTCTATATATTAAATATGCATTACGTTATATGTTACATATAATTACATGTATATCATTAGCAAAAAAAGGAACACATATAGAGTTGATATGCGCACAAACATTTATGCAGATGGATCGAGATAACAAGTGAAAAAGTGAAATTTGATTTACTGATATGCATTGTTCATCTGTACAATATTGCTCCCTCCTTTTTAACTTCATCTCTACTTATAATAATATCTAGTAGCTAGCTATAGTACTCTCTTGCAAAAAGGAACAAAAAGAAAAAGAAGATCGATCGAGTAATTAATTTACTGCCATTGATTATATTCTTATTTACCATTTATGAACTCAGTGGTGGTAGCAAGACACCGCATTACATCAACCTGAGCTCGCAGAGACACAATATAATCTAGGGTTTCTGCAATCAAACACATCTCATCCTCCATGAATTCTCCTCCAGGAACAAGACTCTTGAGCACTTGTGTTTTCTTCCAAACCAATCTCTTCGCAATCGAACGGGTTTTCGCCACGTCGCGCTTCCTCATCAGCACTCTGCGGCTTCTGCTACTGCATACCCTCCGGCTCTTTTTCAAGATCTTCTTGTGCATCACTGACGACACTGATCTTGAGGGTTTGTGAGGACCCAGTATGCGCTCAACGACGACTCTGTTGCTTTGCGTGGCGTTGGCTATGACGGCGCGGCTCCAACAAGTTGTGCCGTTTCTTGTTGAAGCCATGGCTATGTCTGCGGACATCTTTATAGCCTTCTTTCTCTCCAAGATGGTCATCTTCTTCTCCGAAGAGCTGTTGCATACTTGGAGACCCTTTATCCATTTCTTGAGAAATTCTTGCTTGAGAGAGGTAGAATTGCGCATTCTGCAAAAATAATTAAACGTAAAAATCAAATCAACAAGTAGGTTTTTTAAGTGGTGGAACTTTATAACTATATTCATGTTCTTAACCAAAAAAAGTTAACTGTAGTCATGTATACAGTATACTTATATAGATTGAATGAATAATTCAATATTAGCCACACATATAAATCAAATAGAATATAACTAAAAGAGCATATGAAAGGGAAAATAGTAAAGATAATCTGGCCTGAAAATCCAACACTACCGAGGAGATTGTTCAGAAAATAAACTAATTAATCTAGCTAGCTAGGAGATGGAATTATTTGATTTATACAAAAAAAGATGCATATATACAAGCTAGAAACATAAGTACCTTGGTTACAATAAGGTTTCTCTCTTCTGCTGGATGGGAGAGAAAATCATGAGAAGTATAAATGACAGACAAGTTTTGCAGGGTGTTCTAGTTCCTCTACAGATCCAAGAAAGTATGAGAGACGGGGAGATGAAGAGAGAGAGGAATGAGAAGGAGAAGAAAGCGCAGAAACCCAATTTATGTGCTGAAAGGACAGGAGCTGTGGGCCTTAGAGAGAGACACAGCACATGGAAGCACATGGCGGAACCCACCACTTAAAACCTTGAGAATATAAAAGACAAATGCAATTTAAATTTTTTTTAGTACGAGTAATAGTCTACACTACAAGTAAAGGGATTTTTCATACACACGATCAAAATGTTACGGTAATTCGAACATAAGACCTTTTGAGTTGTAGATTAAGAGCCTTTTTCACTTAGTTAGAACCTATTGACAATGCAATTTAGATTTATAATATAGAATAAAGGTCTCTCTATTTTTTTTGGGGGGTTCATGAGAATAAGGGTTTCTTTAGTGCAGTACAAATTTGTAACCTGTTGTCTGCATTCACAACATTTTTCTTTAGTGCAATACAAACCTAACATTTGTAACCTGTCCTCTCCTTCATTAAATGGTACGTCATGAATACAAAAAAATCAAGATTTTGTAACACAAAAAGAATAAAATTAAAGAGGTCAAACGTGCTATTGATAAAATTATTGGATGGTTCACTTTTCTTTTTTTTCTTTTTTTTTGAGTAAAGAAAAATTTAGAAGAAGAGGAGGCTACCCGTTATAGGGTCAGGATATGCTAAGACCTCTTTGAGGATGACTGAAATCTAGACCTTACTAGCGAAGAGACCGCTCATTAACAACTCATCCAACCATCATTTGGATGGGTCACTTTAATGTTGCTGCCAACATGACTTGTAAGTTTTTTTGACAAGTCTCTCATCACGAGATAGAATTTTGACTACTCTGCCGTACTGGTTTCTGGTCCGGGCATATAGAGTAGACACAAATTGGGGGGGCTATGGGAAAAAGATCTTGGCCTTTTTCTTAGTGCCATGAAAATATCCTCAAGCCATTAATTTGACGAAATTTTAAAGAAATTTAATGAAGAAAATGGCAGGATATCTCTCTGGTGTTATCCATATTGGCTTGAGATTACTCAAAAGAATTACCAACTAGGTGGTCGATCAATAATATTTAATTTAGATTTGATATACGAGAAATGATTATGTGACCAAATCTCGTTTTCATTAGGCTATAGGGCATAAAGGGTGGCTTGAACAAAAGGGCAAATTCCACTTGTTTAGGAGAAGTCAGAAGCTTTAACAACGTAAAGGAGACCGTAAGAGCTTTGACAACATGATTTGGAAGCCCACTTAAGTCAAAGACTTGAGTATACATTCCGTAAGTGCATTAGTAACCAACGACAGGTTTAACATTCGTCAGATTTGAACAATGATTCAGATCACATGATCATATCATCACATTATGCAGTAACCCCAAATGAGTATTTAACATCTCATTACATGATACTTGACCGGTGAAAATAAGTGGTTAAGATTGAGTGCTAGTGATATCATTCAATGGATATTTAAATTCCGTGGTAATAAGATTTTTGTTGCTTATGTTTTTGCGTGCTCGCATTGGGTTTTGTGAAAGCAGATGCATCGTTTTGAATTTGAGGTTTAGTATACAAGGAAATATTTAAATTCAGAATCTAATCTAACAAAATAATTATTAAATTTCGCTAAACCAAATTAATGAAAGTCATCGTTTATTTTTTGTTTCAGCGTACAACAAGTTTCTCACATACTGTCAAAGTGTCATGGGGTTCGAACTTGAGACCATTAGTCTTTTTTATTAGACTACAACCCATTGACAAGAAGAAGATGGAGGAAAAGCACACACTCGGAGTGTTCAAAATCGCTTGGATGATATGAATAGAGATTGAGATCTTAATCAAGTCCCGCCATAGCCAGCTTTATCAAGTCCCGCCCTATGTAAGTGGGTCGATTGATATGGAGATGGAGGTAAAGAAAGGAGGGAACTGGCGGGATCCGGAAAACATGGCAATGCTAAAAGGCCAAATGGGTCCCACTAGAAGAGAAATTTGAGGCCAGTGTAATTTGGCTTTGCCTAAAGAGAAATTGAGAAAAGATAGTCCTCCACATGGGGGCTTTAAAAGTTTGCCCTTTTCAAGGAGGAATACTCTCATGCAACTAAGATAACAATTTTTATTATTTTTTTACCAATAACACAACGATTTGTGAACTAATTTGTTCACATTTATTGTGTTATTAACCAGGGATAGTAAAACAGTATTATTCTCATTATAAGAAAGGTTTTTTGCTTTCTAAAACTCTCTTTAAGTGCATCCATAAATTGCAAGGGGTTTGTACCTCAAATAATTAAGAATAATTATCTTTGCACCTAAAATTATATTTTTAATCCATAATTCCGTCCAAAAAGTCACGTGTCTTTCATGTGACTTGCTGATGTTTTATTATTATTATTAAATATTTAAAAAATAGAAAAATGAAACAAAGAAGAAGTAAAAAAAAAAAAGGAACCCGGCCACCCCTCATCCCCACCTTCCCTTGGCAAGATTAATTTTGGTGATGCTGATTGCAACAATAATGACAATCATAAGCTCATCATCTACAAGTTGCAGAAGTTGCAGCAACAATAGTTGAAAAATATAAAATCTCACGTTAGAAACTTGACTTAATAAATTACAATTTATAATAAGTGGTTCTATTCCTAATAATACCGAGGCCTTTTATGATAAAATCCCACACTTACTGGGCTTTGTAGGTGGTTTAATTGAGAAAAATATCGGTGTTGCTAGTAATGGGCCGCTAGTCCGTCTTTATGAAATGTAGCACAGTATTAGAGTGGGACTCTGACCTAGACCCAAACTCCAACCCAGACGGGCCATACTTCGATTGGGTGTGGCCACCAACCGGCTACACCTTGACTAGGTGATGACATCGACCCGATTGATACTCTGACTCCGACTAATTTTCCGCTGCATGCATGCCCATATGATTAAATTCACTGTGAACTTGACTACACCTGTGGCCCAATATATCAGTAAACTCATTGAAATTCCAACAATTGTAATTGAGCTTATTGTCTCTTTTTTCTTTCTTCTGAAAATTTCAAAATCCAAATAAGTAATCATAGTTAGCGATATATGGGTACATGCGTGGACAAATTTTTGGTGGGATTAAATTGGATGGACGGTTCCCTACTTTTTCATGGGTGTCTAAGAAAATTAGGGTTTGAGAGGTACATATCACGTGTGCGTGTGGCCCTAACTTTTGCCATTTTTCTCTACCTCTCCATTAAAACATTTCGTACGTAGAAATCAATCTTCTGCAAATGTCTGGCAGCTTAAGACTGCGATATTTATATCATGTAGAAAATAATGCTGAGACCACATTGTCAACGGTTAGATTTGAATCTCAAGTTCGATTTCGATTTTGCTTTTGCATTGGCATTGGCAAGTTGGCATGCCCCTCAATATCCGACTACTTAATTATTCTTTTCTATACTTTATAAAATTAAAATTAATGCCATTAATTTTATATATGTACTGGTACCAAAACATGCATGTAGGTCCGTCGGGGAAAACAATTGCATATGCATGCACTTGCAAACGTTAGAAAGGAAGTGTTTCTTTTCTCTCTCTTTTTCCTAAATATTTTGTAGGACACATACATTATTGCTAGAATATTCAAAGAATTTAGAATATAAAAAAAGGGCAGAAGTTACTAATTGAATAATTTGAAAGAGGTTTCACGTTTTTGTATACACATTGATAAAATCAAGAGAATCAAGTTTCCCTTTTTGCTAATTTCATTGAACATGTTTTGTTGTTTGTACGTAGTAAGAGAAATTTAAGAGAACTAGCATGAGCTTATAAGGAGTTGAACTACTTCTATTTTGGGAGTAGACGTTCAACTTCCTTCATGGTATTCATAACAAGTGCCGAAGAAGATTGTTTGCTAGTTTTTTTCTCTTTCAATAAAATTGTGGATATATATTAGTGAAGAAAACGGAAAAAAAAAAGTTATTCTTTTATTCATTATATATATATATATAAATGATATTTTACTTTAATCTAATCTAAACTGCGATTAGAATGATTCGAATTTGAGTGCAGAATGAGGAGCGATTGGCTAGAGCGTATGTCTGCTCTTCTTCTGTTTTCTTGAGCGTTGAAAATGCAAGTAAATTTTGATATAGATATTTGAAAAAGAAGGTCAAGCACATGGAGGTCCAAGCGCCCAGGGGTCATTCCCCTTGATTTGCGGTTCTCCTTACAATTGACTCTGTACTTGGCTCCCATTAATAATTTTATGACTGTGACTATAATGTTTGGACCCACCGCCCTCCACACTTGCACATACTGCGAGAGCTTATACTTTTATTTTCACGTTAAAGCGATAATAATGAGGGATGAAACAAGTACAAAAATCGGACAATGTCGTAGAGAATTAGGCGAGTCTCTATATCAAATGTGAGCATACTTCGGTACCTATATTACTCCACAAACCAAACGTTTGAATTAGAATTGAGCCCATATTAGTCACATGAATCACACACAATTACAAATTTCAAGTAAATATAATGGACCTGAAGTTACTAAGCACTACTAAGTACAAACCTCCCATCTTTTTCTTCATTGCGCATATATGAGCAAATAAAATGGTATTGTATGGGAATGATGCTCGTGTTTATATAGAGGGTGTTTTTATTTCCACCCGTATTCTACTTTTCTACTCACCTCATATTCCCAACCTCAATTAATTTAAAAATATATATAAAAACACTCGCTTCTCTCTCACTATTATTCCTAAAATATTCTTAATGTATCAAATCAATCATGATAAACACACTTCTCACTTTTAAGATAATCATCTCACCTCCATTCTTCCTCTTATTATTATTATTATTATTTTCCTCCCAAATCCTTTCCTCTAAATTTTGTGTTCATCTTATAAGTTGAGAAATAGGCAATTTAAAATTTCCTACCATGAAGTCCATTATTGAAATGCTTAGGGAGAGGCGTGGAGAAATGATGGAGTTTGGTATGCATGTATGTCACTCTGAAATCCATTCAATTCCAACATTTATGATTTCTTTCAAAATTATTGACATTTTGAATATACCTATATTTTCGTAGATACCTAGATCCTGATTGAATAAACCAAAGACTCTTACACACTCGTTTAAAATTCTTATTGAATACAACCAAATTATTATTATTATTTCAATATAAACGATAACCTAAACTATAAGATAATAGGGTTTTAACACACACTACCGATGCAAGACAAAAATGAAATTATGAATTATGAATATGTAGGCCTCTAAAGTAAGACTAAATGAAATAAATAGTGTCGGAAAATCAACCACGCTGCTGCTTAGGAAGACATGGAAATTGTAGGCCACAATAACAACACAACACAAGCTCATAAGTCCTAAGATTTGATTTGAGAGCAATCAAATGGGCGTGCAGCTCATGCACGAGCGCACACAAAGACACTACCGTAATTTAACAGACGCATGCATGTGCACACATGGATGGGACCCACATGTGTCCTCTAAAGGTTTGCTGCCCTACAATAGCTTCAATGATGTGGGGTATCCTAAGACTATTTAGTTTATTAGATATTAATATATATATATAGTTAACTAAAAAAGATTAGGGAAGTTGACGGTCTAGTTCAGGAAAAAATAACATTGATTTGCAAATTAGTAGTTTCATGTTCGAACAACCATAGCCCCTTAATAGTGTGTGTGAGAAACATCTACCTTGTAATTTAGATCATCGCTTATATAAAAAAAACAAAAAGAGATTAGGGAACATAAAGAAAATTAATAATACCTCAAGCAACATGATGTTTTCAATATTTTGGTTTGGGCCACACTTGATGCTGTACTTTATTAAGGGTTGAGTTGAGGGCCTTGTTTTATACTTTTAATCTTTCTTTTTGTTTCTTGCTGTTTTGAGTCAAAAGCAACTCAACTCTGTCTATTGAAATAGCTCAGCTGAATCAAATTATTCAATTTGATTACTTGTTTTTGGAACAAGAAAACATTTAATTTTTTGTTTTTCTGGTCAGCTCAGTTGATTTCTCTTTGCACACAAATTGGAAAAAAAAAAACCTATAGGCCAACCAACAACCATAGAATCTAGTCCATTGTGGGATGAGAAGTTTGTCAATTCCAAGCATTAGATATGATCAATATGAGAAATTCTATGTTAGATATGAGAAAATTCTACAACGAAGTTAGGCAATAGGCAATCAAGTAGTAGATATTGTGTAACAAAGAATGAGACTGCCAACGAATGGACTAGTGTGTAAATACAAATTCAAGAAAATCATACAACTTTATATTTTAATTGGGCTAAGTCACTAAGAGAACCTTAAAAAAAATAAAACTGAAAGAAATATTGCGCTTAGGTCTAAACCAACAAAAAACCGAACCAAACTGTCAAATAGTGGATGGTTTGGTTTGGTTTTTCCTCTGATTTTAGCTCAAACGGAAACTAATTAATTTGACCGCAATTCAAACGTGACATAGATTCAAAGTGGACAGCGTCCACCCCTAACTAGTAAAAAGTTTATGCATTGATTTTTATGTTTTGATTATTCACTTAGAAAGGAAGTTCAATTTCAAACCCCGTTGTGAAGGTGCATTGTCATTGAAGCGAGTGACAGCCTACTTTTGATTGGATAAGCAAAAGCCATAAAGCCCTCCTGTTAATAAGATTAATTAAATCCAAATTTAGATCTAACCTTCCCCCTCTTGTGTAGTCCTACATAGAATTTATTTATACATTTGTACGTAACACCATGTTTATTTGGTACATAGTTTAATTTTAATTGCAGACTTTGCTTGAAGAAGATGAGACTAGCTAGGGTGTCTTAAGAGTGCCTGAGAAGCGACCAAAGCCTTAATTAAGGGCATCATTACATCACTAACTGGGTATCATATTTTTTTTATGGACTTTTGGTTTTAAAGTTGGTTCAAATAAAAATAACAAAATAAAAAAATAAAAAATGGAAAACCACTTTGACATGCTTGGTATATGGTAGTGGACACTACTTGTCATTCTTCGTTGCAAATTGCATTTTGATACATACATAAAAATAATTCATCAACAATTAAAACAAAAAATTTTATATGCACATATTAAACTGACTCCTACTTCGAAAAGAAGAAGACAAGTATTTTCCTATTGTAATGGAGTTTCTTCATTGTAATTCAAATTGATAAGATTATGTGAGTGCTAGGGAAGGGAGAAGACGACAATACCATTTGGATACATACAATCCATAAGGGTTATTAATATAGAAAATCTATTTTTCTTTTTTTTTTTTTTTATTTCTTTTTTTCTTTTTTTTTTTTTTTTTTTTTTTTTTTTTTTTTGTACTCTTTTCCTTCTGGCATCGTGCTTGAGCAACACAATTTCTCCGCACAATTGAGTAACAATTTTGGGATGAAAAATACTCTTTTCCTTACCAGGTCAGTGTGACATGTGTGTATAAGTTTTTTTTGTGTGTTTTTGATGAACTAGTTTTGCATATATATGAAATTGTGATTCATAGAAAAAATGAGTGTAAGGAGGCAAGTAATATCTTTTCGAGATACATGTAATGGTATTGTCGTTGGTTAGATGAAATTCTTAAACTAATTTTACGACTATCCAAATAATTTAAATTGTGATTTTCATTATTTCCTAAATTTTATATGCATCGAAACCTAATTTGAAATTTGATACTGATGAAATTTGAAATGAAAATTGGAATTACATCATCCAGGCCGAACACATGATAGGACATCAGTCCATTCTAGGACCCAAAGTTAGCATAGGTTGTACGCGACTGGGCCACACTCAAATTACCATTAAGTTTCTTTTATGACGTGGTCCACATTCATTCGTCAAGAGCTGCTTCCGCGAGTGTTTGACCTTTTAGACCTATAGGTTGGCTTGATTTTGTCATTACAAAATATAACACGCACATATATAATTAAAGCATAAACAACACGAAATATAGTGGATGAAGGAAAATTCATACCATTCATGTTTCCATCATAATTGTACTCTAACCACCGACCTACAAGATATTACAAGAAAACAACAATTTAGCCACTAACATCTGTTTCTGTAGCATATATAGGATGAGATGATTAAAGGCTAGTACAATAGACACGAATAAACTGAGGATGTTAGCTATTAGGCATCAATTATAGTCATCTTATTATGTGCTACGAATGTTGTGTATCTTCTTATAGTGAGAAACATTAACAATTGACATAGTTGGACACGAATAACTGTACGATAAATATCCGTGTCTATTGTCCCTTTTTTCTTGTAATGAACTTAATCCGGTTGTAATTACAATCATATCAATTGTTCAAATGGGGGCCAAGTAGTGTACTTTATATTATTGGGTTGTAGCAAAAAAGTTTAGAAAATAATGCACGAAAGGAGACGAGAAAAAAATACGAATAAAGTGGATTAATGGGTTGATGATAATAACGTTTTCACTACTCTTGTTAGTGACTTAGCTTGTCATATTAGAGGACAAAGAGTGGTTGGGAGAAGTTGATTAGGGCATTGCAATAACGTTTTCTTGATGCATGACCTATAACCTATGGCTGATCAATGATCATGTTCTTTTCATGCAAAATGTTAATCTCCTTAAGATATAAGGGCAAAACTACAACAATCTTGTGCAATATCTTTCTAGAAATAATATTACAGAAAGAGAAATACTACCAAATGAAGAGGTAGTTAGGTGCATATAGCTCGGCCTCACCAGCTAGCCATCCAGATCAACAGTCACGTCTAAAATTTCTTTTCTCCGTGAAAAATAAGAAAAAAAAAATTGCTATAATTTGTCATTTAATTCTTAAGGTCGTCGGCAAGCATGACAAAAAGTTTTCAATATTATCCAAGTACAGAAGTCAATGTTTCTGGAAGCTATACCATATTCATGTTTAATCATTTTGTACATCCACTCACTCACTCCCAGTACAACCATTTGCAAAGAGGAAAGATAAGGATATATGATTGATATGAATTATCAAAACTCACATCTAAACAACAGCAATCATACATTTATGCCTTTATTTACACTCCTGCAAAGATAGAAGTAAAATGAAGTACAAAGGTAAGTACTACACAGATTTGCATCTCTCTCTCTCCTCTCTTTCGCAAGTTGAATATTGCTAGCTCGTTGCACATCAAGGGCGCCGAGAATGATTTTTCTCGTTAGACTCCATATGAAGTGGCCAGAAGTCTGAGGATATTCACCTTAGCTTCTAAGAGAAAGATGTAATTAGCAATCTCTTGGAACATGGTTTCTGGGTTGCTGCTGTTAATGATGCATCCCGGGATGAGGTTCTGGAGCTGCATAAGTTTCCTTTCTATGGAAGATTTGGCGGCCTTGGAGTTCCTAATCAAGGAAAGCCTTAGCTTTCTCTTCTTGGACCCAACTCTCCATATAGAACTCCTTGTTCTCATTTTTCAGTGTGTTTGAGAGAGAGAGAGAGAGAGAGAGAGAGAGGGAGGGAGAGAGATGCATTCATAAGGGGGGTAAGGGGGATGTTTATACAGGCCAAAACGAGACACTTCACATCACTCATCCTGTATTGCATTCTGGCTATTCTAATCATCTTAATTTGTCACATGATTCATTGGTCCTACAAGTTTTCATGAACCTCTCCTCCAACTTTTACATAAATATGTACTTGCATAAAACTTGCATCTATTCTATTACCAAGTCTGAGACTAATTCATCAAAATTAATAAAATATATATATATATATAAACAGTTTATTTATTTTTCCATCTAACACTTCACCTAGTGGTATCTCTCTTTTAAATGTTGAAAGATGTCCCAAGTTCGAATGTCCCCTACTCACAAAAAATAAAGTAGTTTATTTTCAATCTTATTCCTAAATTCACTTGCTTCAATTTTGCCCTCTTAAATGTTTACTAACCCGGAATTTGTTTAATAGTCATGAAATCAAATATAAATGCATAGATACATAAGCGTCCTAGCTATTGCCATATGGTATTTATGTCCTCAACTGACGTGCGCCTATAAATCTTTTTCATGCATACTAATATGCGGGCATGGAAGATCTCATCTGGGATCTTGAGGTAGTCGTCACTTCGTACCCTAAACGAGTAACCCTACTCACTGTGAATCCAAGACCACACATTTTTCACATTGAAAGGGAAAACATAACTATATATAAACCTAAGAAGACAATCTCCATTGTTGGGGGAAATGTTGAGGAGAGAGAACTGTCACATGTTGAGGAGAGAGAACTGTCAATCAAACTGTCAATCAGCCATCCAATCCAGCATTCAATCAAAGCAAATACAATGAATATTATTGGGTTCGAAAAATGTGAATAATTGTACGAGCATGAAACCACACTGTATATGAAAGACTCTTGATATCTTAACATCATCCATTCTCTAATCCTTGGAAAGGTGAGATGGGTAAGTCTTTGTTTTGGAAATTTGATGGGTAGAGAAAAATACAATTTGAAGTCGGACGTCTAAATTACAGAATTTCAGTGAGCATTTGTTGGCGAATTATTTCTTTTTGGAAATTTGATCTCATAAAAAAATGGACAGAAACTTAACTCTCACATTTCTAGAGATCTTATCTCAAGACAAAGTTGGCAGAAACATGACCCACGATCCTAGAGATTATAGAACTCGTACTATATTTACTGTTTAGTTTTTGTTTTTGAGTTTGATCCCCAATTTCATTAAAAAAGAGAAGCTGTCAATAACATTAAAAAGAAAACAGAAAAAGAAAAAAAACAGAACATTCCCCTATTTACAGAGTCCAGTCCACATATAAATCCAAAAGTATTATCTTGTCATACCGTCTTAATTTAAATTATTGATTAATTATTTTCTAATTATGTGATTGAGATGTGTGTACAATTTGATAAGACTGCATAATTGCATGCATATGTACAAACTTGATGGCAAGAAGATATTTCAACTCTTCACGGTGGATGGGTGTTGGGTCAACTCCTCTATAAATAACGATTTAATTCCTTGAATAGACTGTTACCGACATGGCAATCTTACTGGCCGTGGGGAGTACTTCATATTCACTTCAGCAGTCCTCTCCAACTTTTACATCTCAACTCCCGAAGAAATATCTTCGAATCTGTCACTGGCCATAATGTTCAAACTAATGTGCCATGCTTAGGAGAGAAATTTTCGTCTAACGGGGATGCATTTTTTGTTATTTTTGATCAATAACGTAATGACAATACTATTTCTGTTGTATGTAAAAAAATTTACATGCTTAGTAATGTGACATTTAAGTAGCCTTTGAATCGGAGGAAACTTTTTATTAAATTTTTTTTATTTATACAAATGATAATGTAGATTATTATAAATTATTTTAATATGCAAAGAGAAAAATTCGAACAGAAGTTCAAAGAGAGGACTGATTGCCCTTACCATCTAACCTAACACGCATATGCGGAAGCTGAAAGTAATGACCAAGTCAAAAGGCTAAACCAATCATTCATGGATAATGTGGTGGAAGTATTAACTACCATGGCTTGACTAGTTACTCTCCTTAGGAGAGAGAGAGAGAGAGAGAGAGAGAGAGAGAGCTTTACAAAGTGCCGTGCGTATTTGTATATGGACATGAAAAGGTCTTTTTCTAACGTGGGGATTCCTGATAGAAAGCCAACAAACCAGCCTAGCCCAGAAAAAGATTGATGGACTTAATATAGCATTATTGTTGTCCTCCATTTGTGTGTGGGGGTTCCAAATTTAATGCCACGCACGTGCAAGCTTGATAGGCTACTGTTGTGGCTGCATTTCTCCCTTTTAGGCCCAATTGCCTTCTCCTCTTTCCCATCACTTGCATTATTATAGTTGATTATGGACCATAAGGTTTGATTATTCATGCCAGAGCTACCATCCACCCTTTTTTCTACAAAAATATTATGTCTTGCAGTATCATTATCATTTGCCTGTCCCTTTCCTACTCTTGTTGGGGCCTATATATCCGGCCTAGACTCTATGTTAACACGAAGGTTCTTACAACTTAATCACCTTGTTTTATATCGGAAAAGGTTTCATGAAATTTAAGGTTAAGATACAACTTAGGATTAACCACATAAATCCTAAATCATCACCTCTTTGTAGATGGCGACTGATTCTTTTGCAATGTCGATGCTACCCTTCGGGGTGGGATGGGAGCATGTGGGTCAGATCGGAGTTGAGGGATGTTGTTGGTGATAATAAAGAAGGGGAGGCTAAATTTGCGGGGCTGCTCCAAAATCGGGGCCCTCCAAAATAGGGAGTCCTATGCGATGGCACCACTTGCATGTAGCACTCCAGAACCAGCCCTAAATAGGGGCATGTTGTTTGGATCAGAGTTGAGGTGGATAATCAAGAAAACGAGGCTGTCCTTAGAGGCTGGGGGCATGTGGGTCGGATCGGAGTTGAGGGGGTGAGGGTTGGAGTGATAATGAAGAAGGGGAGCGCGGGGGGAGGACGAGTTGGGGAAGAGGTGTTGAGCGTGTGGTTGTGACGAGTGTTACAGATTTGTTTTGTTAGGTCATTTGTTTTTGTTTTCTTCTGCTTTGGTAATATTTTAAACTATGTATAAAGATGCAATGTTTATCTCCACATATGGCACCAAAAAAGTCCAAATAATCATAAAAAGTGGGACCTACAATTTTCACATAATTATCCAACTATTATTATTATTATTATTATTATTATTATTTTTTATGCGGAAAGAAAAATTACAAGCCGAAACCTCTCGGACGTGCATGCCCAAAGAGATCAAAAAAGAAAATAGGCACTACATATGAAGAACACCCAACCTCCCAAAAGGAAGGAAGGGAACATCCCATGACCTAAGTTGGCTAAAGCATCAGCTAGAAAATTGGTTTCTCTAAACACATAGTAATGGAATCACAAAAAGAACTTGAGTTAAATGTAAGTTTTGTTTGAGTTTAGGTATAAATCTTTAAATCTTTAAAATAAAAAAAAGAGACAAATTTGAAATTGACTTCATAACTTAAAGGATTTTATGTAGTTAAATCATATAGTTTGTTGTCTAGAATTGGATTGAATTGGATATGGAAACTCATGAAGACATGCCAAAGAAGAAATAAAGAAAATTTTCCAAATTGGAATAGAATATGAATTATTTATGAAAAAAACTTCTTCTATTTTTTTTTGGTCATAAGTTTTATTCCATTTTATATATATATTTTTTGGTCATAAGTTTTATTCCATTTTATCCTCACAAAATAGTAAGAAATCAACTTTAATCCTCCTTCTACATGACATGTTTACTAATTCGTAATCAAAATCCATTACTAAACCCTAAATAGATTACTAATCCCTAATCGCAATCAAAATAAGAAGTTGGATTTCAATAATTAATTACTCATGTGTTTACTTAACATAAAGGAATAAAAATGCGAGTAGAATCCACACAAATCAAGAATTCAACTCCTCATTTAGAGGAATTAGATTTTTGAATGAGAGGTGGTATTCTAAATCTTAAAGAATTAACCCCTCAGGAATTCATATTTTTTACCCATTATATAATCACACAAATTTTAAAATTCCAAAATTTCCATCAACTTTAACCCAATAACAAGAGCATTTTAATAATCAAATTGGTTTCAATTCCAATTCATGGAAATTTAGTAAACTTAAGTAATCTGTACCATTTCTACCCGATTTCAAATGGTTGAGTAAATAACTTCAATAAAAATCTAGATTCCGACTCCTCTGATTACAGATTAGTAAACATGTCATAATTCTAATGAGTTACCCAATCCAATCATGATGTACGCTTGTCTGATTAAACAATTATACTTGACTCATAGTTTTGCACGTGTCATAACAATTCTCACATGCAATAACAATTCTCAGTGCATGTTCCCATCGCATGTGGGTGTTCTTAGACGTATCCATGTCAGATCAAACATCACACGTGAAGGGTCGATGTGACTCCACGTGTTGTTTCATTTCATAAGCCTATACCTCCATCTCCATGTGGGGAAGGTACTAGTTATCCATCTACCACTAGTGGACATGATAAGCATTGGCCTATCGTGCCCAAATATTTACCGATTGACTGAGCTCTGCATTCTTAATTGACTTCATCGTTTGCATGTTGAGCCATGGTAGAACTGAAGTACTATTAGAAGCTGCTTATGACATCAAGAACTTTGAGCTACTTTTGAGAAATTCTAATTCAGCAGACAACCAAATAATACTGCTAGATGAGTTACAGGTTACCTGACCACTGATGAGCTGTCCCGGCCTCATATGATCCGCAGTTCAGTTTTGACAAGACGACCTTCATATCCCCGCCCACGAGGATTTCATGTCAAGTCTAATCATACTAAAGTTCACTTCCTCTGCAGTATCTTTCAGTATGGAAAATCTCCAATTCGAATCTGTTTGTTGTGCAAGTTTTCATATCTGTGCATACGTAATTCAACAGGGGAAATTACACCACAAAATCTAAAAGCAAGTGCTTGTTGATGTAACTTCTAGCAGCCAATTATCTGTATTCCTCCGGAATTTGAATGGGGCTGCGTTAAAAACACCCTGCAACAGCAAATTGTCCTTTAGACAGCAACTTCCATCTGAGGGACCCCTTGCCGAACATGGCCAAGTTTGATCAAAGACCTTCAAACAGTAAATACTCATCATACAAGCTCACGACAACAGGCTTCGTTATCGTATTATAACATTCCTTAGAAAACATGACCATGTCTAATTAAACGAAGGCATAAGCATCCTAATTACAACAATGCCTGTACATTCCAGTTATTGAAACTAGTAATGGATTCCTTATGCTTTCAGTCAACAAGCTTCCTTAGGTGCGATCTGAGCAGTCCTTTCCCTGCACCACATAACAAAACAAACACCTCAGAGATCAACGCAGATACTATCTAGCATCAAGTAAACTATAAATGATTCTGAACTGATCAAATATCTTCAAAGGCCCTATCTTTTCCAGAGATAATTCCAGAGACAAGTTAAACAGTACGGTATACTCATCCTCTTACAATAAACTACATAACCTAATACCCATTCTCAAGTACAAATAATATAAGATGCAATCATATCCATATGATGCAACCATATCCATAATACATGACTCTTGGTGCAAAGAACAAACAGGTACATGACAAATACATAAAACCTACAAAGCTAAGTCGTAGCTTCCCACATTGCAGTATGGTTTTGCTGTTAAAATGGAGTATTACAAAAGAATGCAACTGCCTGCAGGACTATGAACATATCATGTGCTAAAAAGGTGACCTGATATCGATGATGAGCGACAGCTATGGTGAACCACATGCTTCACTGTTTCCTTGTGCACTACAGATTGCTGCTCTGAAAGGAATTTTTCAGGAAGACAGCCCTTGGAGGCTTGATCCTCTGCTATCACATTTGTAAACCGTTAATTTGATTTGTTGTATTTTAAAAATAATTTCCTCTCTGAATTGGCCATGGTGACGACCTTCTTAAGGTACTTTGAAGACCCTGAAATTCAAAATATTGGGACAAGAAGAATAAGGATATCTGTGTAACATATAAAGATTGACTACCAAGTTGGCAAAAGGGAAAAGAACCGAATAGAACACCATACTAAAACCATAAGCAATGGACATATGTTATTACAATGTTATGTATGTGGACAGCAAATCAACTTGGCAATAAAGCACACCAGAATGTAAGATATTTCTTGTTTACTTATTAAGTTACTTGTGTCATCTCCAACTAAACTGAGCATGAGTTTAGTAAGTTGGTGCAAGATAGAAAAGTTGTATTCTCAAAACTTCCAAAAAACATAAATAATAGTGAATTGATATTTGTTAAATGGTCTTCTGGCGGCGGCTCACTGTTCTAATTATTTTTTCCCTCCAAGCTTACCAAAGAGGAGGAAAACAAATGGAAGCAGAGTCTCTATTTTGACAAACAGAATACTGTTTGAGTGCTCAGTAAAGAGTAGGCCAAACATCAGACTTTTGCAACTTGTATGCTCACTGTGATGCATATTACATTACATATCCATTGCACACCTGAACCCCTCAGTACCTCACAAGTTCAGGTGATTTTAGTTGCCAGAACCAACATACTAAAAAGTAGATTTCTGGCTACAATACTGCTTCCTCCTCAACGCTTAAGGTCCCCTGCTTGATGTCTATCTACGGTTATCCCTTCCGTGTTTTAAATGCTCAAGCCTTCCAATTCAAGGAATGCTGAGCAATCCTGACTGCCTGTTCTACATGAAGTTCTAATGCATGGGTTCGCTCACACATGCAAATCACCAGCAGCTACCCTTAGCATTTCTCTAGCATTGATTTATCTCACGAAAATAAAAAATTTATCAAAAATTGCCAAAAAATGGGATGGACAGATAGAATTTCAATTTGATGAGAGTTTCAATCTCAAAGGTGTATGAAAATAAAACAAAAAGAGAAAACAAAATTCTAAGCATCAGCTTTGTCACTCCCTGAGCCACTGTCAAGGTCTCACATCTTTGCGAGGTTGCCTTTCCTGTGTATAAATTATTATCTGAAAGTTCTAGGAAACCACAATCTAAATTGCAATATAATCCTATATGCTTACAGAATATAGAACCATCAAAAAACCTATGGCAGAGGCACCAACATAACTCATATTTTATCATAGCATAACTTTGAATATATTTTGTTTATACCATATCTGACCAAACCCTCTCAACTAGACACGTGGAACGAATGGCCCACAGAGCAGAAGCAGACATGGCCCAGCTCAGTCACGGGAACTCGTAACTACCATAAGCAGGGGTGAGCCCTTGGCAACCTCACCTGCCGATCCGGCTCAATGAAGGTACCTGCCATGCCACTTTCATGTGGACACGTTACGACCCCTAGGGCTATGTCCACAGTCCCACATCAAAACTATAACCCAGGGTGCTCCACCCCTTTTGCCTATAAATAGGGCTCTTGCACCAATGCACAAAGTAATAGTAAACTTAGAGAACTCTATCCAATTACTTATCTTCTCTATCCTTAAGCTAACTTTAGCATCGGAGAGCCTTCCGGTACCACACCTTTGCCGAAGGGGCCACGCGACTGAGGCAGACCTTCTATAAGTTGTGTCCAATTTTGGGCATCAACATATTTAATGGTATCAAAAGCACGCTTAGCAATTGATGCTGCTTTTGCACCAATGGTTCCTCATAACTTGACCCCATCAATTGATTCTTATGTTAATCACCCAATCAAACAGGAAAAAGGTGAAACTCTATTGTGAATGCCAATAAACTCAGTAAGGCTCCAACGACATACTTCAAATCAGTGTCTAACTTATATCTAGGCCAACTGGGTGTACCTGGATGCATTTCAAGAAGAGGCCTACATCAGGTAAACACCACCCAAAAGTTCAGCTAATTAAAGTATAAAAACGACATTTTTAAGAGTTTCTTCATTTTTAACTCCACTCTAACTGCAGAAAACACCAAAGATTGGCATTGCCACAGATGTATTTTTTTTTCCAACTTTTATACACACACACACACAGGCACACACACATGTACATATGCCTTCTAATAGATGTTCTTTCGATTAAAAGGTTGGTACCACATTCTCTACAAAACCCAAAAAACTTCCAAAAGTTAATAAGAAAAGCAAGAGATTGTTGGCCATCTCTCCTACTGTTCAGTACACGGTAACACACATGCACAGACACTCATAATAGTGTCAAGATCCCCTCCAAGGTAGACCCAGCTTAGGTAGAACTGGGTCATAAATATTTTCCTTTTACTTCTTTTAGAACTTGGCTGTAAAATCTTTTAATAACTTTACAGTGATAAACATTATGACTACAGCCACTCATCCTATAAATATGATTATTTTCTTGACATCAACGTAAGTACCATAAATTTACAATATCAAGTAACATGCTTCATAACTCATTTTGGAGCCCCAAGTCATATTCACTTTCGACTAACCTCTTACTTTTCTTTTTCGATATAATTTTGACCAGTCATACTTCACCAGCTCCAAGTTTTTAAAGTATAAATTAAATAACCACCACCACTCCTAACATCTTAAGTTGCTATGCTTGATCATATTCATCAAACAGGATTCACACATGATTTTGTTTGGCTGATTAAGACAACTTTCATGGGGAATCTGCAGAAAAAATTGATTTTTCAAGTTGAGATAAATGTAAACTAAGCACCAAATTGTGGAGTTTTTGGGTAGGAATAAACTAGTGATACTTGGCATTATATAACAGTATAGATACATTGCATCTCAAATAGATTAGTTGGGTGCAAAAACCACTGAATCACATATGTAATGCCCATTTGCATTTCTGAAAGCTGTATCAATCAATTACTTCCTAGATTCTACCAATTTGGACTGTGGAATCATTTACTAGATTTCATAGGAATTGTTTCTCTTTTTTCTTGTGGCCTAATAAAACTCTAATTTGCTTTCGAAGAACACACAGAACTTTCTTGAGATCAATTCAACACGTCGCCAGATCCTTATCAGTGAAACAGACTAAGCCTCTTAAAATACATATCTCCTTGCCCACGCTGAAGAATGAAAATATTTAGCTAAGTACACCATCACAAATATAATTGAACCTAGTTTTACATTTCCAGGCCTTAGTTTTGCAAAGGTGTTTGACTTAATGATTGTATCACAAATTATGAAATTAATAACCATCATTGCATCCATAAAAGAGCTTAATCTGCATATTCTCAAACACAAATGTTTAATAAACTGTGTTATAGAATTTGTAGTTTAGAACTAAAGTGCTCCCTACTAGTTTATGATGTAGGATATGGGTGAATTGAGTATTTAGGTAATTTAGCGGAAGCAAATAGCTTCACACCAAAAGAGTTTTGGCTTCACACCAAGGAGTCTCCAATCTCTGGAAAGTAAACTTTTCTTAATATCTCAAATCTCAACTCCACAATGAATTACATGAGAGGGGTATTTATAGAAAACTAAAACCTAGAGACAAAGGATAAAACGTCCCATGTTAAAACAGAAATTCTAACCTAAATAAAATAGGAAACGTAGAAATCCTACTAAATTATGGAAAACTTATAGAACAAGTTAGAAACTAATCACAGGAATAAAAAATTGAAAGATTTAAAAACCCAATTAAATGACTTCCTCTTCCAGTTTATTCTTTAGGTTTGTGTGCTTAACTCCATTGCCCCTTTACAGTGCGCAATGACACCAAAGCACAGAAAATATTATGAGACAAAATAAATAAAAAGGCCAAAAGATAAAGACCCTTCTAAAACTGGAAGAACAATATGGTACAAATTAGAATTGAAAAGGAAAGAATATAATAGGAGAAATAGTACCTTTAGGAGGGCTACTAGTACTGGCTGATGGAGGTGAAGCAAGCAGGGGAGCATACATGTAAGAGTCAGACTTCAGATAGTCCCCAACCTTCTTCAGCAACCTCTTGTTGTTTCCTTTAATGGGTTTCCTTCCCTCCACTCCTAAGAATACAAAAAACCACCCAATTGAGCCAAATCTTCAAAACCCATCAACATAAATACACCACAGAAGCCATAGATACTATAAATACTATAAACAGTAAAAATCCCAGAACAGAGTTGAAAGAAAAAGAAAATTATACCTGTAATAGAAGCTTTTGTCTTCATGGGTGAGCCAAAGCCGTGATGTGGATGAGAAATTAGAGGAGCAAACATGTAAGAGTCAGAAATGAGAAAGTCTATGACTTTCTTTAGCAGTTTCTTCTTATTACGATTAATGAGTCTTTTCTTTTGAACTTCTAGCAACATTTTCTTCACCATCATTCTTTTCTCTGGTTTTGGTTTTCGCTCTGGCTTGGGTTTCGGGAACAGAAAAGTGGAAATTCTTTGGTTCTTGGTGTTGGCTTTAGTTCGAACATTGTGGCGGTTGGGAGTGTTATGAACAGGTGTCTGCTAGTTAGAGCCTTTGGCGTGTCGTTTTGGCGCAAGGGGTTGGAAAGAAACTGCGACGTGTGGCAATGAGAAAGACCTTGCATTTGGGAAATTTAGAGGGGTGGCAATGAAATGTTATAATTTTGAGTTATTTACACTAAAACCCAGTGAGATTTTTTATTTTTTATTTCACAAAAACCCCTAAGATTTCAAAAAATATACGAACACCCCCTGAGGTTTCATATTACCCGTTTTTGTTAATTGTTCATCCACAAATTGATGATTCAATTTGAAAAAAACGTATGCAAATGACAAAATTAACCTCAATGAAAGGCTAACTCTATTATATGGAGAAATCTTTTATATATAAAATCATCAATCTTTGGATGAAAAATCAACATAAACGGGTTTTGTGAAAATAATTTAAAACCTTAGAGGGTGTTCGTGTAATTTCCAAAACCTCAAGGGGTTTTGTGAAAATTTTGAAAACCTCAAGGGGGCTATTAGTGTAAATAACTCTATAAATTTCAAAAACTAAAAACTTGTTTGGTAACTAATTACAGTTTTAAAAAAAGTGAAAAGTGGACAAAAGTGGTTTAGTAACTAATTTCAGTTTTATGTGAAACTTGGAAATTAAATTTTTGGGGGTCAAGTTGTGAATTTGATAACATAATGAAAGTGTATTTTACAAAGAGTTCATAGTATTTTTTGGTAAATTTTTTGGAATTAGGACAAGTTTTTTTTGTGAATTTTGGATATGGAATTTCAGAGACTTGGACTGGATACGTGGCCAAACACAAGAATCGAGTGGCCGGTCCAAGTAGAGAGGTCCCAAACACTGAGTTTTGGTAACTGGAGTGCCTTTAATATGTGGTGATGTAAAATTAATGAATTAAATAGGAGTGAAAAAGAAATGAAAATAAAAATTAATGGTGATTTTGAAAATTGAAAACGAAATTTTTCCCCCAACATATTTTTTAGTTTTTAATTTTCAATAAAAGAAAAGATGAAAACTAAAAAATCAAACAAAATGATTATCAAATAACCCCTAAATAAATATGAAAACAAGAAAGATGTGTCAAAAAAATCAAATACAATTTACCAAATCTTTGACACATCTTTCTTGTTTTATTTTTCCTTGAAAAGATAAAAGAAAACATGATTCATTCTAAACATGGTTATTTAATTAGGAGAATTATTTGTGAAAAAAAGGAAGAAGGGAAAGTACTTCTATATATTTATCTTTTACACTATTATATAAAATCAAAATTTAATTGTTAGTGTAATGTTTAGATTTTAAAAAATATTATCGATTTTATCTAATTAGAAGAAAAATTCATATGATTTATTTTATCATCGAGTACAATGTCATCAAATAAATTAAAGAAGTAACCACGTGTTTTTTGTAAATTTGAAACCTTTTAGGTTCAAAAATGTATTTGAAGTGCAAGTAATGTGATTTAAATTTAAAGATCAACTTATATATGTTCCCTCAGAACCAACCACATAAATGATTCGGGCTTGGTCGGCCCCATTACTTCATGGGCCTCCCCAGGCAAATAATGATTGGTTTTAGGCCTTCTTCTGGCCTTTTGGGCCCTATCGCTTCCCTAAGTGATGAGGGATGGTTTGGTTATTTTTGTCAGGCCGGGCCGCCTGGTCGTGTATCAACATATTTAATCTCTCCCCCTCTCTCTCTCTCTTTTCCTTCTTTCTTTGATAACAACGACGCCCACCCTCCTTCTCTCTCCCTCTTTTTCTCTCTTTCCACTCTCTTTCTTCAAGAACAAAATCCAGATCTGGGTTTTTTTTAAAGAGTTTTCAAGGTTTGAGTGTGGCTTGGCTATCAGCCATGGGGGGCAGTGCAGTGGTGGATGGTGTGGGTGGTAGTGGGGCGGTGGGGCTGGAGTGCAGAGATGGGCTGAATTTTTTTTGTTTTTGTTTTTAAAATATTCATTTTAAAGTATTCAAACATCCAGTGAAAAAATATATATATTGAAAATGGAGCTCAAGTTGGAAAATTAAGTAAAAAGGAAAATAAATAATATAAAAGAGAAGTAAAAAGAAATTAATGCAGGTAAGGGTAGAATAGGAAAGAGAAAGAACAAAAAAGAACAAAACTGATTAAAAAATAAAAGGGAGTGTAAATGGAGAAAATGAGAGTTTTATAAAGTTTTATAAATCACTTCTTCTCCTATGTGTACGTTCTTTTCCTTTTCTTTGAAATTTTTTTTAATGGTTTATAATTTTCAAATTATTTTTTATTTAATCCACGTGGCGTCATATAATTGGATATGTGAGATCTACATGTGTGTCATGTTATCAATTTAATATATTTTTGGACAGAATTTGATGGCAAAGATTACTTGTGAGCACACATATTCACGTTAAGAACCACGAATGACTCAAAAATACATAAAGGATGCAATATGATAATTTTGTGAATCTCATGGATGTTTTGTAATAAAAAGCGCCTTATTTTATCCAAAGTTAAAAATCTATAACTACCTCTTTATTATGTTCCAAATGTGACTTTTTTTTTTCTTCTAGTCAACACAAAGATGCAAATTTCTAGTATGTAAGAACGTAAAAGTAGAAGGGTCTCTTTGCTTCATTCAGGTATAAAGAAATAACCAGTAGTGCATGTATCATACAGCCAAGAGCTTTAGTAATTCACTCCGATATGTTGTGACACAGTGAATTAACTTCGCTTGATGAAACTGGCTTTAAACCATGTTTTAGAGCAGCCTTCCATACAATGTCGATTCTGTCGACATCAAGAGCCCCAACTTCATGGTGAGTCCAGCCTTCTAGCAGATGAACCACGCCACCAGCATGACATGCATGAACCACTCCTCTGTCCATGGTGTACTACATTGCATTTTCCAATATTACCAAAAATTATCGTCAATGATTGCTAGGTTATATAATTGATAAAAAATTTAGACGACATATTAAGAGGATATATGTGATTATGTCACATAATGAGGTGGCTAAAGACACTACTAGTGCCTAATGGTATAATTGATACGAATAAACGTGAATGTTAGCTATTAGGCATTTATAATCCTTTTAGCCATCTCATTTTGTGTCATAGATGTCAGTGGCTATTAAATGCGCCGACCATGTAAATCAAGCCAATGTTACCCAACAAAAGTCTTAAAAACTAATAAGAAAAAAGCTTAGTTACCTCACAGCAGCCAAGCCCTTGAACATCATCAGGTAGTCTCATGGCTGCAAGATCACCATAAGTGCAGTCTCTTCTGAAATGCAAGATGGGTGGCACAACAAACTGATGAAAATGTGCACCACTTGGGGCCCAACGTTGCTCTCTTGGTGTGATCCATTTGCCAACAATCCATGCCTGTCATTATAATTGGTACCAACAATAATTCATATTAAGTAGACTCATAAACAAATACTCATGCTTTATTAGACCAAAACGTCGTACAGAGCTTTATAATTAAGCACTATGATTAAAAGGTGCCTTAAGTTTAAGGGCAACGTACACATATAGGGCTGTAGTGCAGGATGTGGCAAACAATAATCGCTTACCTTACAATTGCGGGCAGCTTGGTACTTTGTGACTTGGACAAGGTAGTGTTGACAATCTGCTGGCGCTTCCTTCTGAATCTTTTGAAATCTCTCTGTTGATAGAGTCAGCATCTGGGCCATAAATTATTGATTAATTAATAGACCCATGAAAAACTATAGCAATTAATCAATTTCCTAGAAGCACTTAAGACTTTTTTTGGAGGAAAAAAGTGCTTCTACAGAAGAAGTGCAAAACATGCCCTAACATGAACACATGATCACCTTCATAAGTAAATGATGAAAAAGGAAAAAGGAAATAATATACTTACAAGGACTCGAACTTTCCTACGGCAAAGGTAGAGGGCAATGGCTCTTCCAAGCTTGGAGGTAGCTCCACTTAGAAACACCTCTTCGACATCCTTGGGGATCTCGTTGAGAATAACAGCAGCAGTTAAGGTGTTCCCATGGACAACTCGAACTCTAAGGTCCGGATGCTTGTTCACAAAGAGTGTTCCACCCCCATTCAGTCCTTCGTTCTACATTAAGAAAATGAACAGTTAAATTAATATTTTAAATTTGAATTTACTTTATTTATTTATTTATACATTCCAAATTTGAGGACTAACAACCTCAACCTCCTACTCATGTCATTCATCTTGCCCGCAACTTGTGGGAGGATGTTACCTCTCTTGCTAGGTCAGGTCAAGAACATGAATGACCTAAAGTTTTGGTAAAAATAACAATAATTAAATAAAATTAACCATATTCACATTTTTTATATTCGACCAAAACAAATTTCACATTTTAAATATGTTAAAGTGGCACTTGGTTGGTGCAGTGTTTAGGCTTGTCGTACTTTTTTAGTTTCAAAGCATCCTCACGAGTCTTAAATGCTAATGTTTATGTGCAGCAAAAACATGTGCATTCGTTTTTGGTGTGGGGTGTTTGGCAGATCAGAAATTTCATCCAGAGAGTTAATATCAGTACTGCCAACAACCAAACTCAGAATTCATCAGACTGGATTAAATTTTTTTAACTCCGAAAGAAAACTGATACCAACCTTATTTAATGCAGCAAGGCTGATGACCTTGACCCCCATTTTGTCAGCTCTAAGGATTGCTTGCTCTATTTGCTTATTGATACCGTCTAGGGCAAATGGTAAAAAGTACTGCAAGGTAAAAAACAAATTTGTTTTTTTTATAGAAAAACATTGCATTAATTAAAATCACAAAATCACAAAAAATTTTAAAAAATATTACGAGGGCAAACCTGAAAGCCATATCTAGGCACAGCCCATGTCTGGTGCAAGCGGCCTCTGAGGTTGTAAAAGGTAATTAAAAAAGTTTTAGCCCATGCCCACATTGCTAGCATGGCTACTATGCCGGAAGGCCAGAAACCCACCAAGAAGAATCTCATGGTGAAGGGCAGTGATGAGAACGATCGGAAAACAAACGGCACGTGCAAAGAAGACGACAGATCCACCACGTGTGCGAGGAAAACGAAATCCGGTGCGCTCCCATTTTTACCTGCAACATTAAGGATGAAAATGTGCAATTCTGTTATTGTCCATGCATTAATAATTTGTTAAAGCATGCATAGTCAATCTTCTTCTAAGCATTTTTGTATGCAAAGTTGAGAGGCATGCATGGTCAATCTTTGTCAACGAATTATGACCATATTATTTTGGACATCACTTGTAGGACCTATGAATAATGTTCAACCTTCCCATATTGTTTTGTTACAACATTTCTTATGATGTCAATGTCACTATGAAAAAGGAAAAAAAATTATTTTGGATGAAAGTAACTTTTAAATTATCCACCTGCATTTAAGCTTATCTCTTTGTGTAGTCCCCATGATTTGCTGTTCAGGGTCTTCCCCACTGCATCAAAGAGGGGCATAAAAAGGCAGAAATTGGTGTCCATTTCTGTGTGGTGCAGGCTGTGGTATCTGCAAGACATATGAAACTGATTTTTAATTTACTAACTTGGTGCATGAAAATTACCATTTTCAAGGTAAACACACCCCAGAATTTATAAAAATAAAAAAAATAAAAAATAAAAATAATTTATTACCTAAAAGTTATTTTTCCATATAGTATACAATCAATTACAGTAAGTTTCCCATTTACAGAAAAAAGTTTCATTTCCTTCTCTTCTGGAGGCAACATACACTATTTAAAGATGGGTGTCTGTGATTGGGCTTCTTTTTTGGGTTTGAAGGTACAAAAATATGTCATATGAAGATGAAATTAGTTAAAAGTAGGCATTAATTTATATATAATTGTGGGTACTTACGTTGGAGTGTAGAGAAGATATCTGAGAAGGGGAGCTTTCTCGAACAGTTTATGAGAAATCACTTCAACATTGGAATGCCCCAAACATCTCAGAAAATCAAAAACCAAAACATATCCGTAGATCACGAAGATTGATCCACAACCCATCAGAGTGGTACCAAGAACTGGAATTCCAACAATTGCACCTAAAACCAGATGCTCCAGAAGTGTTGCATTTCCAGCTGAACAACAATAATTAATCAATTAATCAGTCAAAATAACTAAAGAGAGGAAAAAGAAAAAAATGAATTTATTAGTCGGTGCTCATATTAATGATCTTACGGTACCTGTGAAGGGCTGCGGTATTGGAGAGGAATGGTGAAGTGAATGGTAGTTTTCAAAAAAGTAGTTGCCATGGAAACGTCTATGCATCCAGTAAATATAAGGGCTCTGAAACTCCCAGTGTGCAGTACCAGTGTCGAAATAAAGCCGATTGTGTTCCACAAGGGAAGAAGTTTGAAGGAAAATGGAAGCAGGGCTGGAGGGGCAGGCCGTGGAGGCAAAATTAGAATTTGGAAATTATTTATGCCAAATATAAAAAAAAAAAAAAAAATTAAAAAAAAAAAAAAAAAAAAAAAAAAAAAAAAAAAAAAAGTGAGTGGGTGGGAAAAAAAAAAAAAAAATTAAATTTTATATTAGATTCCAAAAAATTAATTAATAAAAAAAAAAAAATAAAATAAAAAAAAAATGAAGTTAATTGATTAATTACCAGTCCCATTCCTTGTCAATCTGCTTGAAATCAACCCCTTGTTGGAGAATCCGACGAGTTCTTGTTAGGAAAAGCATGTTGGTGTAACTACTCCATAGCTGATGAACTAAGCCTCTAAGTGCACATAATATGAGAATATGGAGACACCAGCTGTTCATGAGGACCTTGAGGGGATCCTCATGAATTATTGAGTACAAGGCTTTTCCAATCAGAGGTCCAAACAGCAGATACTAATTTCCAAATCCAAAAACAAAACCAGATCCAAATCAGTAACAAGCTATTAAAAGATGCAGAAGATGTAAAATTTGACAGAAAACAAATATATTGGATCATGAAGATTAGTTTCTATACCTTGTAGGAGCCTAAGAACTCCCAAGGCCAAGCAGTCAAAGGAGCAGCCATATTTCACCCTACAAAAACAAATCTTCTCTACAGGTTTCTGATGATCTCACCAAAATCTTTCTCTTTTTTTTTCTGATCAAAGGCACACAAAGATGGTTGGAGAGAGATGATAAAGAGCTGGCAGGACTAGTTGGCTGAAGAGAGAAAGATCTCAAGAGAGTTTATCATCACTTTGCGTTTTGAAATTGGCTAGCGAAAAATTGTGTGGCTCTCTACTTCTTGCCTGCACAACTTTAATTAGATGAATCTCTCTCTCTCTCTCTCTCTCTCTCTCTTGGAAGATATATGTGGTGTTATGTTATGGAACAAAGCTAGTCAACAAAAGCCTTTATGATTTTATTTTTCTCCAAACCCTAAAGGCCTTATATAGATCACAGAATCAAAGGATGCACATCAAAGACAGTTAGGGCTCTTAATCAATATCTATCTTTTTTCTTATACATGTAGCTTTGCTTCTTCCTTGTCCTGTTATATGTCAGCTTTTAGAAGGTCGCCAGTCACCTCCCCAATCCCTTATAAGGCTCTTGTTGTATTCTATGAACTTGTACGCGTTCTCATTTTGACACCATATGTGATGAAAACTGACCCCAGCTGTAGAGTGATGGCCTAAAAATCCCACCCTCTAAAAATAATTAATTCCTCATATGGTTGGGAGCTTGGGAGTCGGCGAGGACCTTTTGCCTTGTCTGGGTTGTTTTCGTAATTTCCTAGTCTGCTGTGATTTGCTTTCATCATCAATGCTAAAGTAGCATCAGACCTCAGTTATTAATGAACAATGCTAGCCCTATTGACATGGGCAGTCTGGGGTTAAAGAACCAAGGGTACCGTTGGTAAATTCCCACGTCATTTATACGTTAGGGCAAAAGTATACCCAAGTTTACCTAATATTTGAATGCCTTAGAGCATCTCCAAGGGAGATGTCAAATACCAAACATCAAATTTAAATTTAATGGCTGATGTGGCAATTTGACATCTTACACAACTTTACACTCCACCCGATAAGTCAAATTAAATTATTATTTTATTACATTTTAGTGTTGATTCATTTTTAGTTAAAAAGAAAAGAAAAAAAATAAAATAAAATATTCATTTGACATCTTGCTTTTGGGATGTCAAAAATAACATCTCAACCTCCAGCCTTCATTCCACATCAGCTTTGACACATCGGTTGGAGTGATATGAGATGTTATTTATAGCTGTTAAATGTCTATGTGGCACGTTTGACACATCAGTTGGAGATGCTCTTAACCCTAATTAATGTACATGTACATTCAACTAAAAAAGAGAAAAATTGTCTATGCACATGTACTCTATCTTATATTCAACCTGACCCCTTGTGTCGATCCATTATGGATCTAGCCCGAAAAGGCTCAACTCAAACACTTCATTTTTTATGCGTGTTCATGTCCTGTTATCGTGTCGTTGTACATGATTCTTCTAGATCTAGTAGGGTGGTCGTGAGGTGCAATATGTTGAGTAAGTGTGTGGTAGAAATCATTTAATACATTTCTCACATCAATAATATTTTGACTTCAACAGGTTGATATTGCTTAAGTTTCACTTTCATAGGTGGAATTTGAGACATTTGCTAACATTTGAAAAAGAAATTCCACTAAATGAAAAGAATAATTGATTGATATAGAGAATTTTGTTAAGTTAAATCACAAGTGTTTGTATCAGCTAGCTATTGATCGAGTGCTGATACTTTTCTTATAAACGTTGACGCATATCTCATGTTCAGATCTCCTCTTTTCATTGATAGGAAAAAATAATTGATTGATATAAAGAATTTTGTTAAGTTAAATCACAAGTGTTTGTATCAGCTAGCTCTTGATCGAGTGCTGATACTTTTCTTATAAACGTTGACACATATCTCATGTTCAAATCTCCTCTTTTCATTGATAGGAAAAAAATAACAAGTATTCGTTCCGAATATGACTATTTTGTCTTTTATTTACAGGTGATGAACACCAAGAAAGGACGAAATAGGCCGATAGAATAGGAAACACATTAATGCAACTTTCTTGTTTGGAGTAGGTCGTTGACATTAAAGATGTGATGATTTGGCCTAGCTAAGTTTGACTATAAGACTTGATTTGGTTGAAATACTGGCAGGCTTTCTACCATTGCTCCAACTAACTGAAGGGAAATTAGACTGGTTAGTTGTATTGGACCAAACAAAAAAGATTTAGTTGTAAGTAGAATAAATTTGGAGACACAATTCCCACCACTCTAGCAAAGTTTTCGATTAAATGGGAGCCACCGCCCTTTGGTTGGCTAAAGATTAATTTTGATGGTTCTGTTCGCAACAATATGGCCTCAGTTGGTTTTATCATTCGTGATGCGGATGGTCATCTTTTGTTAGCAGGTGCGAAGAATATTGGAGAGGCTATTATGACGGTTGCTGAATGCATTGCACCTCGAGATGGCTTAGCCTATGCTATTCACAATGGATGACGTAGGATATATTGGATATGTAGTTGTATGAGAATGGCTAGGTAGGATAAAAGATGCTTCAAGGTGTGTATGTAGATGGATGAATTCAGGATTTCAAAATGAGGTGAGCTAAATTTATCTCACGTACAAACCTACTAAAATGACAGATTACTCGACGGTACGAGTGAATTTCATTAATAACAAAAAATACACAGGGGGACATAATGAGCCCCTCAAAATGCATCTAGTACAACCTTAAATAAAACCAACATTAAACTAAAAGAAAAAAGCAGTTAGTTTTTTTAAAACAAGTGATAGTTTAAAAGGGGAGGAGGTTTCTCACACACACATATACTAATAAATAATATATTCATAATGATGTTGAGAGATTAATTAAAAAATATACAAGCCATTAATAAATAATTTTGTGAGTAAAAGATTAAACAAAATTAAAGAGTGGTAAATGATTTTGGTGATGTGAAAATTTTGAAGAAATATGTGGGTTTTATAGGGAAAATTGAATAGTACAAAAATTTTATTAAACGAAAGAAAATTGAAGTTAGTAGTAATTTTCAAAAATTTGTCATTGGTATTAATATCATGCTTGAGTAGTTGGAGCAGCTTCAATGAGTTTGAGTATTACTTTTTAAAAACTATCAGTTGGATGAGCAAAGGTTGGTTGAGTGCATGGGCGTCGAGGAGCGAATAGGTATAGCAATTGTGTTGATGAGCAAGTAGATATAGCAGCTGCGCTGAGGAGAGTGAAGCAGTGCCTGAGAGGGGGTGGTGTGTGAGGTGCACTTGGGTGGGCTGGGGTATTAACGTTGGGCTATAAAAAATCAAATCACATGGGCTATAGCCCAGGTTAGCATGTTCATAGGTCCGTCCCTGGTTTCTGAAAATAGGGTTTCTCTTTAGCGACAAAGTTACTCTGAATTTGAGCTAGACGGGGATGACTTATGTGCCCAGTACTTCTCGGTTTTGCTTGGCCTTTGTGAGAAACCAGAATGATGTTGACTTAGCGATTTTGGGGAATGTTCAGCGGAAGAACTTTAATGTCTAAATAAAAAACTAGGGAAAATTAGAATTCCTTTTCCCATTTATTATATTTTTAGATTAAACACCTTTGGCTTTTGAATTTGGACTAGAGGACTTTGAGTTTGATCCACACCAACATTACATAATTAAGATGGTATGCATGCCATTATTTTCCTGTTATTTATTAAAAATTCTTATTTATTCGTTTCCAAATTTGACCCTTTGCTGATGAGAATGGTTTTTTAGGGACATTAAAACGTTGTGACCTTCTTGATTTCTAATAATGGATTGGATCGCTAAAGTTATCTTCAATTTCTTTTTTAAAAAAAATTACTAGGGACCAATCATCAAAAAAATTACTAGGGAACTTGATTTCTAATAATGAATTGGATCGCTAAAGTTATCTTCTTTTTTATTTTAAATTACTATAATAGGTTCAAATGTACCTATGAGTTTTTTGGGGCGTTTGGTTTTGCGGTAATGCTACAGGCACCAACTAATTTACTAACATTTTAATACTAATTGATGTGGCAAATGACATGACAATCCATGTGACTTGCCACATCATCTATTTTAACTTGCTTTAATTTTTCTTTAATCTTTTATCAACTCAATTTTCTAATTAGCTTTTGAGTCCTACTCAAGAACCACATGCAACGCCTTCGTCCATCATCGCACCGATGCGACTACTATTGTATATCACCACCACCACAGTGCCGCCACCACCAGGCCCAATCATGAAACTTGAAAACTAACCATTCAGAGCCGCAAAACCTCCATTGACTTTCGATGATATGCAATCAACTCATTATTCTTCAATGTATTAATTGTGGTAGCAAATTTCTGCCTGGGTGAAATAAATGAACAACTTTCCTCCACTTTAAATTATCTTCGAAAATTTCCTGCAAAACATCAGTTCAAAAAAATAATCTCAGGGAGATAGGTATTTTTCATGAAAGGTGTAGGAGAATTTTCAGAGAGAGAGAGAGAGAGAGAGAGAGAGAGAGAGAGAGGCATGCGAGAGAGAGAGAGGCGTGTGAGTTGCTTAGGGTTTGGAATTCTATGGTTGAGTTTCGAATTACCTCGTTTGGTGAATATCCTTGGCTCTATATAGGAGAAATATCATGTAGCCACCTTTGGAATAAAAAGGAATAATTCCTTTAGGAAAGGAATTATCCCATTTTCTCAAGGAGATGGAGGATATCTTGGAGATTGAATGCAATGAGGATCTCTTGATTTGTGGAGATATTATCTACTTTATGCCCATTAATAGGCTAATTAAATGAGGATTGAATCAACATAATTCATGTGACCTAGGGCAAATTTGACCTCTATTCTTATTTCCACGTGGCGTCACCGGAGTGGTCGAGGAAATATTACTAAAAATAAAATTAAAAAAAATAATTAACCTAAACATACTAAGTTTATATTTATTTATTTTAAAAAAATCTTTTCCAACGAATGTTCGTCGGAATATGTTTATCTTGGCGAAATTTGACGGATTAGACCTTTCCCGACCAAATTGT